TAGAGGATCTAGAGGATTGAAGAATAAATGTCTAGATCTATAAGATCTAAAGAATCCAAGTAGAACAAAGCCTTATAATTCTGTAAAGAACAAAGGTCTATATAAAGAATAGGGTTTCTTTATATATAAAGCTTTATACTCAAAAACAATTATTAATTTTATTATTATAATTACGAGAATTACAACTAATTACAATTTTATTGAATTCCTACTTGAAGTCTAAATTAAACCATTTCGAGAGAACTCTAAACACTTCCACATAACCCTAGAGGCAGCTCCCGTAACATAATATTCATTCTTTAAATTCAATATAGAGATCCTCTCTATGATATTATTTATAAAGTTATTGATATTCCTGTCTATTATACGAATTATAAAGGAGTCCTAAGACGAGGGTCTAGGAGATAGATAGCGCGAATTTGTTACTTTATGAAATTTATAGTATAGAGATTATCATTTTTATTTTTCTTCTCGAATGCTTTGAGTTGGTGATCTTGACTCTTGACTTGCGAGATCTATTATTAGATATTCAGCTAGTATCGTCTGATATGGATTAGATGGGCTTGGGGGATGTAAGTGTGTTGGATATGTGATATTGAGATATTCGATTAATATCATGTGATGTATGTTCAATGGGTTAGGGGAAATGTATGAAAAGGTTTGTAAGGTATATCATATCAGACATTCGACTTATATCGTCTGATATGGATTAGATGGGTTAGAATTACTATCTATATTAAAAGGGGTTTCGAAAATGTGAGGTTATCAGTTACATCGAAAACAAGTTTTGACTATGTGATGTACATGAGCAACAACTCAATTTCTAGGGGGTTTTGTGTTTCATTTGTTGGAGTATCTCCATGGGAGTAGAAAGATGAGAATATCATATTTTGTTTCTGGGAGTTCGTCGTGTAGAGATATATAACGGTATCTTGGGAGAAGAAGCAGTGATTCTATTGGAATCTTGAAGAATTTAAAGTAATTCGATGGGGTTGGTTGATGGCGTCGATAGAATCCAGATAGGAGTCAGCAGGAAGAAGCGATATTTTATTTTTGACAATTACGGAGGAGTGTTTCTTGGGGGGGGGGGGAATATTTGGCCATACTTATACGATTTGTAAATTGCAGATTGTAGTTTTTGTTTGGGATTGGGATGGATTATTTATGAATAGAATTATTTGATTTGATGAATAAGTCGGGTACCCTACTTTCGGGCCACCCCCCTTTTAGGCCACTTTTTACACCAAAAATGGAATTTTTAACTTTCTTATTTATAAATAGAATTTATTGAAAATTTATTTATATATAATTCAGATCGTTTTGAATCTAATCTGAAATTTCTAGATTTTTAGAATTTTTCTATATTGAGATCTAGAGCTTCAAAATATCAATTTTTTAATTTATATAGGAATTACATATAAATTTAAAACTTTTACAAAATCTTTAATAACTTTTTAATAAAAATTATTAAAAATAAACTAAAAAGTTTTATTATAAGTTTATAATATATTTATTTTGAAGGATTTATAAAAAAAAGAAAATTTCCTATAAATAGATATTTAAAAGAATATCCTTAAAATTACAGGGATTATTTATACTACTCTAAACTCATTGTATACTATATCTCTATATGTATTAATTTTTTTTAATTTTTTTTTGAATTTCTATATAAATTTAAATTCAAAACTTTCAAAAAGATATACAGTTTTCTTTTAATAATTATTGTTAAAAAGTTATTAAAGATTTTATAAAAGTTTTAAATTTATATGTAATTCTCATATAAATTAAAAAATCGATATTTTAAAGCTCTAGATCTCAATACAGAAAAGTCCTAAAAATCTAAAAATTTCAGAATAAGCCTAAAATGGCTTAAATTATATACATTCAAATTTTTATTAAATTAGATTATATATTAATAGAGATATTAATAGGTCAAAAAAGCGATTTTTAATGTAAAAGAGTGACCCAAAACAGGGGTGGCCCGAAAGTAGGGTGATCGACTTAAGAGTTTTAATATACATACAAGTCACTATGTATAGATAATAGTCGATTGTCTAAATTACACCGAAATTCATTCTTAAAACACATAAATTTAACAATAAAAACCCTAAATGTTATCATTCTATATATTAATACTTCAAATATTAGATTTATAACTAAAGTAACTGTTACGGGAGCTGCCTCTAGGGTCACGTGGAAGTGTCTAGAGTTCTCTCGAGGTGGTTTAGACTAAACTTCAAGTAGGAATTCAATAAGGTTGTAACTGGTTGCAATTCTCGTAACTATAGTAATGAAACTAGTGATTGTTCTTGAGCACGAAGCTCTACATTGTAATGAAATCCCATTCCCTTATATAGACCTTCGTTCTCTGTTGTCCCACTGCTTCCCACTGTGTCCCACTGGGCCTTACTCAGTGGGACTCAGTGGGACACCTTGGTCAGGTGATATTTTAATCAATCTAGTCATGTGACGACCTCGGTCGTAACAGTAACCTCAATTAGCATTTTGTAATACTTATTAATCTGTCAATCTAATATATAACCTTTTAGGAATTAATGAAATAAAAAGAAAAGAAATAAAATTATTAATTAGAATTCAAGAAATTCAACAAAATAATTTTTTTTTGAATTATCTCCAAAATTAAAATTGAAATTTAATTTAATAGTTTTCCAATTGATTTTGTCACAATAATCAAGCTTTAGCGCTAACCCCCCTATTACTGAAATACTACTAAATTAAATTTTAATTTCAATTTTGGAAATAATTTAAAATAATTTATTTTATTGAATTTCTTGAATTCTAATTAACAATTTCATATCTTTTCTTTTTATTTCATTAATTCCTAAAAGATTATATATTAAATTCGAAACTTGCTAGCCTATAAATTTAACAATAATATAACGAAATAATAATATTTCACTCTATCACATACTAATTGAGGTATTAATATATAAAATAATAACATTCGGGGTTTTTACCGTAAATTTAAATACAATTATATCTGAATTTGTTGTATATATTTATAGAGTTCTAGTTATAGATTTTAAAAAAATAAATACTTTATTTTTAGAATTTTTATTAATTGTATTATATAGTTTTAAAATATAGTAATTTGAAAATTCTAGAATTTACTAATAAAACAAGCGAAATTTAAAGAATTTTTATAAAGTTTTATTTCAATTATTAAATATCAATTTCATAATTTATTTTAAAACTAAAAAACTAAAAAATATAAATCTTTATTATATAAATAATTCATTTAAAAAGTCTCAATTAAAAAATATAATTATAAGTATTAATAAATCATTATACGAGATATATTGAATCGCTATTTTTTAATATATTTAAGATAAGCGGCCATTATCTATGCCTTAGTACTATACTAATAGATAATAAGTAACATCATAGTATTATGATATTACATTTACTCATCAATTCTCAATACGGAGTACACCAATCTTGAAATTTGCTTCTCTCGAGAACTGTGAAGAATGGAATGGAAGTGTAGATGAATACAAATACAATACCCTTCCCTTCCCATCCCTTCCCATTCCATATCTCAAACTACCTGTTTTGGTCTTGACCCAAACAAATCCATCTTAACACTTTATTTGCAATAACCCTGACATGAAGGAAGCGCTTTACTCTTTTTTTATAAAGAGGCATAGTGGACTAATAATGAGCGCGGACGTTGATTAAGTTTAATGAAGACAGAAGTGAGGACATTAGAATCTTATCCCATTCATTCCATATCGAGAGAAAAAAAATCTATGTCAATGCGTGGATATATAGTACGGTTAGCAAATAGCGGTGCATTACCGCGATACTTTCATGGAAGATTTTTGGAATGAAGACACTCGATGCCGCTTATCCAGCTACTCAAGTCACCAGCATCGAAAATGTGATTTCTTCTAACCCCCTTTTGCCTCAGCCAAGGAAATCTCCGAATTCCGATTCAGTCTCCTTCGTTCGTTGCGTAGCGCACGAAGGACTAAGCTGCCCTTCTCGGTTCAACGAATGGTTTCTCATAGATGCTGCTTATAATTCGTAATGTGCATTTCGAAATCCGGGTGGTGTTTAATAAGTCGCTGGATACGCGGCGAGAGGAGTGGAATAAGCTGATAGAGGACCGGACCGGACGGATTTGGATTTTGGGATATGGTGGGGTTTGTGGAGAGGAAGAATTTGGGATTGAGGAGGGGAGGGTAGGGGGTTATGGATGACGTTTTGGGTACATGTGCAGTTTTTGGGTAATGGGGAATCGGTTTGGAAGTCGAGAGTAATGACAACTCGATGTAAATGAGGAGGATGTTGTTTATTGCAATAGTCTGTTTTGCTAGAGATGATAATAAAGATCGCATCATATTAAAGGTTGAGTAATGGGCGGATTGATTTGATTCTGCTGTGTTATTAGGCAGGTAGGATATGCGATTGATACAAGAAATCCATAGAATCCTAGAATTGCAATTTGCCATGATCGTTAGGCTCAGTGCCTCTGATTGATTTATAGTGCTACTTTGAACCTATTCAACGATCTATGTGGTATCAAATGAACATTGAATGATCAAAGGATCGAATAAGTGCTCATAGTTTAGGAAGTTGCTATCGTACTACATAACATGACGATTTTCTTTGGAGCAACATGCTTTGATGACGCCAATTGACATGACATGACAAAAAAACAACATCTCACACAATGAACTTGTCCAATTTTCTTTGTCATCTTCCGTCTTCTTTATCAAGCAACCTGCAAGAACAATAAGATTGTCTTGAGAACAGTCCCCCAAGGCGACGATATAGAAATATCATCATGAAAAGATGAAGAACAAGAATTGAACAAATTAGCACGTGGAAGTACAAATGGCTTGATTTCATCTGAGAGAAGTTATTTCTTTAGAACTCAAACCTTACTCATAACTACCCTACTATTCACACATCTGTAACATATCTCTGCCATCTTTTTAATCAAGATTTAGAAAACTTTACTAGTATTTACAATTATGGCTGATACTATCATGCAAGAAACTGTCATGCAGGATGCTGATATGCAAGATACTGTCATGCAGGATACTGTCATGCAAGATACTATCACGCAAGATACTACCACAGAAGACGCTACTACCGCTGTCGTGCCCGGCCCCGTGCGAAAAGTAGCGAAGATGAGAAGATCCAGAAATGAAGGCTGGAAAAAAACACCGTGTGAAAACCACTGGAAACCTACCGAAAAATTCCACCTGCTCCATCTCTACACCAGCAACGACAATGTCTCCAGGACTGAAGATGGCATACTTCACTACGGTAAAGACGCAGCAGATGGCTTAGCCGAGGACATGACGGCAGAGTCCGTAAAACATCACCCGGGAGGCTTGCTACACGCATCTGATCCTTGGTTTCCGAGAACTTACACCTCTAGCATGATGTGTGACAGGTTGCGACGCATGCTTGCGGAAGAAGATGACTTGGCGTTTGAGTTGGAGGCCGAGTTGAACGCTCACTATGGTATGGTTCCAGACACCGCAGCGGAAGTGGCCACAATCGAGAGACAGAGACGAGCCCTGGTGAAAGAATCGGCGAGAAAATCGAGGCAGCTGGAGAAAGAAGAGAAAATCCAAGAAAAAGTGCGCATAAGTGGAGAAGAGCATATACAGAATTCAAACGAGGGGCTTAGATTAGCATTTAGAAAAGTTAAAAAGCCTGTTATCCTTGATAAGACCGCTGCTTGATAAACTCTGACCTCTATTTCTTAACTCGTGCTCTCACTCAAATCTAGGCTACTCCCAATTTCCACGCAATCTTCCTCTCATCTCCACTGCTGAACCCATCGTAACTTTGCAACTCAGAATGAAAATATAAAAGTGTAACTTTCCTTATAAAAATATCATCGTGCTCCAGTGAAGATAATTAGTGACTGTAGTGCCTTGCATTTAGTACACATACATATTGTATCATCCCTATGAATGATATTGAAGTCCATACCACTAGAAGCAGAACATTAATCGCCCTAGAAAGGATCTTAGGAGGTCAAGCCATAGATTAGATAGTTTTCGTTCAATCTCATTTATCTCAATAAGTACTAGCACATATCCATACAAAAATGAAGCAACTGACTGACTATTCTGCAACACACCAGCTCAGTCAACAGCCTGCATTCAATATCAATACAAACCACATTAATACCCCCATCCCGACCTTATCCACACGTAAGCCCTTCTCCCACTTCAAATTTCCACATAATTCTCAAGAGTCAAACAGTATTTTCCTTCCCTTCATCCAGTACCTTTCTCCCACCCACTTGCCAAATCTCGGATTCTTAACTTTAAGCTAACTTTGTATACCTACTGAGGAAATATCATATTCAAATCCCAGATAACTCAAAAATCAGCACTCGTTCCAAGCCAACGCTGAATTATCACATCAAAACAAACAACGATCACCCCAAAATGTCAAAAGCCTTGGAAATGAAGGATCGAGATGTTGAACTAACGAACCATACATTGAAGACAATCTGCACATAGCACAGAAGATCATGTTGTATCTTCCAATGTTATCTTCAAAAAGCACACTTGTGCAAGACCCTCAGTAACAATTGTTCTTCTCATGACACGAAACAATTTCTTTTCTTCTTAAAATCATCATCATTTTCATCATAATCTTAATTTATACCATCTGTCCCAACTGATCCCTTTCAGCTCATAAAGAACCATACACAATCAAAGATTTTCCACTCCCATACAGTACAACCGTACCATTGTACCTCGACCCTGAGATGCACAATGTAAACGCACGCCCACGAGCATAAACTTGCACAGAAACAGAAATCAAAACAGACCAGATGATGATCAGCAAATCCCTTTCAAACGCCCATTGCATATCCTTATGTCCAGCGTCCATCATACCCCAAGTGGCTGTGATTACTCAACTGTGATTTCAGCAGTTGGGTCTTTCCTAATATCCAATTCCATCAGACCTTCTTTCTTATCAATGACAAGACCCTTCTCATTGGCCAAATGCAGAAGACAGATGAAACAATAACTAGTCGAAATATCATTCATGACTTGTTTTGGATATACGGTCTGAAGGTTTTGCATGACAGTTGTAAACTGAAGAGTTTCGTTTTCATCCGTAGGAATTTTGACAGGTGGGGTTGGGAGTCGTGATGTAGAAAGTGACATATCCTGTTTGAATTTATTAGTGATAACATTCGGGTACTATGAGGAACGGATTAACTTACTGCTTGTTCAGGTTCACTAAATCCAATGCCCTTCCATAACTCCTCTTTCAACCTCCTAACATCAACCTTCTTGGCAACCCTAGCATATTGCACATATTCAGGCCTTAATCTTCTACTTTGTGTGACCAGCTGTGTACCAAACGCGCCCTCTTCCCCGTCTGCACCCTGAGCGCCGGCATTCAAAATAGCAGCGATACCACCAATACCTGCACCTTGTCCTTCAGCTCCAGGCGAAAATTGTTCACGTGCGTCGGCGAATTCCATATCATCATCGTCATCTAAACCTGGCATTGCCAAACCGTCATCTTGGAAGAAGTTGGCGTCATAATCCCCATGAGGTGGAGCTTCATCCTCTAATGTGTGAGCGGGTTCTTCTTTTCGTGCCCAATAATCTTCACCAATCTCGCCTTCAGGGATATCATCCTCCTTCTTTTGACCAAAATTTCCATGTTTAGCACCGAACCCTGATTTTCGACTACCCATTCTAGCTTTAGGTTTAAGGAAAAGGCGTAACAGTTGTTTGGAGTTGAAGTGCTTGTCATCGGGAAGAAGATTTCTTGTCTTGGACTTCCAATCTTTCTTTGGTAAAGATATCGTAGCATTGGTTAGTGCATGAGTATAAATAGTTTCAGCCAAAGTGGCATTTAAAGGAGAAATGAAGTCGATTTCGAATGGCTCTTTCTCTTTGCGCGGCTTTGTAACTGCTGGCTTGTTGACGTCTTTGATCTTTCGTATCCTCCAATGTTCAGGACCGGCCCAATTCTTTTGCAACGCCTCGTCGAAATAACTCAAAATGTCATCATGGCCGCCTTCCTTCTTTGATCCACGATCAAGAGATATGATGTACTCGCCGGTTTCAGGGTCAAATGAACCAGCACCTCCTTCTCCGTCCTCACCATCGCCACCATCATTATCGTATCCCACATCGTGAACTCGCATGCGTGGTTCGATTGCGGCATCACGAGCCCAAGCTTCACCACCTTCACCAAATCCAGCATCATCTGGAATATCGAAATTTCCAAGAAGTCCATCGTCGTCATCATCGAATCCAACAGGGTTATCATCGTCTAGGAAAATTCCTGACCTATCACCAACACCATTATCATCCGACTTATCTTTCTCTTGTCGCCAATCTTCTGGTGCCTTTAAAAATGGAATATCCATAGAACCAGAAGGATCTCCAAGGTCGAAATTCTTCAATGATGGGCAAATGTCTTGTTCATCAAGGAAATCCAAATTTGGAAATAACTTGACTCCTAAAGCTTCCACATCTATCTCCAAATCATCTTCGTCATCTTCGTCGTCCTCGTCTTCTTTTAAAGTAACATTTGCCGATTCTAAAACATCTTCCTCATCCTCTTCAATGGCATCATCCTTTCGTCTTCTACCCCGTCCCTCTGCCGAAGCGTCACCTGCGTCATCGCTGCTATCAAAAACAATACGCCCTTTAGAGTCGATAGAGAGATGATTTAATAGTAGACCTTTAGCACCACCCTCATCGAAGTCTGCAGATGCTTTTTTGAACAAAGGATCAACGGAGAATTCAAGTTCGAACTTCTTCAATTGTAATGCTGAGAACGAAGTTGCAAGAGTTGCTTCCGATGAGCGTTGAGCCTGAATTCATGATTAGCTATGGTTTTTTTCTGATTAATTATACCAAGTGCACGATGTGACCAAGACAAACAGGTATTACAATCAGACTTGATGAGAGGCCGGGTGAACCTCGGGATGCTCATCATTTCGAGTACTTTTTGGAAAAGCACTAGAATCAAAATGCTTCCCACGCGAAGAAGAAATGCTCTTTCCAGTCCCCAAACCAAAAAGGATGAAACGCAAATGATGAAGTTGAATGAATTGAGAATCGAGGCTCCAAATTAGGGACTGGCGCCAACCATAATGGAACTTTGAGACAGGATCATTTCCACCAGCAGAAAAAAATGAAGCAAAATAGAAAACAAAAAACAAGGTCAACATACAACAGTGGGGATTCGCTGGTGGTCACCCACCCAACTACTAATCCACCGATCTGAAGCTTGTGTATGGCAGAGCGGACGGGATGCCCAATTCTCTTCAGTCTATGGTCGTATGTGCTAGAATCTTTCTCATCTGATGTTATATTCGGATGAAAGTCCCCCGTTTTCTTCCAAGACCATGTCGCTAGACATAAAACTTAAGACGTCCATCACACCCTACCACTCTGGGGTAGATAAATGGTGTGTGACCACAGTTCTGCTTACATCAAATGCGATCTTTCATATCTCAACTATGAGATTTGACTTGTCTTCGAGATCCTTGCACGTCGGCTGAAGAACCAAGTAATAATGAAGATAAGTGGCACGTACCCTTTTCTTTGCCTTCTTCCTAACAACTCCATCTTCATCTTCTACCTCTTCTTCACTCTCATCTCCTTCGCCTTCCTCATTTTCGCCCCTTTTCTTCTTATTGTTCCCGCTATCTGCCAATCCACTCAAAAGCTTGCCGGTCTCTGTAGCTACACTGTCGACTCGACTCGTATAAATCTTTACACACCCATCGAGAGTGTAACTGGCCTTTTGGAAATTGACTCCATCACCCTCCTTCAAAAGTGACATATCATGGAAATAATCAATAAGCGCAAAGTTCCAAGAATTTGCAGCGTTGATTTTGTTGTCTGTGGCCATCTTCATCCATTCTTCGAAATTTGCGAGAATTGGAACACGCTTCATGGGAGTAACTGCGTTTCCTCCAACCATCATTACCCCGCCTTCCAAATCATTCTCTTTTCCTATCCGCCCCGGTGTTCTGTGGTTCACTGACGGCGAGGAGCTTCCTGCCCGATCAAAGTTCACCAATTTCCGTGGAGTCGCGGCCTTTTTAATTTCATTCATCTGAGTTTCATGGTGGGCATTTCTCGATTTTAATCGTTTTGCTTTTTCTCGCGCATCATCATTGAGAGCCAATTTCACTGGCGATGCATCATTCAAAGGTACCCTGCCATCAATCAGTATTGAAAGAATCTCATTCTGCAGAGCGCTCGCAAACGAAAAGCATCATATCTGCCAAAGATATGGAAATTAAACACCATAGCAACCGGGGCAATCATACTTCACGGGAGATTTTGCAGGAGTTTGTAAAGAGCCAGAAGCAACTCTACCCCTCTTAGCACTTGGGTTTTGTGCGACTCTAGGCATATCAAAAAATATAAAAATTGTCGTGATAGGCAAATGCGTTGCAATGATGCTAAGTTTCAACTTTGTTTATTTTCTATTATTTACATTTTGGTAGGACAGCGGGGACCGATTACCCAACCCCGACGCGAGTATCACAGCCTTAGGTATCAAGAGAATGGCTTACATAAGCGATTTGGAATCAGGATTGTTAAGACCTTTTCACATTACATGGTGATTGCCACATCAACTTTCATCAAGAAACAGCGAAAGGATGAACTCTTGCATCAGATGTGAATACATCCCATTTCCATTTCAATTTGGTACCATATAATATCTCCCCTCAAGTGTTAAGAAAGTGTTATTATATCCTTCCCATCGGTACCTACTTCTCGTCAGGAACACAACGAGGAACACCAGTGGATGTAACCTTCAAGGTTATCTTGTTACTCCATACACATTTGCCGTTGATCGTCCTTGTCTCAAGTTTATCGATAACCTATCTAGCACGTCTAGGTAGTGTCCAGTACAAGACGTGGACCATCAGACCCAGTCATTAGCCACACATACGTGCGATTACAATGTACTTTGCCATTCACTCTTATGACGAAGCTTCCTTTTCCTTGCCCAAATCTCCAATCACTATCTTGGCAATTTAGCTAGCACAGCCCATTTTATCAGAAGCTTTTCCTGCCCATGTACGTAGGTACTAATCACTTATAATACAATTATCATCGCCATCGCAACTGCAATCGCATTACTCCGACAAAAGCTTCAGGTCCACATCAGATCATGCATCAAGCATGCATCGAACTTCTTCGACTAAGGTGTTATCCCGCCCACCCAAACGTTCCAAATATAATTTTCGAGCCTTCTATCTTACTATATTGATCATTTCATTGTTAGCTGTGATAAGTCTTGTCGCAGATCAAAGCGCGAAATATCGTTACGGTTCTCAATATGGTGTGGCACAAAAACGAGCATTGGATGCGCTGGACAGTAGAAGACTTGTGAAACGGGACGAAGAGGTTTGTAGATGCACAAAAGCTACGCCAGACTTTGTACTCACATCAAATCTATAGTGTCGTCTTGTCCACCATGCCGAAGATAAATGCCAATTCATATTGGCGAATTGCCCCGATGAAACTGCAGGACTCCTCAATTACCTTTCGCTTTACTATTGCAAGCTACCAACAGCTAAGCCCTTAGCTTTCACCGTTCTCATATTATGGCTTGGACTATTATTCTCGACAATCGGAATCGCTGCGAGCGATTTCTTCTGTATCAATCTATCAACAATCGCGAGCATATTGGGTATGAGCGAGAGCATGGCGGGCGTAACATTCCTAGCCTTTGGTAATGGTAGTCCGGACGTATTCTCGACGTTTGCCGCAATGGGTTCGCACAGTGGCAGCCTTGCGGTGGGCGAGCTCATCGGAGCAGCTGGATTTATTACTGCAGTTGTCGCAGGATCTATGGCTTTAGTCAGGGAATTCAAGGTTGGTAAAAAGACATTCGTAAGGGATATTGGCTTCTTCATAGTTGCAGCAAGCTTCAGTATGTTATTTCTCGCAGACGGTGCTCTTCACTTGTGGGAATGTTTTGTGATGATTGGGTTTTACCTTTTCTACGTGGTGATAGTGGTTATGTGGCATTGGTATCTGGGAGGACGGCGACGTCGTCGTGAAAGAGAGGCCGCAGCTCGTGGTCAGTACTTGGCAATGACAAATGAAGAGATAGAGGTTACCGAGGAAGATGGAGATGATGAGGATGCGCCAGCAGGAGAGAGAGACTCCCGTGGCAATGAAGATTTTGCGGCATTGGAACGTGGCTCTAGTCCTCATCCACGAGTGCCTGAAAATGAAGATAGTGACGAGGACGGAGATGAAGGGAGATACATTGCTGTAGAGGTGGCTAGCAATATGCGAGTGATACGACCATCCGGTAGCCGGAGAAATACTTTAACTCCCATTCGTCCTAGTTTGGTGGGTGCTCTAGAGTTTAGGTCGGTTCTATCATCTTTGCAAAAATCTCGAGGTTCCCATGGCCCGCCCATAAATTTGCGACGATATTCAGATGACCCATCGACATCACTTGACTACATCAGGTCATCTGCAACAACATCAGCTCCGGCTTCGGAATATGCCTTGAGCATAAATCCTATTGAGAGTGGTGAAAACGATACACAGCGCCCTAAGCTAGACGCAGTACGCAGTAGAGCCGTCTCTATGAACGCTGCGTCAGCCCTCAAGCCTCCGGACCCCGCAGCATTCACCGTCGCAGATGTGCCGGACATTGGTATAATGGCAGCCACCCCAACTTTTCCTCAGCTCCTAAGAGTTCCGTCACCATGCCCCAGATCGCCCACAGTCTCTATCTCGCCTCCTCCGTCTTTTGATGGATCACGAAGCGACAGACTATTCACAAACAGCATATCGCGATGGAATGACGATTTATTGGCACCACCTGGGAATGAATCTCCAGCAGCATCACCCCGGCATCCCCGTTCACCAAGCCTAGACCCTGTAAGTTCACAGGCAAACTCTACTAGATCACGAACAGTACAACGACCTCAGCTTCAAATCCCAACCTCATCAAGAGATAGCTCGCGAAACCGGACACATTCACCAATATTACCATTTCCTATCTACATGGACTCTCCACTTTTGTTGTCAGGGAATAGTTCCAAGGCTCCCAGTATCCTGCTGCCAGATTCCGAAATCACACCCGAGTCAGTTAATTTGGAGCACGAGTTGTACTGTCCGGAGAGGCCAATAAGATGGTGGCCATATCGCATATTACCCAGCCCACAAATCGTACTTTCAGCTCTATTTCCTACACTATGCACGTGGAGAGATAAGAGCGGATGGGATAAATTTATTAGTGTTATTTCGGCCCCTAGTATCTTTCTTTTGGCAATCACATTGCCAGTGGTTGAGTCAGAATCAAAAGACCAGGAAGAGATAAGCTCCATTGATCAAAGGAGGGAATCAGGCACATCAAGGAGAAATACCGGCCCATCGCTGATCCCGGATAGCCCATCATTTATTTCAGAAGCAGGATCCGAATGGGTAGAATACCAACGGAGTCGACGGAACACACAGACCGATGATTGTCCTCGGTCACCTATTTCAGATTTTGGTCAACACAATACCGCGGCGGTAGCCATCTCGGCTGAGCGCCATCATCCTCATTCGCATCAAATTCCCACGTCGCCCACCAAAAATATCAGACCGTCTCACGAGGATGCGATTCATAGCGGGCCGGGGATGGAACATCCTAGAGACTGGAACCGCTGGCTTGTCGTGCTTCAATTGTTTACAGCTCCACTTTTTGTGGTATTCATATTTTGGGCTAACAGTGACGATGGTGACTCGAAGTCGCTCATACGTCTGGTTTTGTATTCCATTCTCGGATCTTTGGTAGCATTTTCCATTCTCGTATTAACAACAACCCATTCGAGGCCCCCTAAACATCGATTCGTACTTTGTTTCCTCGGTTTTGTCGTTGCCATTGCTTGGATTTCCACCATTGCCAACGAAGTTGTCGGAGTTCTCAAAGCATTTGGTGTCATTTTAGGCATCTCAGATGCGATACTTGGCCTTACGATCTTCGCTGTTGGCAATTCATTAGGAGACCTCGTCGCCGATATCACAGTTGCCAGATTAGGATATCCTGTTATGGCATTGAGTGCTTGCTTTGGGGGACCGATGCTAAATATTCTCATTGGAATTGGCGTTAGTGGCGCATACATGACAATTAAAGAGGCCAACCACAAACATCACAAGCATCCAAACAAAGATATCAAATATAAGCCATACGAGATTGAAGTCAGTGGTACACTAATGGTCAGCGCCATCACTTTGCTGATCACGTTAGTCGGACTTCTCATTGCAGTACCGATGAACAAATGGATAATGAGTAGGAAAATTGGATGGGGTTTGATTATTCTCTGGTCCATCAGTACAATGATTAATCTTGCCGTAGAGGTTAGTGGAGTTTGGGGCGATAATTTGGACCTGTCTACCTTCTTTTCATAAGATTGAGGATATTTTTGATGTAGATGATGAATTATGTTTAATAGTAGAAAGATAAGGGGGTAGAGTTGTACTATACCCGGAATATATAGGCTGCTTTTTTGGTATGATTTTAATGGCTATGTTATTTCCCAATATCAAGGCTCTGTTCAAAACAATAAGATAACAATTCGTGATCCTAGTATTCGAGTATGCTGATTCATATTAGTCTCGCCTTTGCATGACTAGGTAGTATATATTCATTGTGTTACATTGTATGCTTCAAGGAAACATATGTAATGGAATCTTATCCCAATTCTGAATAATTAATATTTCTCGATTGGACCAACTGACTATTCTCAACAAAAGCCTACTCTCTTTCATCAATGGAGTCTCTCCTGAAGTGACTACCTATGTAGTATATAAAGCAATCGGCATCTTGATCAAAGTATCAGATAGCCTTTGGACTATAATAACCCTTGTATATTTTGATATTTGATAGATCTATCTGTAGAGAACAAGGAATTTATATACATGGACGACTGCTACCTATGTATTATTTGAATGAATGAGTTGAGAGTGTACCAAATACCTGGATACTCTTTTGTACATCAGAACTCAATGGCAGCAGTTTTACCTTCATCTATTACTCGAGTACCTAGACCCCATATTGGCCTTGTATTTAAGGCTCAATAGTTACCCTTCCGAAGCTTAACCGGCTCGAGCACTAATAACCTCCCGCCCCGCTACAGCACATCAGACAAGACCAGACAACAAAAGCTCCCTCCAACCCTGAAATAGGATAACCAGCAGGATACCTACGTAACCTTAACAATTATTCTACCCCTCATCTCACCTTTTTTCAAATTCATCAAAGATCACTCTTGTGAGACGCCATTGCTTGCGACAATCTATTAAAGCCCAACACTTTCTTATTCGCACTGCGGTATCTTCTAGCCCTCGAGTTAACTTCGCTGGCTATCGCGATAATGAGCACCATGCTCCCGGGGACACACGTCTTCTCTCATCAACATCAATACAATCCGCAGGTCGACCAACCATGGATGCACCAGCAGACCCACCTTCAACAGGCGCAGCAGCAGCATGCAGCGGCGGTTCAGGCAGCTCATTATAATCGCATGGCGGGTCAAAATCAAAACCACAATGCCGCTGTGCCTTCCATTTCTTCAAATCACGGACAAGACGCAGCAGCCATGATCGACTCCAATGTTTCGGAAGAAAATAGAAGGACTTTGAACTTCATTGCAGACTTACTCAACGAAGACACCAGGGAAGCTGCTCTCCTGGAGCTCAGCAAGAAGCGCGAACAAGTGCCAGAGCTTGCATTGATACTGTGGCATTCTTTTGGTAAATTTACGCCGTCGGAAGGGATAGCGTTATGACATGCTGACAGATCTAGGTGTGATGACATCACTTCTCCAAGAGATAATCTCAGTATATACTCTTCTCAATCCCTCCCAACTCACCGCCGCCGCATCAAATCGAGTCTGCAACGCCTTAGCCCTTCTACAATGCGTTGCTTCTCACAATGAGACTCGCGCCCTTTTCTTGAACGGTTGGTTATCCAAACATCATTAATATGACACAGAACTGACATTAGTAGCCCACATCCCTCTTTTCCTCTACCCTTTCCTCAACACGACTTCTAAATCCCGACCCTTTGAATATTTACGTCTTACCTCCCTCGGAGTCATCGGGGCCCTTGTCAAGAATGATTCATCCGATGTCATCAACTTCCTCCTCACTACTGAAATAATTCCATTATGTCTTCGAATCATGGAGACCGGATCAGAACTTAGTAAGACAGTTGCGATCTTCATTGTACAGAAGATCCTTCTCGACGATCACGGTCTCAATTATATTTGTGCTACCTATGAGCGATTTTATGCTGTTGGCACAGTACTCAGCAATATGGTTTCACAACTTGTTGAACAACAAACCGCGCGGTTGTTGAAACATGTCGTCCGCTGCTTCCTTCGGTGAGAATATATCCAAGACTTTGATTTCGTTCCCGCTAATATGAATGCCAGGTTGAGTGATAATGCGCGAGCCCGCGAAGCCCTCCGCCAATGTCTCCCCGAACCTCTCCGCGATGCTACTTTCTCCTCGGTCCTTCGCGACGACGCTGCCACCAAACGTTGCCTTGCACAACTTCTCATCAATTTATCCGATAATGTTGTTGAATCTTCATCGGGTCACCAAGGTCTCTAATATCCACTTTCTAATTCCACTTTCAATGTACAATTATAAAAGCACCGACACGACGCAGACGAGCATGGGGAATTTCATCTTCGGTTTTGCATAGACATCACGATACCCGGTCTTTCTTTTCGGAAATGTCGTAGGTCTCTGTAGCTGGTCATCACAGGTTTCATAAAAGCATTGCGGGTCAAATGGGGTTGGTCTGAAGGGTGTTTTGCGCGGCTTGGTTCAATGAAGGTAGGAGTTGACAGTTACTGCTCCCTCAAGCGCACCAATCTGGCGGGGGCTTCAAACGTACACCTCCGCTCAAAGTGGATGGTTATCTCTTTCATTTATTTACATTGATTGGTGTTTATTACTGTATTTGGTTGTTTTGAGGGCGTTGGGGATATCTTACATGCTGCACTATAATATAATGCTGCTAGGGAAATGGGTTGTAAAGTAGGCAAAAACTTCAGCGTTCAGGAATAGAGATATACATTCTTGATATTGGCATTGAGTATTAAGATGGTTTATCGACATTGTGAAATACGGCAATTGCGAAGTTCCATAACCTGGTAGGCCAATATGATATGGGTAAGCTTCTTCTCATTGTTCTCAAGTAGAAGTGTACGGACTTGGACGGAGAAGAGGAACAGCCAAAGTAATAATAAAGCGGGGACGGTAGTTAGGATATTTACAATCTAGAAGTCGAGGGTGGTCTGAGGGTCTGAGGGTCTTTCGGTCTGACAGATCACAGAGTTGACAGACCCTTTGACCGACGTTTAGATTGGACATAGGTACTGTACTCTACTCTACTCTACTGTATCAGGGTATTGCACAAACCTTAATTGATATTCGGCTTTGCGGATTCGTGGATTGGGCAAATGGCTCATAGAGTAAATTGATGTACATATGCCCGGTACCGGGTTATGTTTCTTGGGATTTGTTGGGGGGATGTTCCGCGGCAGATACGGTACTTGGTAATAGTTATAATAGTTATCAATAGATCCAGTCTCGAGCCAGTGTACGAATTGTACGAAGCTGAATCATCCTCGGTTTGGGTTTACCAGGCTGATCACACAATATCAATGTGTCTCACTCCGAAAATTCCCCAGAATGAAAAGGGTGAGGTGAATAGTAATCAAAACACCTCGGACACTTTGAATTCTCATTCTCATTCTCATTCCCCTTGACCACACATCCACCCACACCACACCCAATAATTCTTGGGTCAGATGGATGGATGGTACATGAATGCAAACGTCACATATCGATACATCTATCTGCAACAAAGGGACCACAACCACCGACAAGCAGTTGACGCATCGCACATTGATTATTAATCCATAACTCTAAATCTGTTGATTATTTTGGTTCTGGCCTGGTGGGCTTTACTTACGAAAGCTTCCCAATTACCAAGCATCAGATTCCGAATACCTAGGATATTGAGTGCATTTACCTGGAATCTCCCGGCTAGACTCACCTCTACTTGCATAATCTTAGCTTATACTGCACTGCATCTCAAAAGGTTGAGCTAGCAGAGGAAGAACAGACAGACGGTACAGTCAATCGGCTGAAGAAAAGTTGACAGACCTTGTCTTCAGTTCCCTTGCATACCCACCCTACCTGGTATATACATAGTAAACAGAAAAAAGAAAGAGAAACGATCTGATGACTGGCGTAGAAAGATTATGCTACTGTCGGCGTTAATGTGAATTGTTATTCAGCCAACACTTGATCCAAAAATCATTCCACGGCTGACAGGGACGACAAGACAAGACAAGGCAGGACAAACTACTAACCGTTCGATATAAGGCGTGGTGATATTATCCACATCTCCAATAAGTGTGTGCTGAACTTATCTATAAAGTTGATTTGGTCCCACCCCCGCATTCAATTTGGTCAATGATGAATTCTTCTTATGCCGGCGGTCTTCCTATGCAGCAGGACGATCGATATGCTTTGACAATTCTTACTCAAGCTAGCAACAATTCTTCATCCATTAATCTCAATACAATGTCAAACGCCACCGGCGCTGCCTTTCCGGGTAGTAATCTAGCCAAAAACAATAGTGTCTCGACGGCCCAAGGCACCGTTTACCAGACACGTGCAACGCCCATTTCAACATCGATGTCTTCATCCACGATCAGTAATCGTCCTACCAATACACCACGATACCGTTTCCCACCTTCAATATCCAACCTTGTTGGGAATCACACAAGACCTCATCAAGAAATGCAGGCGCTTGTTTTCAATTCCACTGAACAATCCTCGCAGGGTACCTTTATGAACCACCAATTCCAATCAACCTATTCCAATAATCTAGGAATTTTGAACGCGGAGAGTTATGATGATGGGAGGGGTCCAATCGGATCCCACAATCCTAATATGATGAGTATGAAGCGTCAGATTGAAAATCAAATACCATTTGGAATGGTGGAGAAGCACGGAGATACAAAACCACAAAGTGAAGAGCGTGAGCACGAACAAGGGAAGAAGCGAAGGAAGAGAGTCCGAAATGAGTCTCCAAATCTGGACGACGATGATGACGAAGCTCGAAAAAAGGCGAGAGGGAGACCAAGAGTCGACACTAAAGATGAAACTGCTGCCGATGTAAGTTTTCTCCGTCTAGGTGCCATCTGTCTGTTGTCGTGGCAAGATAGTCTTAGCCCTACAAAAATAGATTACTGTTAGGATATCAACTCTCTATGTTCTCCAATGCATGTTGACATCCATTACATTGCTAATCATTGCCCAGAGGCGAAGAACTCAGATTCGAATGGCCCAGAGGGCCTATCGACATCGCAAAGAGACAACAATTTCTTCTTTAGAAAAGCAAGTCCAAGAACTTAAAGGTACAAATGAAGAAATGAATAATATATTCATTAATCTCTACGACTTTGCCATCAGTAGAGGTCTTCTACAACGCGAGCCGGAGTTCGGTCAGCAACTTCAATCATCTATGCAAAGATTCCTTGCGCTCGCAAAACAGAATGCAGGCGATGAAAATCAAAGGTACGAAGATGACTCGCCAGATAATACTACACATGAATCTTTTGATGGGGCCAAACATTCTTTCACAAGTCAGAGCGCTCAACGCCCGCCTCCCCCTGTTCTGCTGTCAGATGAGCCGACTACCGCCGAGACGATAAACACGTGGGGTGGATACACTGTTTCGAAGGATACTAGTTCTGAAGAAGAAGTAAGGCAGATGGAATATAATCAAAACGATACAGAAGAACCTAGACAGTATGAAATAATCAGCAGGGCTACTGAAGAAAACGCGAGTTTTCCTTTCGACCTGACGAGTATTCAACAATACCGAGTCGAGATACCCTCTCCTACCAGTAACGATTTTCTCCAAGGCTTTTACCCTCATGCTCCAGTCCCGCTTCCAACTACGCATTCCTACTTTGAACTTTCATTTGCACGGCGAGTGCACCGCGCAACGATGGAAGAAGGCTACAAGTTACTCACAATGCCAAATCCTCCGCATCGACTATTTGAAAAAGTCTTTGGCTATTGCTTGAAATATGAAACCAAGCAAGAATGCGTTGCGCGGTTTAAAAGGGTTCTGAATACTTCATCAAAGGAATCTCTTCAGGAATGGCGCTATCCATTAGTTCACCTAGGAGGGTCGGGTACATACTATCCCAATCAAGACCCTGATACTGATAATGAGTTGATGCCCAAATTTCGTACTGGATTCTCTATGGGCCCCTTTCCCACAGCCTTCACACCATTACTGGAAAACATCAATTCTGACATGAAATGTACCCTGCCTGGGTTTGAAGGCGAGTTTTTTGATTCTAATGACGTTGAAGGTTATCTTAGAGGTCATGGATTCGATCTCCATCCAGGTGCCGACTATATCACAGGTCAAATAGAACTCGAGGTTTCTTCCGATGTCCACAGTCCAGGGACTTCTAGTACTGACTCTGTATTTCCACCTACACCTCGGAGTCCAATTGGGAAATCCCTTGATGAAACCAATCTAAATGCGTATAAACTCGATTATATCGATGGTAATCTAAATAAAGAAGCTCAAGCTAGTGGTCTTTCCCAGTTTATGACATTTCCATCTTGGAATGCCAGTATTCCCAGGGGGGCGAATCCTTTTGATTTATCCGGTCCAATATTTGATGGTACAGACGGTCCGAATTCTGGAACTTCGAGTCCCAAATTTAGTGCCAATAGTAAACGCTATACGGAGAAATGTACTGTGACTATTAAAGTAGAAACTCTGATCAGAGGTGTGTTGTTTACTCGTTGATTTTAAGATCATAGCTGATTATCATTTTTTTATTTAGAATTGGTTGGTATTGCTTCCTGCTTGGGACGTGCCCCTGGATACAGACGAGCCGATATAGATGCCGCGATCATTACTGCAGCAAGAGAAACTGGAATTGAATGAACTTGCGAGTAGGCTTAATGATGTTTCTCCAGAATTTTGGGGGGCCGCTATTTTCGCACCTGCCCAAATCTTATCGATTCACGTAATGCTGGCTAATCTCAAAAAGCACTTCATGGCGCCTGCCAGTTTCGTCCGGAGTTCAGTTGTCCATATGATCTTGGAGATTGGATAGATTGATCTTTACCCGCAATCATTAGATAATATCTCAATTTTCATGGTAATTGCTGTACACAAATTTACATGCATTCATTATCCATCATCCTGTTCGGGACGATTGTCAACATCTCTTATTCATCTATGGCGAACATTTCCAGTTCACGATGGCCTATCAAAGTCAGTAAATTCTTGCTCATTATGAATCGAGCTCTCAATAGTACGTAAGATCTTATATTGATCTTTTGTAGAATCTTTTGAAGGAGCTCTTGACAAAGCAATTTCGAATCCGCAACTTAAGATGGACGAGCCTACTTACACCGGAAAATGCCAAAAGGCCGAGAACACGGGCACCAGAGTCGGAAATTATATTATTACTCCAGGTTATTTTGGTCCCTATGCCCATGCGTCAATTTCCCCGGTGCTTCCTCCTCGGTCTACCATGTTTGAATGGCATAAATCACGTCGCAGAGTACCTGCAACCGTTGATAAGGTTTTAATCGAAGAACTCCAAAAGATGCACAGTAAGATAACCTGCTTGCAACAAATCTATTCGAACAATTGAGGCATCTCAATGATTCGAAATCCCTTGTTTATTGGACAATAGTCTAGACTTTTCAATGCGCGATCGCTTTCAAAAAAAACGACTGACTCTTTTTACAGTCGCCAAAATTCTTGAAGCCCACAAGAAATCTGCGTTTACTCCTCAATCATCAACTTTAAATGGTCGATTGCATCAAAAGTTTCTAGCACAGAAACGCGACTCGATGTCTGACAGGGATAGAAAACCATTCGAATCCAGATGGGCTGCCTGCAATTGAGCCGTCAATGCGGAGGGATCGGAAGAGTAAATAGCGATCCGCGATAGTTTTGTAGGGTGGGAATTGAAAGCGCCTTGATTTGCTAACCTTGAACTAAGAAAGACCCAAAAACATGAGATTGGGGTTAAGCAGTCTTCGGAGGATCTTCTGTCGACACACTTGGAATCTTGGGTGGAGTATGAAGATGGATACTCTATTCTTGGATCTGCAAGTTTGGGGGATGATGCTGATGATTGTTAGATTATGTTTGGATGTGGGAATAAAAGAGGAGGAAAGACGGAAAGTATGGGAGATGGGAGATGGGCGGAAGAGTGAGCTGAGATATTTCAGCATAGCGAATATGAAATTAGCGAAGTCTATTAAAGGGGCTAGTGGTTTTGAATATTAGTTTTGAATTCTTGAGCGTGCGTGCGTGCGTGCTTTATGAATTATAATAATCTTCAAGATTCTTATGTACGATACTCAGTCACTCACATCGAGCTCTACTTTTGTGTGAGTTGTGGGAATTGCAGGATTCATCTGTGATGTTTTGAGTGGAGAAATAATATGCAGAATGGATTGATAAGTTTGAGTTTGAGTTGTGAGGTTAAGCGTGAGTGATTGTAAGTGTGAGTGTGAAGTTGCTTTGGAGTGAAGTGTAAAAGCTGTTTGAGGGAGATAGTAGTTGGTGAACTACTGAGTTGGTTGTCTGAATGGTTGGAGGGGAGGAGATTGGGAAGTTAGGATGGCGACTAAAAAATGAAGATGTATATGTAATGTAGCATAGCTTATTGTTGTTGTAAGGGGATGGAGGGATGGAGGGATGGCAGAATGTGTATATGCGTGTGAAGGAGTGGAGTGGTTAAGAAGGATGAGATGGGACAGAAGGTGTGGTGTGAGATGGGGATAAGTAGGTTCATCAGAAGAAGGTGAGAGAGAAGAGGAGAGAGAAAAAGAGAGGAGAGAAGAAGAGAAGAAGAGAGGAGAGGGGGTGTAGGGTGTAGGGTGTACAGTAGTTTAATGAATACTCGAGTTCGAATCGAATAATGAGATTGAAGGATTGAGGATTGTATAGTACTAGGGCATAGATAATGACCGTTTGTCTTAATCATACTAAAAAATAGCGATTTAATATATATTATATAATGATTTATTAATATTTTTAATTATGTCTTTTAATTGAAACTTTTTAAATGAATTATTTATATTATAAAGATTTATATTTTTTAGTTTATTAGTTTTAATATAAATTATAAAATTAATATTTATGATTGAAACAAAACCTTGTAAGAGTTTTTCAAATTTCGCTTATTATATTAAATAAATTTTATAATTTTCAAATTATTATATTTTAAACTATATAATATAATCAATAAAAATCCTAAAAATAAAATATTCATTTTTTTGAAATCTATGACTAGAAATGAATAGAATTCTATAATATATATAACAAATTCAGATATAATTGTATTTAAATTCATTCGTGTTAAGGATGAATTTTGGTGTGATTTAGGCGATCAGCTATTATCTATGTATAGTGACTATGGGGGGGGACAGGAGGGGGGTTGTATATGTAGTGGCATTCGAATATGAGAGGCGAGGATGGGCATGGGGATAGATGGGTAAGGTTGGTGACGAGGTTTGTGTGGGGGTGAGATTGGTAACAACATTGGAGGGTGATGTGGGCGGTGAGAGTGACATGAAGATGAGAATAGTATAAGGGTGATTTGCCAGGTGAGGGGAGCACTAGTAAGTGTATAAGTGGAATAAATCCTTTCCAACTTACAAAATTGGGATAAGAAAAATCATTTTTTGATTGTTCGATATTGATATTATATCGAAATCGAAATCGGCATTTTTATTTCCCAATTTTTGGGAATGATTATGACAGTTGTTAGGGGTCATAATGAGGTTTTGATTTTGGTTGGTTTGGATATATGGGTGTTTATTGGTTGCTGAAGTGGAGGAAAAGAGGGGAGGAAAAGGGAGGAGTTGGTGTGAGAATGAGGATAAGGATGAAGGGATGGAAAGATGAAGCATGAGAATGAGGGTGAGGATAAGATTGCTTGTTTATTTGATTAGCGGGGAGTATGTGAATTGTAGAGGTGAGAATGTGAAAAGAGAAGAGGGGAGGGGGAGGGGGAAGATGGAGGGGGAAAATGGCTATTTTAAATTGTGAGGGTGGGGATGTGCAAGCGAGAATTGTGAGTTGGGAGGGTGTAGAATGAGGAGGCAGGCTTTTCGTTATGGAGGACAAATGGGGGCGAGACGAGCTTCTAGTTGAGGGATGAATTTGCTGTTATTATTTGGGAGGGAAGAAGGAGGGGCAAAACAATCTATTGGTTACGTTGTCCACAATGTCTCCTAATGAGATGCTGAAAAGTAACATAAGAATTTAACTCCCGAGAGACAAAATTTTGATCCGGTTTCGAAAGCTCCTTCCGCATCTTAATGTCGTTCTTTCCTCTTCCTTTTATTTATGCCAACAACAAAATGAAGACTAGTAGAAATATTCCTCCTTCATGATAATATCCTATCTCAGCAGCATCCTCAATTAATCAAGCGTTCACCTCTATCTTGATTAACTTATAGATATGTCGTTCAGGGATAAATTAGAAGAATGTGCTTCAGAGCCACACCTGCGACAAGAAGAAGTAAGGGCGTTCAAGACAGCAATTGCGTTTCTCGATCTTATGGCTGAGCACGAGAATGAAATATTGCCTTATCCAATTCTTGAAAACGAATGGAAATTTTTTAAAAGAGCATCATCTTCGAAAGAGCCAGAAATTAGAGAACTCGAGAAATATTTGACAACTCTTAGTTCTAGTATTCCAAGATATTGGGCAGTCAAGTTACAAACTATATGGCTTGGACACGCAGATAAATATGAGATGGTTCGCAAACAACACGATTCTTTGGAAGAAATTTCCAAACTACTAAGCTTAGAGGTGGCTTATGATGGCATCTTGGATAAGTGGTCCAAGAACTGGAAACCCATTGTAAAGACTCGATTCGATTACGAAAGGGCTCTGTCAATGTAAATTTTATAAACTGGCTTTCCGAATAATTGCCAACAGCAAAAGACCAGAAGATACGATGTTCACAGAGAGATTGAAGGGTTTTTATGAAAATCGCAGAGTATCAACATTTCATCAGGACAAAGATGGCTCAAATTTCAAATTTGGCGATATTGATCTCGAAGAAGTTGAGTGTACTGCCACAAGTAGATGGGGATCAGAAATTTGTCGGCAAGCCTTTCACATTGTTCCATCACGAACAAGCACGGCCGAAATGAATTTGATGTTTGTCACGACAGAGGCTTTGAATCCTGCGCTTGGAGCATACGATCTCAAGAATGGTTCAATATTTTGAAAAACAGATTGCAGACGCTTGGGAGACATGTCAAATCTGTATTGTGCCATTCGTTGACACAATATTTAATTTCAGAACATGGGAATTTCGGGTGATGGACTCGAATTTGTTAGAGTGCAACCATCTGGAGCTAAATTGTTTATTCCAGGACATTCATGGACGTCAGGTGGAAGCTCGGTCTATGCCACGAATAGACTGCCTACAATTCCATTAATTTCTTTGTCTGGCTATATCAGAAAACAAGAATTTTGACCAGCAGAGAATTGAAGATGAATTGGTCTATGGGAAGCGAGCTTGGTCGGCAATAGATTCAACGCTTCTAGGGAAACGAAATTTGACCTCACTCCTAAGTGACGCTGTTGGTCGTAGACTTCCTCTTGATATAACGAATTCGAAACTGCATGACTACAGGCTTTTACTTTATGCAGAAAGTGAAGGATTGATATCAAGAATATGCAATGTGCCAGATGCGACATCGGAATTAGAAGAAGGGGGGAGTGGGCATTAGTGGCTATAAGTTTATCGAACACCAGAAGCGAAGTGGAAAGTTCATTACAACGAAGTAAATAGTATGACCCCAACATGAAACAATCAAGCACGGCGTTTTTAAAGTCTTCGTGATCGGTGATCCAAGTGTTCAAAATCCGGTTCAATAATAGTCCGCATGATCAAACATAATTTCTAGGTCCTACTTGCAGACGTTTCGCTCAAGTAAACAATAAGGTATTAACTTGCATGTATATCTCAACCGCGCTTATTACAAAGAGCACCATTAGAGTGGTAGTCTGGAATCATCTCTCGCCTGGACTCCTCGGAAGGACCATTCTGGATGCGGTGGGGAAGATTTCCGATACCCCTGGAGTTCTCGCTAATCTTGTAGTCTAGACTAGCCCCCCTTTTTTCAGAGGATGGAAATTTTTATATGCAATTGGTGAGAATAGAATTCTATGAATGTAGAAGCTAAATAAATTATGATTAACGCGACTCGAGAAATTGATTGAGAAAAAAAGTTGTGTTTTCAACGGTCTGAACTGCAGTCTATTTTGAGATTTTAGTTTGAAGACCCCGAAGATATTATTGTCGATTTCATCAATCAGTTGTTTTAAATCTATTGGATGATCGTGTGGACAATTGAAACTTATTCAATATCAAAGATAGATACAACACTCGAAAGGGGTTTAAACTTCCAAAGTTCTTCATTGTTGGACTGTCGTCCGGATTATTGGATACCCTGGGAAAATGGAATGGATGAGAATTATGAACTTAGATACAGCAGAAGGAAAAGGGTGCTCGTATACAACGCTTTACCAAACATTTCCCAGCTCAGAATTGGAAGGGATATGAAAGACGAACTGGACCTCAATAGCCTACTCTCGAAAATCGTAACATCCTCCATGCTTTGCCGACATGTGCTCATAGCACAACTTCGAGTGTTCAAATGACTCCAAGCATACCCAGCAAAGATGCGCTCCACACTTACACTCGATATGATTACACCCATCCGTTTTCTCAATAGATATTTTGCATTTGGGACAACTCTTGATCCCGATCTTTTCCATCAGTTTGAGCGTAGCTTCATATCTTCCCGACGTTTCATCTTCATACTCCGCGCACGTTTTGTTGTCGTGCTGATGGTGACAATATGTACATATTACCGTGCAGCATTCTATGCAGGTATTGAAATGCATAGTATCTGTTACACGATAGATGGTATCACAATTTGGTTTTGGACAATAGCGGAATGCCTGTGGATTTCGCTGGATATGAGTGGAGAAAGAGACCGCCAGGATATCTTCGAATGCTTTGGACGAGAGAATTTCTTGTAGCTCTTTAAGGTTGAAGCTGACTTGACATCTTCCCATGTCTCCGTGGCAGTTTATTGAAAAATTCTTTCCGTTGGAACTTGCGGCGCTACAGGAAAGTTCGAAACACTCGATGCAATATACATGATTGCATTTGGTAAGGATTGGATTATCTGCTATTCCCCAGCATACAACGCAATCCTCTTTGGTGGTGACAGATTCAGATAGTGGCTTGGATTCTTTCTTGCCGATCATTTTCAATGCTATTTCGTATTCCTTTTCGGTGCCTGCGATCAAGATCCTCCTCGGCCTTGAGACGATATCGAATGTGGCAATGTTATCTCCAAATGCAGTAGCAATCATTTTGAAGCCACCGTTGCATGCCCATCGAAAGTCCTCGGGTTTCAATTCAATTATATGAGCAGTGTATGATTCGGTACCAATGATTGTCGTGATGATCGACTCCACTTCCTTACAATTTTCTTCGGGGCCATAAAGCTTTATTATTTGTTTTCTCTTGTTTCGAAGAATGATCACTCCATGATCTTGCTGGATCTTCTTAAGTTTCTGAAACACAGTTCCATTGCCGATCAAAGAAGATGTCCACAAAGGCTTGTCACCATTCATCACTGTGATCCCGTCTAATATCTCATTCAATCTTTCTTTCGCGGCAGCCACATCTTTTGACGCCTCGCCCTCAATCTTTAGAACTCTGTATTGCTGTTTAAGACCAGCGCTGGGATAGATCTTGAATTTCAGATGCTGCTCGTTCCAGATTTGGCTGACCGTGCGGATTCGACTTTGGACGGCATTGAAGATTGAGCTTGCAACTTTGAACTTCGCGGTGCTGATAAGTTGGATAGTTAAAGTCAGGGTTTCGCAAAATGGTAGAGGCATATCTTGCAACGAAATAACTGCTGCTCTTGCATCAGACTCCTCGTAATATCTAGCAACAGCTTTTGCTGTTTTTGTCCAGCGGTCAGTGATTGTCTATTTAAAAGAAAGAGACTTTTGAGAAACAAAAGATTTAAAGCATTTCTGAATATTGGAAATCTTTGAGAGACAGCTAGGGATTGAAACTAACCTCTTTTACCTTCCAATTCTGTACTGATTTGACTCCATTCAATGGGACCAACCCCAAGTAATAGGGACATCACAATTGCGCTAGCTTCTTCTCCTTCTACATCATAATTGACCTCTCCAATTTCTATCTTTCGAGGCATGTGATGTGGCAATTTGATAGCAGAAGTGATATCTTTCTCCGCAGTTTTGGCAGGCAGATTTGTGAGCATAAGCGTCCACGCCAGTGGATCGAATCGTGACGTAACGCGTCTACTGGGCGAATGACACTTGACTGGCTGACCCAGCACCTTATAAGATTTCGAATCGAACCTCGCGAAGACTTTCTCGGCTACACTCTCACTTCCGAAATGAAGCCATACCGTCCTAGAGGGTTTGAACCAAGAGCATTGAATCTTTTTGCATTCGATTTGGTGAGAGTTGGTGCCGGACTGAAGACCGGCAGAAACATGAAATGCTTCCATGTTTGGATATTTCGTTTTTAAAAAGGTCTTCTCGTTGAGTTTTGAGCAGAATCCCTTTGCAAAAGTAGGATCATCGACTTTGACATCCGCCGATGCAGCGTTATCGTACCTCCGTATCCTCACACACTCGGGTAGAAGTTGAATTCCCTTTTTTTTCAAAAGCGAAACGAAGGATTCAGCCGTGACATCTAATGGCAATCCGTCTATTCGAGCGGCAGAAAAGTCCGTTGGTAGCGAGATCTTAGACACTTGTGCGCCAACGTCAAATTTGGCCGATGCGCCTCCGAATTCTCTTGTGAAGTTGTCATAATTTTGATTTTCCTATCATACGTTAGCTTGGAACTTAGACTGACTTTCGCATTAATCAAACAAACCTCAGGGTCTAAGTCGGGTTTGGCTGCCTTTTCTTTTTGCTTCTCGGCAGTGTGCGAGAAGGGGCAAGTACTGCCATTTCGACAATTGCCTCGAGAATAATGATAGCATGGAACTTGGGAGCGAGGATCTTGTGTTGAAGTAGAAGTTGCAGCTTCAGATGGCTTTTTGGCAGAAACAGAAACTTGAGGTGTAACAGTAGTCTTTTCATGAGAATAACGACAATTTTCTCCTCTCATACAATATCCACTGGCGAAGAACTTGCACGGTGCGAGGGAAGCCATCTTTCAGTTATTAGTATGTTGTCGAATTTTTGTGATCTAAGATTGTCTAGATAGAATAAAAACAATTACCCCTCCTTCTTAATGTAATCACCCCATATATACGTACGAGTAGACCTAGGCGCCCGACGGGTATAATCTGGTATCTAAACGGCTGCTGTGGCTGATCCCTGCAGACTGGGCGTCACAATTGAATGTAACATAGATTCTGACCATTCAGAAGGAGCCTGTCGATGTCCTATGAAGTGTCAATTGTTGCGGTCTCCCGATTGGCTAGGGAGAATGTATGAGGCACAGCTTGTGGTCGCACGAACAAGAAGTATGATACTGCAATGAGATAAGCTTGTTATTTTATTCTCTAATATAAATAATTGATTTGATTTAACATAATTCATTACCGAGTAGATTATATCATCAAGTGGATTATTTTTATCTCAATTAACATATTCAAATTCATATTATTCAATAATTATTAATTCAATTAATTAAAACTATTAAGAATCTAATAATTTAAAATTTATTATATCAATTTGATAAATTTTTATATTATAACCTATCTTTTCATAATTACTATAATATTGATTAAAAGATATTTCTTTATTAAAATTCCCCCCATTTTGATATTTATCATATTAAATCTGAATATCAACTTTTTATTAAAATAATATATTCATAGTCTTCTATTTAATAAATACTTTTCCTTAATATATTTGTATCTTTTTTACATGTCGATATTGGTTTAATATTTTATTAACTTTTTAAAGTATATAGTTTTTTATATTTAAAAGTATATTCTTATATATTAATTTCTTTATACTTTTAGTTAGAGTGTTACGACGATATTCAACATACCGCGTCACATGGCCAAACGGTCATGTAATGAACCTAGAGAATTTAGGGGATTGAAGAATAAATATCTAGATTTATAAGATTCAAAGGATTCAAGCAGAACAGAGCCTTATAGTTCTATAAAGAACGAAGGTCTATATAAGAAATAGGATTTCTTTATATGTAGAGCTTCATGCTCAAGAACAATTATTAATTTCATTACTATAATTATAAGAATTACAATTAATTATAATCTTATTGAATTCTTACTTAAAGTTTAATTTAAATTACTTTGAAAGAACTCTAGACACTTTTACATAATCCTAGAGGCAGCTCCTGTAACATAGAGCTAATATAATCTTAAATAAAGATATAGGAGAGCTTAATTAATAGCAAGTTATTTAAGATTTAATTAATGTTGATTGAAAAAAAGCTTCTATAGGATTATAAGGAGTTTGAGAGATTTAGAAATCTAAATTAAAAGAAGGGGGAGTAGTGTTACGACGGCATCCAGCATACCGTGTCACATGACATAAATTACACGTGATGGAGCGTCAAGGAGCTTCAGCGCTCCTGGAGCGTATTGTGATCCTTAACGATCCAACATATCGGAGAGGTCTTAAAGACTAGGTGTTACGACGGCATCCAATATACCGCGTCACATGGTCAGGAAGTCACGTGATGGACCTAGAGGATCTAGGGGATCGAAGAATAAACATCTAGATCCATAGGATCCAGAGGATCCAGACAAGACAGAACTGTAGGTTCTGCAGAGCAGGAAGGTCTATATAAGAGAACAGATTTCATTACAATGTAGAGCTTCGTGCTCAAGAACAATCATTAGTTTCATTACTATAGTTACGAGAATTGCAACCAGTTACAACCTTATTGAATTCCTACTTGAAGTCTAGTCTAAACCACCTCGAGAGATCTCTAGACACTTCCACGTGACCCTAGAGGCAGCTCCCGTAACAAAAAGCTATAAAGAATTCGATCTTTAAGATATAATTGATATATACTCTTATAAACCCCTCAATTTGAATACTATATTCTTGTTTTAAAGTATTAAAACATTCAATATTAAGAGGTTAAATTAAATGATTTGAATGCGGTAATAAATATATACATTTAATATTATTCTCTTTATAATAATTCTAAAATGATATTAATTCGTGGTTTTTATATCCATTTAATACTAGTATTCTATATTTGCCCTTAGTTCAATTTCTTATATATTTATCGAAGTATTTCAACTATTCTAATTCTATCTCATTATTCATCCATCCATTAAAAGTAGGTTTAATAGTTTAATCTACAGGAAAATAGGTTTCTATATATCAATTGAAAAGATGTATTTATTCTTGAACTATCAGAAATAAAGATATAATGTTCTTCTTATTATTGTTATATATAATTACTATTGCCCACTTTCGATTACCTAATTGTATAGCTTTATTATTACCAAATCTCTTAAAGTTAGTAATAATTATATTAGTATTTATAATTCCCATTATAAAGTCTGTTTTATCAAAATTTCATAAATTATAATTAAGAATATCAAATTTGTTTTATATATTCAATATAAATCGAAACCAATCTTTAATAAGTTTAGAATCTTTACAAAAAGCTTTTTGAAAATCATAAATATAAATAAAATATATTCTTAACTTTTTATTATATCTTATAAATTAATATACTCATTATTTTCCAACTCTCTTTATTCCTTTTAATTCAAAAATATAATTTGTTATATTTTCTACTCTTTTATATTTAGGTATAAAACTTTTTATATTTATATCAATTATATATTGAATAATAATCTTTTCTTTTAATTTCAAAAGGTTATTATTATTTGATAGAGATTTGGTACAAGAAATAAAACCATTCATTTTATAATATAATATTATGTATAATATATTATATAGTTTAACAAATCATTGAATACTAAGTTTTTTGTTTTTTCGAATAGCCTCGATGGTTAAGAGTATTCGAGCTTTATTATTATTCGATTACATAATAATTAATTGATAAGATATATATTGAATTGAAACATGAATATTTGAGATGAAAGTAATCCACTTGGTGATATAATCCATTCGATGATGAATCATGTTAATGTTATATATTAGATCTAAATACTCCGATACAAACCGAACATTCCTCATAATTCACCGCTTCAACAACTCTGCAATCAAGAATCGTTTCACATTTCGGTTCAAAATGATTACATGGATGAGCGTAGACTGTTCTACTTTGCAACGGCTGAGGCAGTTGATTATAAATACCTAGGGTTATTTTTGATTAGGTTCATGAGCTGCAGACGTTTACATCCCATTCAGCGTTCGTTTCTTTTTCTTGCCCCTTTCAGTAGTTGCCTTTCTCTCACAGAACTCCCTCAATAGACATCGAAGTGAGGGTCCCGTTGCTGAAAAGTTAAATCAACACAATGGAGAACCTTTTTGATGTGATCCATGATCACGGGCTGCTTGTAGTCTTAATTATTGCAATCGTATACATATGCTCTTCTGCGCATCGATGACTAAATAAGACATCGACTAGATCATTTAGTTCTTTTCAGAAGCCATCTACAATGTTTAATTTCATCCATTGGCCGATGTACCAGGTCCATTCTGGTGCAAAGTCTCGGGCTGGCCTTCTTGCTATCACGCATCGACCGGGTATCGTCACATTTGATTTGGCAAAACCGCGAGATTTGATTCAGTTGAGACACAATCCTTCATTCATCGCCATCTACTGACCAGTACAAGGTGACAGATTTCATTACTGACCAGATGGGGCCCTGATAACCACCCTCAAGGGATACTGTGAAATTTACAATTCCAAGGCGAATGCGAAGAATGCTAGGTGGTACGAGGTCTGGAGGAGAAACAATGAAGGCTACAAAGCGTTGAATACGACCGGCCCTCACAAATATATGTAATTACGAAAATGCTTGAATAGCGCTTTTTCACAAATGTCGTTGCGTTCGTCAGAGCCCTTCATGATCAAAAATGTTGACCGCTGGATTGAGCTCATGCTAGATGGTAAGAAAACCAAAGGCACAACTGAGTGGGCGACGCCGAAGAATCTGGGCGATGAATGGATTGATCACCTTGTTTGTGATATACTAGGCGATTTGTGTTTTGGGAGGTCCTTTGAGACAATAGAACCCAAGGGAAACAGACTTAGTCAGATTCCACATATCATTGGCGAATATTTGCAGTTCATGTATCCAGTAAGAGAATCTCAGGATTTAAAAAGGGCGATACTGATCTTTTCGTTCCGTAGATTTCGAATTCGCCCTGTCTTAACACATGAGTTTGGCTCAAACCTCGCGGTGTCGATATGTTACTTGCTATGGTTACTCCGAAGCCTGTGATTGATTTTTATAAATCTTTAGAAACGTGCGTAGAAGAGCGTGGGAAGCAAGAACAAAGCATAGAAAAGAATAGCACGGAGAATGAACGAAAAGACATGTTCCACTATTTATTCCAGGCCAAAGTCTCTGAGACTGGCGCTCCCGCATTCAATCACACCGAGCTTGTAGCGACAGCCAATCTTCTGGTAACAGCTGGCTCAGATACGACTGCTACTTCTCTTTGCAGCGCTTTCTTCTACTTAACGAAACTTGCATGTCGACGAAAAGCTTGCGGAAGAGATACGAGAAACCTTCTCTTCAGCCGAAGACATCCGAACCCTAACCCTAACCCCGAAATTCTAAATGATGGTATTCTTGCCGGGTCTAGGATTAATGACCTTTATTCACTTTTGTCCCCTGATTTATGGGCAATTGGTACTCGTGGGACAAAGAAGTTCCTTTTGATCGCACTCATGTTGTTACTATTAATAATTCTAGTCGTGATCTGTCGTCCTGCCTCGGCAATTCTAATGTTGCCGTCATTGGGCTGGTGGGAAGTTTCTATGACGCAGACTTTGGAATCCTTAGTCGGCTCCGCGATCACGTCGAAGCCTTTGTTTTTAATTGGTGCGAATAAGTCCTCGCTTTAGCCAATGATGATAAGCGATGCAAATTACCCCCCATATGTTTGCGGTGCTTCCAATACTACCAACAGCCTGTCAATCCCAGATGATTGCCCGGGTGGTGGTGTCTCCGTTATCTTGGATTGGGCTCATGCGACATTCTCGTTAGGACAAATGGTTCCATGGAGATGGAAGATAACCACGCCTATTTTTTGAAACACTTCGAGTTCTTTGCCAGGTCCAACTTTCAATCGTTTTGTTGAAGGGGTGGGTTACTCTGACTGGAGATTCACGAATGCAAATGACTGCTTATTAAGCCAGACTATTTTCATATCGGCTGCGGAGACTCCTGTTTCAGTGACTCTAGCTTTAGGTTCTGGCAATACGACTACTCGTTGAAAGCTCACATTGTCAGATGGAAGTGATCTGCCAGCGGCTCAGGCATTCCACAGTCTGTAGCAGCAATACTGACTGGGTCTACCAAAAGACTCCTGGCTTGATCTGGCGCTCAGACGATTTTAGGGTCTTCGAAGGCCATGAAAGCGGATCATTTGGATTTATAGATCCAGACAGAGAAGAACATCCTGTAAGTCCACCATATGCTAGTGTGGATATGAAGTTTACATTTCCACTGGAAGAACCTGCCCGTGGCTCTTGGTACTCTAACGCTAGCACTGCGCTAAATCTATGGAATGCCTCCCGACAAAGTGTATCAACCTGGGTAAGCTCTGAGGGACAAAGAGCATCAATTGGTGCTGCTATGATAACATGTGATGAGTCACACGGAGATGTCTTCTGTGAATCAAACCAGTCTTGGAAACCTCTTGTATTCACGACCTGCTCTGTATTCGCTCGATGGCAACCGATGGAAATCTTATTTATCCTAGTATGGATAAGTTTGTTCACCTATCAGGATTAGATAGCCTCGATGGGAGCTTAGACAAGTGGCTACGAAGCAACTTATCCAATTTTGACCAGCAAAAGGTTAAGTTCGATGCTGGCTGGGCTAATTCTGCGCTGCCGCCTAATCAGACTCTCATACCAATTGTGACAGCACTTTCCCAGCCGGGAGCTTACACTAACATAAAAACTGTCTTTGGTGTTGCAGTTGCAGATGCAATGGCTAGAAATGGCACGAGCAAGCATGCCATTCTTAAAGGAAATTTTGGATTTCCACCGTTGATTTGGCCATCGGGTTATCCATAATGGGATTCTCTTTTCCCTGATATCCTCTCGCCTGAAGTTTTGAAGACAAACCTCGAAGAATTCACCCCTATCGACATACTACAATGGCGCAATGGCTACAGCTACTCTCTGTACCGTAGTACTAGACGTCTCGCTTTCAGCATCCTCCTTGTCCACATCCTATTTGCGCTTATCCACACAACACTTCTCATATGGATAGGATGGAGTTGCAATATCCTCAAATCTCTTTGCGAAATTGTTGCTCTCGCTATGAATTAATCTCCAACTCCAATTTTGGAAAACACTTGTGTGGGAATCGCAAGGTTGGATACATATAAATATATCGTGAAAGTGAGGGAAGTTTCGGAACAGTATCTGGGTTTGGTTTTAACGGGCGAAGAGGGAAGCTCCAAGGGTGTGGTTGTGGGGAAGATTTATAGAAATATTTGGGTTGAAAAGGGTCATCTAAAAGTTGAGTAGTGTATGTGTGTATTGAAATTGGGCATCCCTGCGTTGTTGCATGAGTTGAAAGAGTATTTTATACAACAATATTACTGTTGAGAAGCTCCCAAAAGCGTCTCTATAACTTTTCTCCCTTGAAATTATTACTAATCTAGGAGTGGATAAATGATTGGGATCGTGTGTATATGATCATTTGATAGACTCGTGTTTCGTAGTATTTTCATTTTCAGACTGATAATCAATGTACTCAGAATGTCCAATCTGGGATTCCGCTAGCCAAGCCACTTCTGGCTTTACGTATGACTCTTTTTGGTGACATGGTGACCTTCTTTACTTTTCCTTTTGGAGTCTTATGATCTCCTGAAGATTCTGGTATCCCGGGACATTTCCATGCTCGAATACATCTTTTACGACGGCAGTTACGCAATGATGATGTGGTTGGGTATCGGTTTCATCCCACACTTCATCGTCGTAACCTCTCTTCATAGTATGACCGCAAGAAAATCCCCTCTGTTTATGCTCTGCTATCGATCTGGGTAGATTTGGTATCGCATATGATAACCCTCCGGTAAATCTGGCGAACTCATCAGGACTCTTCATGCAACAAGCATACGGGTTAGCGCCATGCTTAAGCATCAGTTCGAAAACTCTAACCCACTTCATGGAGAGTGGTGAGATCTCCGAATTGTCCTTAGATACAAGAACGTGAACTAGATAAATAGCATATTCCCAGATTGTATGAAAGCTATTGACATGCTCATTTGGGTCAGCGCCATGAATAAGTAGTTCCTCAAGTACGACTATATCTGGAACTAGATTACCAAGTGCCCATCCATCCATAGACAGTGCGTAAGCTAAAAGAGGCAGCCCTGGCCGGGTTTTGACTGATATATATGGTAAAGGTAATTGAGATTGACTTGTGTAACGCGCGACGGATGTCAGGCTTTTTCGAGCTTTGAGAAGCATTATAAGACCAGATTTGACAGCAGCAGAATCAAGATCATCGCCCCAGTCAGGTCGATTTCTTTCTGCCCATTTTGGATCTTTTTGTGACCAGTGTCTGAACACTCTTCGGTCTGCTTGCATGCTCAAAACTCTGTCAGCTTCTTGTACCAGTTCGAGAGCCGCTTCCATAACCTTAGGGTTTTGCCAAGGGAATTCATGAAGTTGACTCAACAATTCTACCCCACTTGTGTATACACAATCTTTAGGATCGAGCTTGATATCAATCACACGGGCCATCAATAACGCTAGCTCGGGGTCGAAGATGGTATCAAGTGTATGTTTTGTGATCTCGTCCCAGTTCCTGGATCGTTCCAAGAAATCCACTGCCGTGTGGTGAAGATAGACTATCCTTCCTTTTGCCCCGGGACCTTGTAATTTCAGTACTGAAGAGCTGTGTAATGAAGATTCCTCTTCTGCCGGATGTACCGAAGAGAGCTGTTCGATGCGGATAGTATGGTATTAGTCTGAGAGATTTCCTCCCCATTGCACATGCAGCCACAGTGCATAGGGATGTATAACATCCTCTAAGGTTACCATCTTCGCTCTGAAATCCTTTTGGAAACGCTCCACATCAACACGATGTCTAATTTTTCGCATGTAGAATCTCGCCCTGGTATGTGTCTCAACGAAGTTTCGACAGGCGCGACTTCTTATGGAACCAAGTAGTGCCGACATCTGGAAAATTGATAATCGTATACGCAGATCTCCTTCGCACCCGTGATCACGTAAATGACGGGCATTTCCTGCTGCAATCTTCTCTGTCGTCCGTTCTAACCACAATGGTACCTGTATGTTGGGTCCACCACTACTGCTATCCGTATCAGGTTACCGGCACTATCTATCCTCGGATCTTCTATTTCCCTCGCCAACTGCCTTGCTGCTCTTGGTTTGCTTGCTAAAGTTCCGTTAGGAGCTGGAAAAAAGTTTGTTGCCGAAATTTGGATGTGTTTCCTAAACTCTTCAACAATATTTACGTCAGAATCGTATGCGTTAAATATCTGTTTGTTATCTACCACACCACTCTTTAACATATTATTGGAAACATTGCGCATTATCGTTTCGCCGTCATTCTCGTCAACTATCTCAATGAGTCCACGACATCTACTGGCAAGGCGCAATCTTGTTTTATTAATCTTCACGAGTCTTTCTTCCGTGGACTCACTTTCTGTTGCAGCCTCCATAGCTATGATTGGATGGTGCGAGGTAAACTTTAATGCATTATGTAGAGTGATCGAGTCCAAATTATTCCCGCTTGCTCTAAATATTTGGAAAATCTTCGATGCATCTTGACGAAACTCAGGTTCTATCTTTTGGATGATATGAGAAAATAAATTCTCAAGGTCTACTGGCAGGCTTTCAAGTCGTTTCCGAAGTTCAACTGCACCATCTCCACACCTGAATCCATGGGTGAGCGATTTGACGACGAGAATAACCCAGAGAAAGACACCTTGGGCTCGGTGAATGATCTCTTCAGTCAGCCAACTTGTTGTATCCAAATCATTACTTATAAACATTCGCATCAGTTGATTTTGCTCCAACTTAGCAACAACATAGTTATTGATGTCATCACGAGTGAGATCTTCTAGCTTTAATGTGCATGCATCTTGAAAAACTGACAAGAAGTCCGGTAATGGCCTGCTCGAAATGCAAAACTTCGTGAAGGGGAATTTGTCGGCCAATTCGAATAAGTACTCTGCCATATCACCATGAGCTCCTTCGTACTCGTCTAAACCATCCACAAAGATGCAGATTTTGAGTGAAGGACCGGAAATGCCGATAAGGCTTTTGAACGCTTGCTGTAAGCGGCCCAGAGACCATTCATCAATTCGGAATTCTAGATCATGTGTTTCCAAGTCGCACATCCGCACCCATTCCTCGTGAAATATCTCTAGAATGAGATCCTGGTGTTCTCGGAGAAGACCACATAGAAGTGTGCGTAGGAGTCCGATTTGAGATCGTTGTCTTTCCGTCCGCTTATCCAAAAATAAAACGCACTCGTTATAATCTTAGAAGATCCTGCCCATTTCTTCAACAAGATTGTGGTTTCTGGGTGTTCATATATGTAACGCATTAAAGTTGACTTTCCGCTCGCTGGTTTACCCTGTATCCAATAGATGCCCGAACTTTCAGAGAGCCAAGTCGCGAAATTGCTCCATGGTTTTTGGTGGACAGTAGGATCTCTGAAGATCCACTGAAAGCTGCTTTGATATGGACTAGCAATCATATCCGGTCGATGATTCATGTCTGAAAATCCAAGGGACTCTAAGATGGCAAGTCGGACTTTTTGAGCACGCCTAAATCGCTGTCCATTATCACGTTCCACTAGCTCAGCACCAGCCTGGCGGTTCTGTTCTACCAATTGTCGAGATTGAATCAAGTCTTCGTTGCGGCAGACTCTTGATTCAAGTAACAAGTCAATGATATCTTTGGTGTCTTTATTCAAAGATTCAAAGCTATAATTTTGCTTGGCGGTCAATAGGCCAAGCTTTTGAAACTCCGATTGCTGAGAAAGATTCAGTCTTTCAAAACAGCGAAGAAAGTCCTGATCTGACGATTGCATCTTGAGAAGCTCGTTCAAAACTTTCTTCGTATTATCGTCCAGTTTTTTAAAATGGTTTTCTGCTGCAGATGACATTGAATCTGAACCACCTCTAGAGACACGGTCAATTTATTGTTCAGCAACATGTTGAAGACAAAATAGATACTGACCTCAATATCAGAAGCAACTCAGTATCGAGTTCTTTCCTAAGATCTCTCAATCTTAGAGCAAATTCATCAATCTCATGTTTCGACCAAACACTCTTCAATGCCATTCGAAAGCTTTTCCATTTGGGACACTGTGATCGGGTAGGTGCTTTCAGTCGATTGAGCCGGTTGACAAGAGTGTCAGATACAATTATACATTCTTGAATGATTGTTTGAAGTCTTGAGTGAACGATGCTGGATCCAGAATTGGCTCTTTTCGATGGAAAATTTAGTGATTGGGTCAATTCTTCAAGACGCAGGGTGGCTGTTTCGGTTCTATTATGCTCTGTAGTGAGACCGCTGGTGGAGTTATATATTTCTTTGCTCTTGCATACAATCTTGCAAGAGTAGTCGATAAATTGAGCAATTGCCGCTGCAAGCGATATGGCGCTCACGGGGTCCATAATCAATCGTTGCTTGAATGAATGTATATAAGAACAAGGGACCTCATGTTACCAGAATAACTTTCCCTGGAACTCGAATGTGAAGAACAAGATATATGAAGTGCCAACACATTCATTTGATAGCCTTGTCAGATTCAACCGAATGTGCTGCGTCAGATAGGTGAGTCTGCCTGAGTGCTGCTAAGCCTCATGATACTACCTACCGTACAGGGGACATTACCACCTGGGCAGTGCTTCAAAGATAATGAAAAGTGGCTTAGACTCTTATTTACAAATCATATGATCCATTCCATATCAGCAATGTAGTCACTTCCAAGGTTGTTCATGTATTTTGATGCCGAGCCACATTCTGAGATTTTGTCTGAAGAATGGGTAGTAATACCTTCTTGATGATTTCTCCATTCATGATTCTCAAGCTTCAATGCTGCAGAATCATCGCATTCATAAAAGAGAAGAAGAAAAGGAAAGACGTAAAGGAAAAGAAACAATGCTGTGTGTTGTTTTTGATCTCGCCAGTTCTAGAGAAATTTACCAAGGTGCGAACGATTAGTAATCAAAGCACTATAGTAATGTGTTTTAAGTATGACAATCTACAGAGTACACAGAGTACAACGGGAAACGTAGGCTAGAATATGAAGGCATTCAGAGTATTTCATTCAGTGTACTAATTAAGTATATGAATAAAAGCTCTGATGTATATATCAGAGCTCTCACTAGGTCGCATTGGGGCTAAGGTTAGCTCCCTTTCTTAGCATCACACGAACCACGCCCATTTAACATAATGACTTGTTACGATTTAAATGAAACGATATTTATAAAAAAAAGAGACAGAGAAATGAAAGATCACGATTGAGTTGGCTTGAAGATGTTTCTTCTTGTTTTTCTTGAGTCAGGGTTGTGTTACGAACGACGCAACATAGGCACGGGACTGGGGCACTAAGTCACGTGGTTGGCTCAGTCTGCCTCAGCGGGATAGACACTGAGCCATGAAAGTACAAACAAACCAGTACTGAGCCGTACTGATCACACTGAGCAAGAAGGTCTATATAAGGGAATGGGTTTCATTACAATGTAGAGCTTCGTGCTCAAGATCAATCATTAGTTTCATTACTATAGTTACGAGAATTGCAACCAGTTACCAACCTTATTGAATTCCTACTTGAAGTCTAGTCTAAACCACCTCGAGAGATCTCTAGACACTTCCACGTGACCCTAGAGGCAGCTCCCGTAACACGCAACATGGATTATAAGATAAACCTAAGGCCTTAGTATTAGAACCTACGAAAACAGTACTATAGAAATAATTGAATTAAAGGGTAATTAAAGATAACAATAACTAAATCAATAAGTAATAATTAAAAAATAGATATTTATCTTTTGTTAGTATCTATTCTATAGTAGGTATAGAAGGGATAGTGGTTATAGATTATTTAGTAAGTATAGGTTAGATAAGTAATAGTATTATATAGGTTATAAGGCAAATGTTATATAATAAATAGACAGGATAGGCAAGTTATTTAGGCTATTTATAAATAGATAGGATAGATAGTTTATTTAGACTATTTAGATAAGAATAAAGGTCTATATAAGGAAATAGATTTCATTATAATGTAAAGCTTTATATTTAAGAACAATTATTAGTTTTATTACTATAGTTATAAGAATTACAATCAATTATAATCTTATTAAATTCCTACTTGAAATTTAATCTAAATTATCTTAAAAGATCTCTAGTTATTTCCATATGATCTAGAAGTAGTTTCTGTAACACTTTAAGTACCTTTTCTACTTCAAATATCAATTCAATATTAATTACTAGTATGGTAACTAATAGTTTTTTTAAAAGTTAATAGATTTTAGCAAGCAATTTTAATAATATCGAAATAACTAATGCTTTTAAGAAAATCACTATTAATAAAACATTTAAGATTGCCTTATTAAACAAATATTAAGGAAATTAATAGAAACTCGATATCTTTTTATTATAATTCGAAATCTATTTTAAATTCAATCAAAACAAGTTCACCGAAAAGGAATTCCAGAGTATTTAGACTGTGTTATACCTCAAAGGTAAGATAGGTAAATGAATTCAATTATATTTATACAACTATTTCGAATATAACGATAAGAAATATATACAATCTATAAGAATTATCTTCAACAATTTCAAAGGATTTAAGATAGAGATTCACAAGATCTTTGGAAACTCTAATAAATTAAAGATAACAAAAAAGAAATCTTTAATCTTAAACAAACAGAATTAGTATTAAAGTATACTACAGAGTTCCGAAGATATATAAGGATAATTAAATAAAACGAGGTCGCTATTATAAATCATTATTATAAAGGATTCAAATTAGAAATATGTTTGGAACTTGATAGGGAAGGGGAGGATAATGATTTAAACAAACTAATTAAAAGTTCTATCAATATTAATGATTGTCTGTACAGGTACAAACAAACCCAATGATTATACAAGCTTTAGACAAATAAGCAAAAGTATTACCATAAGAATAAGGGCAGATTATATTACAATCTATAAAGGTATAAGAACTTTATAGAATGAAATACTATATACTACAAAAAGAGGAATAATAATTTAGAAAAGAAATGAAGATAAGAAAATAACCTATACTTTAAATATAGGAAAGTAGGGTATTAAATAATGGATTATTGAAGTAAGAAAATAGAAGGTAAAAAAGCAATTTTAAGAATAAATTCAACAAAGACTAATTTAATATTATCTTTATATTACAATTATGTATTATTAATAAAATAGAATTAGTTATACCATTACTAGCTTATAAAAAAGAAATCGGGGGTAAACCTGAGAATGAACTTGAAGAAGAACTTGAAGAAGAAAAGATTGAGGGCCTTTTATAAATAAATAGAGATCTATAGAAAGGAGAAGTATGAATGATCTAACAAATCAATTAATGAAACTGTTATATCAAAAGATTTGAAGATATTAATAAAGAAATTATTAATTATAATCTTAATATAATAAATACTGAAAAGGATGAAACTTATAAGGTTTGATATATTAATCAATATTGAATTCTATGATTTGGAATTATTATAAATTTATCCTTCTTGAAGAGAATTAGTAATGAATATCTAAAATGACTAGGTCAAAGGGAGCTATAGAAAGTCTTTTATTACTATATATTGAAGAATAATAAGAATCAGACTTTATTCCTTTACAAAAAGGTTGAAGAAAAGTACTATATTCAGATCTAGATTATATTATTATTGTTAATAATAGAAACAATAATAAGAATAATCTGAGGGATATATTAATATATTCTATAAAAGGATTTACTCAATGATAAAATTAAATCAAAGATTAGTATCGTTTATCTAAAAGAAAAAGAGCCTTAGCGAATAACACTAAAGAATGAAACCATTTAGAATAATAAAGGTGATTAAGGGATACCATAGCTGAATGCTATAGAACAAACAGGTCAAATATACTATAGAATCAAAATAAACGAATAACTACAATAAGCCATAATAGATTCAGGGGTTATAGGAAATTTCATTATATTAGAAGCTGTAGAGTATTTAGGAATTCTACTCCAGAAGAAACAACAACCTTATCAATTACAACTAGTTGATAGCTAATTAGCAGAATCTAACAGGAATATTTCACAAAAGATATAACCAATATAAATAAATATAATCCAATACTTAAAGGTTATACAGTTTGATATTATACTATTAGGCCAATAACAGATTATTTTAAAAATGCTATAATTGAAGGTATACAATTCTAGAATAAATTGGTTATAGGAGATAATAACATTCGATTAGTGTAAGAACAATCACAAAAACATATTCAAAACATTCACAAGACAGAACATATGTTAAAAAGAATTGAATACAAATAACCTTGGTAATATAGGACATCTAGTTCAGGGTCCTTTATTAAAAGTGAAGGCTAATACACCTCCTTTACAAATACAGAAGCCAACGATACAGCAGGAAATCGCAATCAAGATAAAAAAGCCTATAATATTAGAATAATATAAAAAATATGAATATATATTTAAGAAACCAAGAATTTATAAGGCTTTACTAGAATATAAGCTATAGGATTATAAGATAATATTAAAGAAAGACAAAATGTCTATGTATACCCTAATTTATTCAATATTAGTCAATAAGCTGAAAATACTCAAGGAATATATTAATAATAATTTAACCAAGGGATAAATTAGAAAATCCATATCCCAAGTAATAAGTTCAATTATATAAGTATTTAAGAAGGATAGTATTAAGAGATTAATTATAAACTATAGAAAGTTCAATATATTTATTAAAAAGGATCGATATTCATTTTTATTAGTTATGGAATTAAAAGATCGATTAAATAAAACTATAATATTCACCAAAATGAATCTACAAAATGAATATCATTTAATCAGAATAAAGAAAGACAAAGAATGAAAAACCGTTTTCAAAACAAGATATAGGCTATATAAATACTAAATTATACTATTCGGGCTAACTAATATATTAACTACTTTTATAAAACTTATGAATAATATATTGTTATAATATTTAAATACTTATTATATATACTACTTGAACAATATTCTAATATATTTAAATAATAAGGTTTAATATATTAAGAATATTAATAATATTCTTGAAAGTTTAACCAAGATAGATTTATTATATAAGCTAAGTAAATATAAATTCTATATTATAGAAACAAAGTTTCTTAAATTCATTATATTAAGCCAAGGGCTTAAGATAAGTAAGGATAAGGTTAAGGCAGTATTTGAATAAAAGTAGTTAAATATTATTAAAAAAGTATAATTCTTTTTAGGATTTATTAACTTTTATTAAAGATTTATTAAAGATTATTTAGGAATTACAATATTCTTAATTAATTTAATTAAAAAGAATTAAAAAAGTTTTGAATGGATAGTTAAGATATAGTAGTTATTCGAGACACTCAAACAAATAGTTGCGAAGGAGCTAATATTATTGATATTCGATTTTAAAAAGTAAATTATAATAAAGATGGACTCTTTGAATTTTGCTATAAAAGTAGTTTTAAATTAACCAGATCAAAATAAGAAATAGTAATCAATTGCATTTTATTCTCGAAAGCTATTACCAGCCGAATTAAATTATGAAATATATAACAAAGAACTATTAACGATAGTTGATGTATTTAGAAAATGATAAATTTATTAAAAGAATTAAAATATATAGTATAGATATATATGGATTATAAGAACTTGGTTTACTTTATTATAATGAAGTAGTTAAATAAACAACAAATCAAATAGTTAGAAATCATGGTTAATTATAATTTTAAGATTTTATATATCAAAGGATTAGAAAACACCAGGGTTGATGCTTTTAGTTAAAAATCAGAATATTAAAAAAATAAGTTATACAAATCATATACAATATTTAAGAAAGAAGGTAAATTATTAATTTATAATATATTATAGTTTATAGCGATGTATATATAGGAAAATAATCATCTTAAAATCAAAATCCAATTATATTATAATAAAGATACTATAGCTAACATGGTTTATCATCGAGTAGCCTATATCATCGAGTGGCCTATTTTCACCTTAATTTACATCTGTTTCTTTCAACATGTGTTTTATTAATAACCTATAATAAATTCGAATAATCAAGAAGCTTATATATTCCTTATTATTGAAGCTATTTATAAAGATAAAAAATTAAGTATTCGAAAGGTTGTTATACTTTATAATATTTCTTATACAATTCTTTGATATAGAATAGAAGGTTTATTTCTTTGTATAGAAATTCGAGCAAATTGTTATAAGATTATAGAATTAGAAGAAGAGGTGATTATTTAATATATATTTGATATGGATTTAAAAGGATTTCTATTTAAATTAAAGAATGTGGAAGATATAGTAAATAATATTTTCGAATTGAGGGATGTGAAATGACAGAAACAAAATAGTACAACCAGGTAATTAAAAATGAGCTATAGCAATAATATATGGAAATGGAGAGGATAGAACTATTCCCCCATTTCTAATAGTTCAAGAATAAATTCATTTCTTCAATTAATATACTGAAATAAATCTTCCTACAGAATGAGCTATTAAATCTACATTTAATAAATAAATGAATAATAAGATAGATTTAAAATAATTGAAATACTTCGATAAATATATTAAGAATTAAAGAAAGGGCAAATATCGAATATTAATATTAAATAGGCATAAAAACTATGAATCAATAGTTTTTTAAGTATACTATAAAAAGAATAATATTATATATTTATATTTACTATTATATTTAAATAATTTAACTCAATCACTTAATATTAACTATTTTAATAATCTAAAACATTTATATAATAATCAAATTGATAGATTTATTAAAATATATATTAATTATATTTCGAAGGTTGAATTCTTTATAGCTTTTAAAACTATATACAAGGAATCAATCATCTCTTAGAATATAAAATCAGAATTTCGAGAAATAGATTTAATTCTATTTAATTCTGAAACTATATTCTCGAAATTAGATATTCAAATTCGTATATCTACCCCCCTTTCTTTCAAACTAAATCAATGAATCTCTTAAACCCCTTGTAATCCAATAGAAGCTCTTTCTCAATTAATATTAATTAAATCTCGAATAACTCGTTATTAATCAAATTCTTCTATATTTATATCCGAAACTGTATTAGTTTTAATTAAGAGTATAAAAAGATTAGTTTATAAGAATATACTTTTAAATATAAAGAATTATATATTTCGAATAATAAATGAAATATTAAGTAAGTATTGATATATAAAAAAAACTCAATTATATTAAAAAGGAATACTCACTGAACAAAAGGCTCTTAATATATTATCTTAATAAAAGGTTAATATTTAGATTTAATATAATGAGTATTAAAAAGAAGGGAATTCTAATAAGAAAGTATCTTCTAATCAATATTATAGTAAATATAAAAAGACAGAACATAATATAAGAATCTATTAAAATAATATAATAGTATTATGAATGTGAGTGATTCTGCTTCAGGAAACCGCAGCTTCCTGATCAGGGAATATGCCGCTTAATACACTGGCCGCTGTACCGCTACCCACTATGCGGCCGCTAGATCCTAAACCCTGCACAATTCTATATAAATCCAGCGCTGCTTCCCACGTCCCTCGCCGCTCTGATCTCACACAAAATTTTCTTACAACTTTTCATGTCCTCTCTCCACCCACCATTCCAGGCACTATTGGTCTTGAGAAAATCACGGCTGGATTTATCCCCTGTTTCGGTGTCTATTTCGCCACCCTCAAATTTCCTATTGAGGCCGTTTGATTAGGCTTTCGATATGCCCTTAACCTTTGTTGGGTCATTTCTCATTCTTTACCTGTACGATACAACCTTACCTTCTCACTAATAATTCACGCCCAATTACGTTCCGTATCGCCGTGCACATTGTCATACTCAATATCCAATCGATTATGGCTTCTGGGTATACTTTCTTGCTTTCATCTTCGACACCCCAATCTTTCGCAATACGCAGCATCCTTTCCACACCGATAGAGGAAATCCTTGTTAGGTTTTCTATGGAGCTTCTGCCAAATGTTCCCTCTAGGATTGCAATTGGTTAGTATCAGCCATTGCGAATACGGGAAACTTATTGCAGATTATGCTGAAATCAATGGAAGTTATCAAGTGAAGCTTTACGATTATTATGGCAGCAATAGTTCCGTACTTGATATGGTATGATAAAAAGGAGGCAGTATATTATATTGTTGTATATAGATAAGAGGATCTAGATCGTTTCAACAGCTCAGGACTGTTTTTTGCCTTTCTGTTCTCTCCAACTCGCCGTCAATCTTCAACATGAATCAAGTTTGGAAGTTACAATATTACAAATGATCAATTCCCTTATTTGACTTTCGAGTTATCACAGAATTGACAAAAACATGGATTCTCAAATGAGTTGTCCTTGTGGATATTGATTTGCAATCGATTCGCAGGGTTTCGAAAGCCAGTTGAACTATGTTTCTCTCTACTTATTATTTCAGATATTGTCTATTTTGGTACGTTTAAGATTCCTGTTTAGATTTTGATAGGGCACAATTGCCTATGTTGGTAATCTCCCACTTCCTGTTCAGGTTGATACTGGCCTTTGAATCTGCCCTTAGCCTTTAGTGAGTTATCCCCTATTCTGCACTTATTGATATGCAATTGTGTTCCCTGACTGACAACGCATACTCAGCTGAGCTCGGCGTTGCCGATATTGTTTGAACTCTAACTACTAACATTACACTACGTATAATCCATATCGTCATCCTCCAATTATTCAGTCAACCTTGCTTCATTAGTATCTCTCCTACCTTTTCGTTGACAAGATTCTTAATCTATCGTTTCATCCAGCATGCTCAAAGTTCCGGAACAGGAAATTCTGATCTAGCTTGCTCAGGGGCTTCGCCTCAAATTTCCTCTCTAATCTCAATCAGCTGGTGTCGAAGATTTGAATGAGGGATTTAATGCAGTGGATCTTTATGATTGCTATGATCACAGTTCCATAGTTGACGTGGCATCAAAACAGTGCGACGACAAATAGGTCTAGCATGCATGATAAAGAGAATCCAGGGTATTCAAAAGCTTGGGGGTATTGTTCACCTTCCTCACCTGATTCGCTACTCATCAATTCCCAACAAAGACACGATCTCGGAAGCTACGGCATTGCAAATGAGTAATTCATTTGTTTGAGATAAAAGATATGGTGAAAAAAAAAGTAATAGAACCCTTGATCAACCGGGTCCCCGCACACGAAGGCGAGATTTGATACTATTTGAAAATTTCGATGGATATTCACATGGGAGAAGAGTCCTGGTTTCCTTCATTCATTTCATTGTAATACTAATGATGATATACATTCAGTTTACCAGATTACTAGAAATCCGTTTAGAAGTATTTGAGCTACTTTATGGCGAAGCAACAGTGTCTTATATCTCTCGGCCTGTTTCTCAGTTTCCTTTGATCTTTATGTATTATTGCGATCGACAAACCACAGTTCATCCATATCTGATATATCAGAGCTAGGCGCAGCTACTCCTTACTTCTTACTCCTTTTGACACGAAGATAATCATGAGGGTATCCTGCAATATCATTACATGTGGTACTATACGTTCACTAGTCATAAGCCCCATGATAAACAGGGTAGAGTCAAAGATACGAGAACTAATGTACTCGGATGGATAGAATGGAATATATCTTCCACAAATCAAGTCTGTATTACAACACTATTTATCTTTGAGCTTAGAAGAAGCTGTGTATAAAAGGAACGACAAAACACCAGTTTGTGGATGAGAATTCCAATCATCATTTTCTCGACTTTCTTCTTTCACATATAATTCCCTTTGAAAATGAGTTCCTTGAAAATTATTCCTTACAATTATGTACCAAAAAAGCCGACCAAAGAACGCAAATCACAGGTTGAGAAATCAAAAAAACACGAAGTTCACATTATAACTCATAAGTTGAACGAAGAGGCTAGTCTTAATCGTCTAAAAGGTACTGAATGTTTAAGCTTCAAGATATATTATCATACTCACTAAGATTGAAGCAGGAAGTGATATCCTCAGTCCCCAGGTTCCCAGATCTATAGATAGGGGTAACACCAGTACAATAACAAACTCTGAACACCCTGAGTATATTGGTATGTTAAATCTATTGCGCATATAAGATATGGATATAAACTGAATTGTATCAGAATATGAAAATCATGATTTTGATATTGGTTCCTGTATTGAGAATCTTGAATCTGTCTGCGAAGAATGGAATCGCATCAATGAAACGCAAAACATAACGTTTTCAACCATAGCCGAGAATGATAATCTCAATACTTCCCAAGAAACTACAAGAGTTCTCAATCATCTAACGAATCCTGTCATCGATTTTGCGGCAGAGAAAGGTTCATCAGCAACCCCAGAGCCTGCCCAGGCTGATAATCCTGCGATTAGTGCTGTCAATTCACCAGAATTAAGACAGGAAAAACCGTGTCAGTAAATATTCACACCCTTTATAAAAGAAGATTTTAACAAATTGCAGGTAATCCCTTAAATCACCTAGGTATAGATTGTACATGACGAGATATGAAACTTCAAGACTAACATATTTTTAGAGTCGCCTACTTCAGCCCCGCCCCTTATGTATTCTGATACTGATCGAACACTCGCTTCTAGTCTTTTGCAAGACAACGTCGATCATTCCGTCAAGTCCACCAACGATAAAGCTGTACAAATTGATCGCAATATCGTCACTACTACTGATCTAAGTAATATTGACGATAATGATCTTGAGTTCTCTTACTCTCCTTCATGGTATCGATTTGGACCAATGACAAGTGATTCTTTTCAAGATTCAAATTATGTTGCACAAATTTCGGATGCTAGCTGTGGCCGTGAATTCTACAACATCATCGGGAGAGAAGATATTGATGGTGAGGTGCACTATCTGGTAGATTGGACACCGACTTTAGTTCGAGGTGAAGTATTGAAAAGGGCCAAAGCTCAACTACTCATCGATCGGTTTGAATCTCGATGCCAATCTCAAGCTCAAGTCGGTCTTAGATTTGTGTATGATAATCTGAACCACCGTCAAGATTGCAATAAAGATTTGCCAGAGAAGCAACAGCATAAAGAGATAGAGATAACAACAGAAAATAAAAGAAACCAATGTTCTAAGAACAAGTCGGAACAAGAGCGATGGGAAAATGGAGATATCATTAGCACAGATTATTCGGAGAGCAGCACCTCTGATTTGAGCGATGACGACGACAATTTCCGACCCGCGAAACAGCGAAAACTTTCCCCAATATCTGCCGATCACAAGTCAACACTGCCTCATCAACGCAACATAAAGCATCGCCTCAGACAGAGGTTTAGCCTTGCACCATCTTCAATTGAGCCACTTGAGAGAGATAGGGTACAGTCTAAGACCAGTAAGAGATGTCTATCGACACCTATCGAAAATAGCCACAGCTATCTCCCTAATCTTTCAAAGTCATCTGGAATTACTCCCAACAGTATAATACCTACAGGTATGCCAATATCTCGCAATACCGTTACAAATCTCAACGTAAAGAAAGCGGAATCCTCGAAAACCTGCAGTGTTGTCATATATTCCAAAGTGCAGGCACCAATATCGCGAAAAAATTCGTCTCGATGGACATCAAGTGAAAACATGAAAATTCTCAACATGAAAAAGCGTGGCCGTTCGTGGGAGGAAATTCACACCGCTCTTCCAAACCGAACTCAGGGTGCAATCCAGGTGCACTACTCTACAAAACTCAAAAACTGATCTTTTTGAGAATTCATACGTGGATCTTCTAAAGAACAGACTATCAAGTCTTCAAGCCTTCTTTATAGATAATCTACGAAGTGAAGAAGCGATCAACTTCTCAAGAGATGACAACGTGATCGACCTGACCCAAGTTGAGGAAATGATCAATTTAACACAAAATGAGGATCCACCGCATCCCCGTTCCGTTTGCTCAGCGTCATACAATCCTCCCTTCCCTATTCTTGTTTCTATAATGCTATCTACTACTCATATTTCGTAATGAATTCGGTGCTATCTGTTGGAAAGTCAAAGTAACAATACAATATATGGATACTAAGTTGGGTACCCCACTTTCGGACCACCCCTCTTTTGGACCACCTAAAATCTTACCCCATTTTAAGCACTACCTTCCAACTTCATCTTTAATAAATCAACAACCACATATTCAATTGATATGAGATTTTACTATATTATCAATTAAGCTATGACAAAGCCTTATACTGAAGATGATATTGCTACAGCACTTTTTGCGATTGCAGGAGGCATGTCTATGCGTAAGGCTTGCTCAGAATATGGTATTCCCCGCATTACTTTACACAACCGTATAAATGGCCACCTTTCACATAAAAAAGGTGCACAAACCCTACAGAAGATAGCTACTGTGCAGGAGAGAGCTCTGGCAGATTGGATTTTAGTACAGGAAGCCCTAGGAACTAGCCCTACCCATCGTCAAATGCGAGAATTAGGAGAGTCCATTCTCAACCTCGAAGGAGGTGATTTATCTCTTGGCAAGCGATGGATACATGGTGTTTTGAAAAGAAACCCAGAGATTAAGACTAAAAGGCAATATAAAATCGATAATGCCCGTATCAATGGTGCAACTACCGAAATTATAAGCAAGTTCTTCGAAAAGTTGGATTTACCAGCAATTAAGCATATTAAGCCCGAAAACAGATGGAATATGGATGAAGCTGGTATAATGGAAGGCCAGGGTCTCAATGGTATGGTTCTTAGGAGTTCAAAGCGACGCTTTATTCAAAAAAAGCAACCCGGTTCAAGAACATGGACCTCTTTTATTGAGTGTATCTCAGCTACAGGGAAAGCACTTTTACCTTTAGTTATATTCAAAGGTAAAACACTTCAACAGCAGTGGTTTCCTATTAAACTTGATATCTATAAAGGGTGGGAGTTCACTGCTACAGATAATGGGTGGACTACAGATTCTACAGGTTTGGAATGGCTAAAAGAGGTGTTTATACCACAATCAGCACCAACTCGACCGGAAGAGGCAAGACTCCTTGTTTTGGATGGGCACGGAAGTCATGAAACCACTCAATTCATGCTTGAATGCTTCAAGAATAATATACACCTCTTATTTCTACCACCTCATACATCACATATACTACAACCTCTTGATTTATCAATATTCTCACCTCTAAAAAAAGAATATCGATACCACCTCAATACTCTAGATTCATTGACGGATTCAACTCCCATTGGCAAAAGAAACTTTCTTGCCTGCTATCAGAAAGCTAGATTAAAAGCTTTAACACTTCGAAATATCACTTCTGGGTGGAAGGCTTCAGGTTTATGGCCTCAAAACTGCGCTAAACCTCTTTTGTCCAGATTATTGCTCGAAAACAGTAATCAAGAGGTTGTATATCAAAATCCTGTTTCATACAATGATACTGAGCTTCAATGGAATATACATTCATCTTTTATTGCATGGAAAACCCCTCAAAAAGGAAGTGATATTCGAAGATATGCCGATATAAGTCAACTACCCCACTTTCCGACCACCCCCTCTTTTCGACCACCTCAAAAACCACACCGCTTTGAGTAATTATAAAATTTATACTTTGAATAACTCAACAATGCTTTAATCAATTGATTTGAAATTTTGATATTATTATAATTGTGATATGAAGAATAGATATACCGAAGAAGATATCGCAGAGGCTCTTAGAGCGATTACAAATGGAGCAAGCATACGAAGAGCTAGCTTGGATTATGGTGTTCCACGTACCACACTTCACGATCGAATATATGGTGGAGTTTCGCATCAAAAAGGCGCCCAAATACTTCAAAAGTTATCTCCAATTCAGGAGAATCGACTAGCAGAATGGATATTAGTACAGGAAGCTCTTGGTACTAGCCCTACACATCGTCAAATCAGAGAGATGGCAGAGCACCTCCTTATTGTACGAGGGGAGGATCCCTCACTTGGAAAGAAATGGATACATAGCTTTTTTCGAAGGCATCCTAATATTGGAACTAAGAAGCAACATCAAATCGATTCTGCACGAGTTTCAGGTGCTACATCTGATATTATTAAGAAGTGGTTCCGGAACCTCGCAATCCCTGAAATCAAGGCTATTAAGCCGGCCAACAGATGGAATATGGATGAAGCAGGTATAATGGAGGGTCAGGGTCTTAATGGACTAGTAGTAGGAAGCACTGATCGAAGATTTATTCAAAAAAAGCAACCTGGATCTCGAATTTGGACCTCTTTTATAGAATGCATTTCAGCCAATGGAAAAAGCATTACTCCCCTTGTAATATATAAGGGAAAATCAGTTCAACAACAATGGTTTCCAACAGATTTGACTCTATTCAAGGGTTGGAACTTTACCGCTACAGAAAATGGATGGACTACAGATGCTACAGCTTTAGAATGGCTGAAAAAGATCTATATCCCTCAAACTACCCCTATTCAGCCGGAAAATTCAAGACTCCTCATTTTGGACGGACACGGAAGCCATGAAACTACAGCATTTATGTTAGAATGCTTTAATAACAACATATATCTCTTATTTCTCCCACCACATACGTCACACGTACTACAACCACTCGATTTATCTGTGTTCTCACCCCTAAAAAGTGCATATCGAATCGAACTTAATAAATTAAGTCTATTATCCGATTCCTCACCAATTGGAAAGCGCAATTTCCTTTCTTGCTATCAGAAGGCTAGAATAGAAGGTTTAACTATTCAAAATATCAAGTCTGGGTGGCAAGCTAGTGGTCTTTGGCCCAAAAATATGGCTAAACCTCTTATGAGTCGACTTTTGCTTGAAAATAGCAATAGAGAGGTTTTATCACTTAATCCTGAATCTGATGATGATCCTATTCTTCAATGGAATATATATTCATCGTTTATTCAATGGAAAACCCCTCAAAAAGGAGCCGATATCAGAAAATATAGAGATATAATGATTCAAGAGAAGGAGATCGATTTGCCAACACGAAGATTACTATTTCGCAAGATTATAAAAGGATTCGATGCTAAGGATTATGAACTCTTAGAGGCAGAGAATAAGATTAGAAAGCTAGAATATCAATTAGATGAAGCATTACCTAGAAAAAGGCGAAAGGTTGTGGTATCTCCAAATTCGAAGTTCGCAGGGATTAGAGCTATAAGGCGTACACAAATTGAAGCTGGAGATCGTGAAGATGAGGTAGATGATAGCTCTAGTGCTATAGAAAGTGATTCTACAGGCGATTTCATTGAAGTTCAATAGTTATTGAGTTATTAAAGTTTTAAGTGTAGATAATATGAATTTTTTAGGTGGTCGGAAACAGGGGGTGGTCGGAAAGTGGGGTAGTTGACTTAATGGAAATAGTTGATGACACCGATATTCCAACTCGCCGGCTGCTTTTTCGAAAGATTCAAAAAGGATTTGATGCTAAGGACTATGAACTTGTACAGTCTAAGAAATGAATAAAGCAATTGGAACAAAAATTAGAAGATATTATACCTAAAAAAAGGAGGATGGTAAGAACTAGTCCGAATTCGAGGTTTGCAGGGATAGAAGCTATATATCAAGCTCAAATTGAAGCTGGTGATCGGGAAATTGATAAAGAAGACTCTGATAGTATTTATGAAACTGATGCTACAGGGGATTGTATTGAAATTGAATAGTGGTTGAGTTATTAAAGTTTAAAATTCATATATATATATAACGTGTTTTATCAGTGAGTGGGTCACTTTCACCTCAATTCACTTATTCAAAACCATATTATTCAACAATAACAAAATCAATTGATTGAAACTATGAAGATTCTAATAATCTAGGATCTACTACATCATTTTGACAGGTTCTCGTATTATGACCTGTCTTTCCACATCTACTACAGCATCGACTAGAAGATGCTTCCCCATTAGGATTCCTCCCTTTTTGACGCTCGTCGCGTTGAATCTGAATATCAACCTCTTGCTGAGATAATATATCAAGAGCCTCTTGTCCAGTGAGCACTCCTCCTTGACGCAATTGGGTTTTTTTCGCGCGTCGACGCTTGCTTAATGCCTCATTTGCTGCCCGAAGTGTACGGATCTCTGCATTTAAAAGTGTATTCTCATGAGCTAATCTCTCTGTACCCTTAGCTAAAGCTAGTACAGTCTCAAATATAGGTGTATGGGAGCTTGAATGATGACGAGTTATTCGAGATTTAACTAATGTTGATTGAGAAAGAGCTTCAGTTGGATTGCGAGGGGTTTGAGAGATCCATTGATTTAGGTCGAAAGAGGGGGGGGTAGGTGTACGAATTCGAATATCTAATTTCGAGAGTACAGCTGCAGGATTAAATGGGATTAAACCTGTTCCTCGAAACCCTGATTTCATATTCTGAGAGGTGATTGATTCTTTATATGCAGCTTTAAAAGCTATAAAGAATTCAACCTTCGAAATATGATTGATATGTGCCTTGATAAATCCATCAATTTGACCACCATATGAACGTTTCAGATTGCTAAAACAGCCCACATCAAGTGGTTGAGTTAAATGACTTGAATGCGGTGGTAGACTTAAGCATATAATATCGTTCTCTTTGCAATATGCTTGAAAAGCTCTTGATTCATGGCTTTCATGCCCGTCTAGTACCAACATTCGATACCTGCCCTTTCTTTGATTCTTAGTGTGCTTGTCGAAGTGTTTCAACCATTCTAAACCTGTCTCATTGTTTGTCCATCTATTAGATGTAGGTTTAATAGCCCAATCCGCAGGAAAATCGGTTTCGGTATACCAATTGGAAAGATGAACCTGTCCTTGAACCACTAGAAATGGGGGTATAGTTTCACCCTCCCCATTGCCACATATGATTGCTGTAGCCCATTCTCTATTGCCTGGTTGTATTGCCTTGCTTCTGCCATTTCGTTCAGCACTAGTTACTACCATTCCGGGGCATATTATACCCATTATAAAGCCCGTTTCATCGAAATTGTAGAAATCGCTATCCAAAATGCCGTATTTCGCTCGCATATTCGCAACCAATTGAAACCACTCTTCAATAAGCTTAGGATCTTCGTAGAGAGCTCTTTGAAAGTCATAAACATGATTAAAACGCGTCTTTAATTCGATTCGATGTTTTACGAATCGATGCGCTTAGAGCTTCCCAATACGCTTTGCACCCCTCGATTCGAGAATATGATTCGCCATATCTTCCACTCCCTTGAATTTAAATGGAAAACCTTTTGAATCCATATCAAGAATATATTGAATAATAACCTCCTCTTCTAATTTTGTAAGTTTATGTCGATTCGCTCGAATTTCGGTACGTGGAGTTAAACCATCCATTTTATGAATGAGGGTTGTACGAGGGATATTATATAGCTGGGAGGCCTTTCGAAGACTCAGTTTTTTGTCGTTTTCGATAGCTTTGATAGCTAAAAGCAAGCGTGCTTCTTTATTATTAGATTGCATAATAAATGGTTGATAAATCGCGTGTTGAAGTTGGTCGTGTTTATTGAGGTGAAAGTGGTCCACTCGATGATATGGTCCACTCGATGATAAATCACGTTATTATTATTCTAAATCTTTTATAAGCTTCTCTAAAATACTTCTAGCTTTTTATTTCCAAAAAATTTCATTATATTATTAATACTTATTTGAATTATATATAAACTCTTACTTTAATATAATAAAACCTTTCCATTCGTATTACTATTATTAAGCTCTTTTCCTATTTTGAACTTATACAACAATTAAATATAAGCTTTCAAGTCTCATCACAATGCTGAAAAGTTAATGTTAGTTTTGTAATGAACCAGAGCATACTATATCATATAACATCGTCACAGAGATGATACTTCTCCAACGGAGTAATTGAGGATATTAGTCAGCGATAATGTAGTTCTAATAATCTTGATGAAATTTTAGTAAAATCTGTAACTGCCAAACATATGGTAATAGCGTTTGTGGCTAGATACAATCTCGCCGGAGAATTCCGTTTCCCCGGTATCCTATAAATAGAGCAAAGAGTGGCTTGTGCAGAAATAGTCTACAACCTTAGATGCATTTATAACTATTCCGACATTTTGATATCTATCTATAGCATTTTATTGCTTTTTGACTTTAAGAAAACCAATATTTCAATAACAAAAAGTAAAGTTTACTTAAAATCCAGATTATATTGAACAAGGTCTTTATCAAATAGAGAGTCCTTTACATTCTGTTTATATTAAACATGTAAGTAACTAACCAGACTATGCCACAGCATAGTTTTGTTAGTAGCGCCTGCAATTACAACTATATATCCTTCTTATATTCAATCATTCAACCTTTCGGCATTAAAAGTCCAATCGTTAAATTTGAAATGCTTATGCCAATTTTCTAAATTAATATTACAAGTTGTATTTGCTATAAAAGCACTTGCGAATCTACAGTATATCTCTTATATGTTTATTACAATGCAAACCCGACGGCGAGATTGTCTTTTGCGAACCTATCAGTGGTAAAGTCCCTACCTACACAATATTCTCTTATACCTAAAAAGAAAACGAGATTATCTATCAAGATTTAAAGAAGAGTAAGAATAAAAACAAAATTGCAAATAAAGCTGGATGGAGGAAGATATAGTTCTATGTGAAGCAAGCTGTAGTAGATGGACTGGAATACTTCTGGATCGATACCTACTGTATCGACAAAAAGAATACAGTCGAGCTTGACATAGCGATCAATTCTATATTTCGATAATATCAAAATGCAGCATACTATTATATCTACCTTTCGAATATCTCTGTTTAGATGTCACTTGGAGTAAGGTCGACTCGAATCACCATATACAGCACTGTATAAGCCTATATAAAATGAATAGTATAAATTGATCTAATATTTCTAGGTATGATTCTTCCCACTCTATATATAGTGGGAAGAATCATGTGATTCGCTTAAGTACGTGATCGTACGTTCCGACACTTATTAATTATTTTCGGAATTTGAGAACTATATTCTTTGAATGCAGAGTATTTCTACAAATATTCCGAATTCTAAGGAGACTTTAATAATCACGATTAAGTAAGGGGGGAATGGCTGAAACAGCAATTAATGATATCAATAAAATGATTGATACTACAATCAATTACAATCTTTTCCTTGCGATTTAATGGTTTGCTTAAAGAAAAATAGTAACAGAAAATGTTGTATCAAGAATAAGTTTGGAAAATCACTAAGAAAAGATTTATAATATTAAAACAGTAGATTTGTCTTGTTACGGGGTGGGTCTCGGGACACAGGGACAGACGTTAGTTGGAGATTTGAGATAAGATCCGATTAGAGTTTTTCGCAGCCAATCAAAATTGAATTTCAGAAACCACGGGTTTTCACAACCTTACAGTGATTGGTAGTGACTAAGCTATCTTAGTGAGCGGAAGAATAGCTTTTTACTAACTCGATCAACTAACTTATAAAGCTTTTAAATTTGATCAACAATAATGCTCATATACAATTCCAAATCCCCTTGCTAGGATGTACAAAGAGTTAACATCAAAGAGTTAGAAACATCGCAACCATGTGTAGCCCAATTATCAGTAGAATGTGTATATGCTTGAGTGCAAGATGCATTTCCACCAGGATTGCCTCCAGGACAGACCACCATCTCGCAGTTCGAATTGTTACTTGTTGCTTGTAGAACCAGACCCTCTTTCTGGAATGGCCATGGGGATTTACCGTCCCAAACATCCGCATTACCATCACGATATCCGTTTACATTTGAAATATCATACCATAAACCAGGCGCTGCGGTGGGTAAGTAAGTATATTCGAATTGTATAATAGTACTCGTTTCAAAGGCTGTCATTTTGTCGAAAGCAGTTGCTATGCTTTGATTTGGCGAGATCTTGAGTGATATTCCCCCATATAGTGTTATATTTGGCGTAGCTGCATTGTAAAGAGTATGTATTCTCCACTGTTCACTATAGGTGCCATTTGGGGGAAGGACTTGAGGTGGCGGGGTATAGCTACCTACAGATGAATAATATATTGGATAACTACACTTGTTGAAAATAATAGCTTGTCCAATTTTGCTTCCAGACACCCTGCCTGCCAATAACAAAGCAAGAATCTGGGCTTTCATCAACATGACTTTTATAGTTTTGAAGTGCAGTGTAAACCTCAGGTGGGGTTCAGTGATGAGGTTATGTAGGTATATTAACATATACCTTCAATATTAAAAAAAAAACAATTTTTTGGTCTATCCTAAAATAATTATATTCTTATATAGGGTAATTCGGCAAAGTCAAGCCAAAAAAACTGTTCTAAATAGACATATACACTTTTCCCTTCACTGCCTACCCAAACAACCAACGTGTCCTAAAACCTCAACAATACGATAATGTATCACATATACAGTTAGGGCTAAATATAGCATGATTCAGCAGGTTGCGCGATTTCCCATCTATAATCAGAGTATGCAGCGTAGCAGTAAGGACAAATGATTTACCTTGATCTTTTTGACATTACGGATTGCCAGCCAAGTGTTGGTTGGAGGTTTTGATTTGTGGCCATATCAACTAGAAAAGACGAGGATGGACAGATAAATGGATCAGTGTGAATTGCGTGATGAAACATAACAGGGGCAATCGTTATTATTTTGTCCTTTAATGATAGTATCTATATCTGAGCTCATGCAAGAGGATCAAAAATCGATCTAGTTGACTTTAAGAGATGATACTTTACATTCACAAGGGAAAGAGCGTTGCGGATGACAATTGACGCTAGGCCAAATAGAAATTGGTTAGCATTCGGTCATTTGGAAGCTTCTAGTCACCTTCTAAATAAATCAGTTAGGGAGTCGGTTAATGAAGAATGATTGTCCTAGTAGACTTTGTTAAGTACAAAATGCTAGAGTAATTGTGGCTTAATTGCGGGGTAAAATAAGGCTGATGTACTTGGCCGTTATGTCCCCAAACATAGACTTGTTCTACATTTGCAAACTAGGTGGTGCTAAGATGAAATGTCTTCTTTCACGGACTAATACTCCTTTAAATTGATATTTTTCAATAAGTAATAATAAGTAGAGGGATACGATAACTCTCACCTGTACGTGGTGTATCCTACGAACCTTTGTTCGTGCGATCGGAGAGCTAAATAGAGTCAGCTGGAGCTAGATAATGGTTGTACACTAATCGGAGGCCATACTAGAAGCGAAGATATATACAGTTGATCACCAAAGGGTGATCACGAAGATACTTGGAATAGAGGATTACCAGCAAAACGAAGATGAAAACCATTCAACGATGGAAGGGAGATAAAAGCGGGATTGATATGGAACCATACCTTTATAAATCTGTATAAGAAGCAAAGCTAAAGCATATTACGGCAGAGCATCTGCGAAGTGGAATTAGCCCTTAAAATAGCGAATAACGAAGCTTCTATAATATAACTGAGTTTAATTGAAGCCTATATTGAAAGTAGAGCTGATATTTTTAATTTGATAAACAAAAATCGATAGAACATTTTTGGGGCACTAGTATACAGAGTTTTCATAATCTAACAATATATATGTTCTGCGGGTATACTAGATTGGATATTTATAAATAATGAGGAAAGTAATAGGAAGTATACAAAGACTAGGATAATGTTTATTAGGGCTGGTGGGAGTATATATGGAGTAGGAGGAGGGACGTTTTTAGTATCTTATCTTTGAGTATATAGGAGTAATATAGTGGTGAAGGAGTTTTGGTATAGGAAGGACGCTTTTAGCAAGTCATACTCGATAATGCTTGATCAGTATTATAGCAACGGAGGATTTCAGGTAGAGGTCAATTTTATGATATAAGTCGCACACCCCTCTTTTGGGCCACCTTATAAATCTCATTGTTCTAATCAATTATTTTTCTTTAATCTTTAATAATTTAATAACCATTTAATTAATTGATTTCAGATTTTAATATATTATTTATTATCTTATAGGAAATGGTTATACAAAAAATGATATTGCTATGGTATTTAGTGTAATAGTAGGAGGTATAACTATTTGTAAAACTGGTTTAGAATATAAAATACTTTGTATTACTTTTTAGAATTGTATAAAAGGTTATTTCTCTTATCAAAAAGGTACTGAAAATATATATAAAATAGTTTCAAATCAGGAGAAAGTATTAATAAAATAAATATTAATCTAAAAAGTTTTAGGTATTAGTTTTATATATTGGTAAATATGAGAGATTAATAAAAACCTTTTTGAAATAAGAGGGAGTAAATCTATATTTGGAAAATGATGGATATTTAATTTTTTGTATAAAAACCCTAAAATTTGAATTAAAAGACAATTTAGAGTTAATAATCAATATGTTTTAGGTGTTATTATTAAAACTATTAGTAAGTTTTTCGAAAAGTTGAATTTGCTGGTTATTATATATATTAAACCAGAAAACAAATGGAATATGAATGAAGTTGGTATTATGGAAGGTTAGAATTTAAATGGTATAGTATTTGGAAATGTTGAGCAACATTTTATTCAAAAAGAGTAATTGGGTATAAAAAGCTGAACCTTTTTTATTGAATATATTTTAATTATAAAAAAAGCATTTTTATTTCTTATTATATATAAGAATAAAAATATTCAATAACAATAATTCCCTACAAAACTTAATAATTATAAGGGTTAGAAATTCTATACTACAGAAAATGGGTAGATTATTAATAAAACAGATCTAGTATAACTAAAAGAAATCTTTATTCTTTAAATAATCCCCTCTAACCCAAAAAAAGCTAAATTGCTTATTTTAGATAAGCATACAAATCATATAACTACTCAATTTATACTTGAATACTTCAAAAACAATATACACCTCTTATTTCTACCACCACATACATCACATATATTACTACCTCTCGATTTATTAGTTTTCTCTCCCTTAAAAAACGAATATTAACATAAGCTTAATAAATTAGACTCATTATCAAATTCTACATTTATTAACAAGAGAAATTTTCTTACATACTATCATAAAACAAGATCAACTAGTTTAACACCAAATAATATTATTTTAGAATAGAAAGCTTCATGTTACGACCAAGGTCGTCACATGACTAGATTGACTAAATATCACCTGACCAAGGTGTCCCACTGAGTCTCACTGAGTGAGGCCCAGTGGGACACAGTGGGAAGCAGTGGGACAACAGAGAACAAAGGTCTATATAAGGAATAGGATTTCATTACAATGTAGAGCTTCGTGCTCAAGAACAATCATTAGTTTCATTACTATAGTTACGAGAATTGCAACCAGTTACAACCTTATTGAATTCCTACTTGAAGTCTAGTCTAAACCACCTCGAGAGATCTCTAGCCACTTCCACGTGACCTAGAGGCAGCTCCCGTAACACTTCAGGTTTATAACATTTAAACCACACTAAACCTATTATATCAAGATTATTACTTAAAAATAACAATAAGAAGATTGTAAATATAAATCCAGTTTCAAATAATAATCTAATACTTCAATGAAATATAGATTCATCTTTTATATAATAGAAAACACCTCAAAAAGCAAGCAATATACATAAATATACTTTAATAATAAAATCTAAAAAGAAAATAGATTTTTATACTCATCAATTACTATTTCAAAAAATTTAAAAAGCTTTTAATACTAAGAACTACGAAATTATAAATTCTAAACATCAAATAAAAGAATTGAAACACAAATTAGAAAGTATTATACCTAAAAAAAAAAAGAAAGATTCCTACTAATCCAAATTCGAAGTTTTCAGGGATTGATGTTATATATCAAGCTCAAATCGAAACTGATAATCGTAAAATTGATATAAAAACTCTAATAATATATATAAAACTAATACTACAGAAGATTATATTGAGATTAAATAGTTAATTAAATTATTAAAGTTTGAAAATTGTATATAGATATTTTATAAGGTGGTTTAAAAGGGGGGTGGCCTAAAAGTGGGGTGTGCGACTTATATATGTAATGTGGTTTTAGCACTCTACTTTCGATTATAAACTATATATTGGGGGAGTGGATTTTATAAGCAGAGTTTTGGTTAGTGAGTTGGAAATATTATGGAAAGGTTGTTTAGCTAGGGATCTGAAATAGCAAGCCTGCGAGATATAGTCGGCTTTGTTGTGTAGGAGAGATCTGGCAAGGTAATGCGAAATGGCTATTAGCCGCGAGGTGTAGCATATAATGATAGTGACAGCGACACTGTCTATATGGCTTGAGAGGACGGATGCGTGTGTCGGTCTATAAACGGATACTATAGGGCAGAGGGCATGATGGAGGTATCAGATAGGCTTAAGGAGCAAACAGGAATGGAGGCGTGGAGGAATGGTTTTGGTCCTAGCCGGAACTTCCGAAGGTAATCACGCAATAGGTGATTTAATGTAGTCAGAAGATTCTACAGAAGCCTAGTACTAGTAGCTTTATCACAAGTGAGCCGGGAAAGCGTTTGTAGGTGTAGCGAACCTACTTTGTATTATAAGATATTCTAGAAAGTAGTTATAATATAATTCATTTCTGCCGGAAGCTCAACGGACGAGGAGCGGGACGCGCAGGGCCAACGAATCACCCGTAGCAGGGCAGCGAAGACCAATAAGAACCTCAACCTCGAAGCTCTGAGTAATCAGGCCCTGGCTGGGGGATACGATACGACAATGAAAGACTTATATGAATAGATCGAGCCCATTGTCCATCGCCTGGATAAACACGCGGAAAAGCCTCGCACCGCATGCAGCAATACTGCAGCGAGCGTTTGAGGAAAAGATCGATGTAGTGTGTATACAAGAGCCCTGGGTATCCAATACACACACCCAAACTCATAATGGATACCAATGCCTGTCCCCGGTGACCTCCTGGAGGGTGAGCGGGACAAGCGAGTAAGGGCAGGGGCGCCCACGAGTAATGACATATATCAGAATTGAGACTAGACTTCGAGTAGTACAGTTAGCAGGAGAAGAGCATAGAGATTATATGTGGCTCTCTATAAACGGAACCAAAGTGCTAAACCTATATAGGGAACCGAACACCTCAGGAATCCTGGAAATGATACTTGACCTAGTACCAACTAGGGATACGATCATTGGGGGAGACTTCAACGCTCACCACACACTATTTGAGCCTGGCGTGGCCACAGCGCATGGGGGCAATCGGCTCGCGGAATGGTTCAGCGACAGAGGCCTCAAATTCACGAACATCCCGGGCCAAGCGACACACAGCACTTGGTCTCTGTCATTACTGTAAGGCTCCTGGTCATTCAGTATGGGACTGCGAAGCAAAAAGATTGGCCGATTCACATCGACCAGGTTTACAAGTTTCTCGAGGTGGTAGAAGCAATGGCTTTGGTCGAGGCGGCGGATTAGCAGGCCGGGGTGGAAGAGGTAACCCAGGCGGGTTTCAGAACGGAGGTGGATACCAAGCACCCGCAGCTGGGCACCAAGTTTTCGGAACGAATCAACCAACTCGCACCTACCAACCCAATACCCAAAATCGCCAACCACCTAGTCAATATTATCAACCCAGATACCAACAACAACTGAACACAGTCCAAGGTTATATCGAAGCCGAATCCCTTACACCCTCAGAGAGTACATCTAATACACCATATTCGACAATGTCACCACCTTCGGATTTAGGTTCGGGAAATGCAACACCTCCGCAATAAGTCGCCCGTGGAGGTCATCAAGGGATATAGCATGGATTCAACGCACTGTAGATAGCAGAGAGTTATTACAACTTAGCTCTATAGATAGCAAATTTTTACTTGTTCAAACAAGTATGTTCCCAGCACATAAATCTTCTTTTGTCGTGACTAGTTTAATTGATAGCGGATGCTCCGGAAAGGCATTCGCTGATCGTACCTTCGTCGCACACCACAATATAAAAACGCAACCTCTACCCCACCGACGTGAGCTTTGCCTAGCTGACGGAAAAGTAGCAGACATTATCACCGACTATTTCATAATGGACGTTGCGATGGGTCTCCATCGAGAAACATGGGTATTTTTCGTTACTACACTAGACCCCAAAACACCTCTCATTTTCGGCCTACCGTGGCTACAATGCCACAATCCACATATAGACTGGGCGGAAATGACCCTTTCATTCACCTCTCAGTATTGTTCCACTCAGTGTTGCCCTAATACAAACAGAGTAACAGTTCAAGCACCCACAATCCCCTCGTTTCAAGAACACGACGTTGTCTCACGAAGTTCTGCAAAAAGGCCACCTGTTGACGACGTCTTGGATGCATTACCACCTGTGCGCGCCTTTTTGGAGAACAAGACAGTGGAAGAAGTCCTCGATAAAATGCCACCGGATAGGGCCAGCCTGTGGCGCTCGTACAAATCCCCATATATAGAGGATGACATCGACGAAGGTTACGAATCAGGAGTTTCACAATCGGAAGGAACTACAGATCTTGATATCTATATCGAGACCTCTCTCACCCCCGGCATAGACCACTACCGAACCAAGCAGTGTAATGGAGATCCACTTACACAAAGCCGGATGATACGGAACCAACGAAATACTCACCCTATAGCAACGGAGAAAATAGCCGGCAGACGACGAGTTACAGCGAAACCCGTTAAAGAACCTCTCCCACAACTATCCGTACCAATACCTTCCATAAAAACGGATACGAAATCAAGACCTAATATGACCGACATCCGATGGTTACAAGCTACTAGTTTTGTCTCCTTCTGCCAACAGGAGACCGTTCAGGCGATGCGTATTACCTGGGAAGAACTTGATCGTGCATCCGTACTACAAACGGAAACTATTCGAAAGACACAATGGGCCCCAAATCTCACCGACGATGACTATAAAGACATATTGAACGGGGAGGGCGATGTTGAACGCATGTTATCTAAGGTCCCAATACACCTCCATGACTTCGTTTACGATTGCTATAGACCAGAACATCTTCGGAAAATATCACAAACCGATGTCGATAAGTTCCTTGAAGGGAAACCCAGTTTAACTGACTCTGAAATACGCGACAAACTACCCACCTGGCTACGAGATCAACTCCCTGCCTTCCTCCCACGACACGCACACGTATTACCACCACGGCGTGTTTGGGATCATAAGATCGAACTCATGCCAGGAAAGGAACCACCATATTTCAAGAATCGGCCGTTGTCGCCATTGGAATTGGAAGTCGTGCGGAAATGGATTGATGAGAACCTATCCAAGGGTTTCATTCGGGAATCGAGATCTCGTAGCGCTGCGCCCCTGCTCTTAGCAGCAAAACCAGGTGGTGGAGTCCGCATATGCCAAGACTATCGAGGTCTGAACAATATTACTATAAAGAATCGATACCCTCTTCCTATTGTGCGTGAAACATTAGACGCATTGTGTAATGCTAAGATTTACTCCAAACTAGACATCATCGCTGCATTCAACAATCTTCGTATCGCGGAGGGAGACGAATGGAAAACAGCTTTCATCACACAATTCGGCCTTTTCGAATTTTTGGTTATGCCATTCGGGTTGTGCAACGCCCCTGCTTCGTTCCAAAACTATATTAATCACACCCTTTTTGACGAGCTAGATAAATATTGTACAGCATATCTCGACGATGTTCTTATCTACTCTGCTAATAAAGACGAGCATCGTCAACATGTACGAACGATTGTACAGAAACTAGCAAATGCAGGCTTACAAATCGATATCAACAAATGCGAATTCGAAACTACATCTACAAAATACCTCGGACTTATTATCACTACATCAGGAATAAAAATGGACCTAGAGAAGGTTGATGCTATTCTCACTTGGGAGCAACCAGCATCAATAAAAGATCTCCAGCGATTCTTAGGATTTGCTAATTTTTATCGGCGATTTATACGCAACTTTTCGAAAACATGCTGTCCACTAAATAATTTACTACGGAAGGATACCCAATGGGTGTGGAACTCTGAACACAAAGAAGCTTTTGCCCTCTTAAAGGAAGCCTTCACGACCGCACCTGTCTTAGCCTGTTTTGATTATAGAAAGAGGACGGTTATAGAAACCGATGCGTCGGACTGGGCCTCTGGAGGAGTCTTATCTCAATACGATGACGAAGGCATTCTACGCCCAGTAGCATACTTCTCAGCAAAACATTCAGCTGCAGAGTGCAATTACGAGATCTACGATAAGGAACTATTAGCTATTATCAAATCAATGGAAGAATGGCGACCCGAACTCCAAGGAACGGAAAAGGAATTCCAAATTCTCACTGATCATAAAAATCTCGAATATTTTACAACTACAAAAGCACTCAACCAACGACAAGTCCGTTGGTCTGAGTTCCTCTCCCAGTACAATTTCCGCATAGTTTATCGACCAGGATCAAAGGCCATTCGACCGGATGCTTTGAGCCGGAGAAGGGAGGATCGTCCAAGCCTATCCAACCCCAACGATGAGCGTTTGAACAGAGAAAGGATCATATTACCCAGCGATCGTTTCGATGTCGATCTTTACAAAGAACTCACTGGGGAACTTACATTAGCACCCTTAGAAACAATTATACCTGCTAGCGATAAACCTATCGACGAGCTAATTGATACTGCTTACACTGAGTCAACTATGGCACAACAGATGATATCTGCGCTCCAAGATCCGTACATACGCAAATGGCCGGCTGAATTCCGAAAACTCCTACGAATCGCGATGCAAGACTGTCTAGTTCACGGCAATAGGATATATTATCGAGACAAGCTCTGGATACCACCTAACGATGATCTGAAGGTTCAAATCATCTACAGAACTCATTCGTCCGGCCCGGCCGGACACCCGGGACGTACAAAAACTATCGACTTGGTAACAAGAACCTATTGGTGGCCGCAAATGCACCAAGAGATTGGAGCATATGTACAAGCGTGTGAGTTATGCACTCGCACCAAATCCTCAAAATCAGCACCACCAGGTTTCTTGCGACCCTTACCCGTACCGTTCCGCGCTTGGTCAGATATATCAATCGACTACATCACGCCACTTCCCGACTGCAAGTTCTATGACTCAACCTATAAACACATCCTTGTTGTAGTATGTCGTCTTACGAAAATGAGACACTTTATTGGTATGAGGACCCTAAACACTGAGGAGTTGGTTGATGCTTTTATAAGCAGGATCTATACACTGCATGGACTCCCGGACAACATAATCTCCGATCGTGGTACACAATTCGTTTCCGGATTTTGGTCCCAAGTATCAGAACGATTAGGAGTAACACTACGGCATTCCTCTGCATTCCATCCCCAAACTGATGGCCAAACAGAGCGGATCAATTCCATTCTTGAACAGTATCTGCGTGCCTTCGTTAATTTCCATTAAGACGATTGGATGATGTGGCTACCACTCGCCGAATTTGCATCAAACAATGTCTTTTCAGAAACCACGCGTTGCTCACCATTCTTTGCTAACTACGGGTTCAACCCACGAATCGGAATAGAACCAAGTAAGCCTTGTTCACCTGATTTGACTTTAACCCAAAAACGCGAAATATTTAAAGGAAATGCTACTGCCGAACGGCTGCAGCTCGTGTTAGACCAGCTCCGAGCATTCGCACAACAAGCCATCGCTGTATATGAGGAGAACGCAAATCGGTATCGCACCGATTCCCCACGTTATAATGTTGGCCAAAAAGTATACATCAATACCAAGAATATGAAGACAAATCGAAAGGCAAAGAAGCTCGATGATAAATGGATCGGACCATATGAAATCATAAAAGCCTATCCCCGCTCCTGTTTAGTACAGTTGCCGAAGGATGTGAGAATCTTTCCTGTATTCCATCACTCTCTACTTCTACCTGCACAGAACAACCAGCGTTTTCCCCAGCAAGATGAAATAAATACATCAGAAGCGCTGGGCACCAGAGGCCGAGTCTTGGAGCGGGATGATGACGAAGACGAACCAGTTCAAAAATGGGTTTTTGAGGGAATATTAGACAATCATGACGAAGATGGCCACCATTATCTAATCAAATGGAAACACTATGCACCAACATGGCAGCCTGCATCAGATTTAAAAGGTAACGAAGAAATGGTTGCCGAATACCATTACCTACACCCCGAGAAACCTGGGCCTCCTGATTGGGTTTTAAAGAGTCCTAAAGCGCAAGCAATATTATCACCACAAAAGACACAGGAACAGAAGCCGCTATCACAAGAGCCGTCGAAGCAACCAGCCCCTAGAAGATCGACAAGAAGAAAGAATACCTAATTGGTCAATTCATCTGCAAGCCTATCTGCAACCACGACTTCGCAACCGTGTTTACCCCGCAAGTGGAAATTTAACTTATTTTACGATTTCTCTTCGTTTTTCTTCTTCTTTCTTTTCTTTATTTCAGATATTCTCATTCATAACAAAAAACTTATCGCTCTCAAACCACTGTTTTGAGATAAAACATTCGATACAATAACCTTTCTCGCTACCCCTTACACTATGGTTCATCGATTCAACCGGGTCCCCTCAAGACCAGATCGTTCAACTCTCGCTGAATTAGCAGAGATGCTAAACGAACTCTGTTGGGCGATAGACCAGCGAAACCCCTTATTATTGAATGGAGAAAATAATGAATCAAAAACGAACTTCAAATCACTTGCAAATCTATGTCTCCCAGATGGCGATGTTTCCCTCTTTCATTGGAATACAGATACAACTGTGTTCTTCCAGATTAAAGTCACACCAAACCTCGACCCTGTCCGCGATCGACGAGCACGAGAAGCTCTACAACATCTACACACAGCGTTTTACGTCGGACAACAAGGCGGATCCCATGTTCCATATCGAGTCGTCGAAGATAGGGACGCCCACTATACACAATTAGCATCAGGATTCGCTGGCAATAATGTACAAGCTATTCGACAAGCCTTCCGAGCACGAAACCTCTATTGCGAAGCTAGAGATTCACAACACAATTTGTATCAAGGACTTGTTCCATCAAGCCTCCCACCCCCTCAACCACAAGCATATTTCACGAGGGAGAACGTCCTTCAGACACTGGGACAAGGAGAGACACTTAGGATGATCTTTATAGTTTAAATACAACTATAACCCTTAATACAAAGATATAAAGCTTGCTTGGGACAAGCAAGTTTCGAAGGAGGGAGTACTGTCACGGGTTCAACCCATTAGCGTAGATGCCTTAGGCATCTACGTTGTATATAGTTCGGAAGGTCCACCAGGGGGTGCACAGACTCACGGGACAACGTGACAGAAAGCACAATTTCACACTCAAATTCATTAACTTTAAATTTCAAACAAAATTTCAAACGTCCTTTAATATCAGTCGGATTCATATATTAAATTTTTCATACATTGATAAATAGTTCTTGAAAGATTTATCCCAAGAAAATAAGATTTGAGCTCAAAAAACGAATCGTACGCTTTCCCACCAAATCTTTTGGTGGGGAATTATATATTCTTCAATAAAAATACTAATGTTGACTTTTTTGATTCAATTTTAAAATTATGAAAAACTTTTATGCTTCAAATTCATATATATATAGTTTTTAAATAAATCCATTGGAATCTTGAATTTTAATTGAATTATTAAAAACGCTTTTTTGGTGTGAAATTGTGCTTTCTTCGTGAATGTCCCGTGAGTCTGTGCACCCACTGGTGGTCCTACCGGACCTTTCCAACCTTCGTAGAATATCATATATCTAATCTACAACCTATTCCTCACGCCGTGATATAAATAATCTTTCAATCCTGTTTTTATTATTACTTTCCACTCTAAATATATTAGTAAATCTAGAAGATCTAAATCTCTTTTTGTTTAATAATATTAAATTATAACAAACAAATAAAATATTCAATTTAGCTTTATTCATTAATAATCTATTTACTTTTTTTAATACAAAAATATGCAAAACAAATAATCTATCAAATTAAAAGCTTAAATATTAAAAATACTATTCTTTAAAAGAAACTTTAAAAATATAAAGAAATATTTGAAATAAAAAGAAATAAAAAAATAAAAAAAGAATAAAATTAAAAGGTGAATTTATATTCAATATTAAAGAAATACTGAAAATTATTAAGGAAACTAAACAAATACTCTTATCTAAATAATAATGTAATAGATTACTTAAATATCAAATTAATTAAGTAGAAGAAGAAATGGAAAAAGAAGAGGATAATAATAATTCAATTAGATTAGTAATAATTGTAAATCACTCAGTAGTATATAGAACAAGGTCAAATAGGAAAATATGATTTTCTATAACCTATATCATGACATAACCCACTTCTAGTCAAGTCACGTTAATGCTTATTACAACTACCAAAAAAAAACAAGAAAAGGAAAGACGAAAAAACAAGTTATAGCTCATCCCTTTCTCCTAGAAATAGTTTTCCCAACTTCCTCAACTTCCATGGAGGTGGGGATCTATCATGAGATCTTGCGTTTCATCAACTCCACCTTCTTTCTCATCTGCACTATCACACTTTTCTTCACTCTTCTTCTTGTTCATCTTCCTCAACCGTAATCGAGTCTTTTGGAGGGCAGTCAAAATATCATTGGCTTTATCCTCAAGGTCGTCTTTCCCATCAGAATCCATTGCCATAAACCCTATTTCTAATGAGAAATCATTTATACCCTTCAAGGGGACATTGTTTGTGTCCTCTATGAAGAGTTTTCTCGTGCCCTTTGCGCTGAATTTCTTCTTCCTCTCCTCTGTGGATTTGGAGGCGATGGATGCGGAATTATTGTAAAGTGACTTTGCTCCTTTTGATGATTCCATAGTCTTCCAGGATATCTAAATGTTTTGGTACACCTCCGGAAATCGCACTTGTAGATGCTAGAGTGAAATATTTGGTGGCTTTTCATATGACTATATTGCTTGTATGATTTTTCACAGCCTCCAAAGCTGCATTGAAATGGTCCTTCATTAAGGTGATGCGATCTCAATTCGGATTTTCGTTGAAAGACTTTCTCGCAACCACAATCACATTTGTATCGTCCCGATATTACAGGGTCTAGGGAAAATGATGTGGTTTGTTGTTCGACAGATACCATTTCCTTTTTCCTTGTACTAAGATTATGAATTGATTGTTGATACTGTGGATTTGGAACCAGGTAAATCTGTTTTATTAAGAGTCAGTGATAGTCAAGTTGGGGGTTTCATGATTGCGCTAACACTTTTTCCATCTTGAGAATACCTGTTGTGACAATCCAATAGATGTTTCCAAGCCTGATCAAACGAACCAGCTGGGCGCAAGTATATGCAAATAGAGCAATTCATAGGCACTTCTTTAGTATGCTTCTCCCCATGAGCTTGCAAAGACTTAGCACTGGAATGTAACGCGCCGCAATGTGGCAATGGACATCGATGTGCTTGAGAAGTTCCAATAGGAGTCGGCAGGCGATCTTCCAAGATCAATTCAGTACATACGTTTTTAGAATGAGAAGATTCATAGTTTTGTGTGCTATCGCTGGTATCGTATTCTGCTGAATCTGACGTGTCTGGGTATTCTTCTTGTGGTCCATGTGATTCGATAGATATCATATGTTCGATTGAGAGTTCAGAGTGGCAAGAGATGACGGGTCTCAAATCGGATTGGTGTTGAGATATGCTGTTCTTCTCTTTTGAATCTTCCTAACTTTGTATTAGGCACTCTCCTCAAGTTTTGGGGATGGAAAATTGAGGATATTTTGCTCGATTTGGAAGAAACTATACTAACTTCGGAACCAGATGATATCTCACATCTCCCATATTTCATAAAAATTCCTCGATTCAAGTCATGCTCAAATGCCATTGAGCAGCGCTCATATGTGTAAGTGTTTCCTTCTTACATAAAATCTATCGCAAAAAAAAGTGGAGGGCTCAATATGAGTTTGGTCAAGGGGAAGTTCATCAATTATATAATGGGAATCTGAATACTATTGAGCTTACTGCGCTTTTTCAGGAACCAATTTTCTGAAATATGCCCTTGCAACCCCCCGTCCCCCTATCCATCTCATTTCTTTACCACTAGTCTCTCACGCCTGCCCTGCTTGCTCTTCAGCTCTGTCATCTCCCCTTTTATTCACTTATGGAAGTTGCTACTATCTGTTCCTATGTATGAGCTCAAGGAGCTAGGATGAGACGGAAGAGAATAGTTTCTCCCTTTACTGTTCCAAATCCATGACATACTTTGGTGGTGCGCGAATTGTTATACCCACACTCAAAATAAATTGAAAAACACTGATAATAAGAACTTCCTTTGCATTTGCACTAGAGTATAAGGAAAACTAACGAGGAAAAAACTTATACTGAGGAGCCCACCATTCACTTCCACCCACACAATATTATCTCTACACCATAGTTTGATCTTCAGAAACCCCGTAAATCAATTAGCCCAACATTTCGCCGGCCATCTTAGCATCATCTATCAGTCTACTTTCAGTCCCCACCTTGCCATCACTTAACGAATTGCTCTCATCCACCATCTTGACATCATCTGCCATTCTACTCTCATCTACCTCTTTATCATCAGTAGCCAACCTGCTTTTATCCACCATCACATTATCGTTCAACTGTCCAGTCTCTTTCAAAATCTTAATATCGTCCATCATTGTAGGTCCATGCGATGTCTCACTGTTTTGTGTTTTGGTTTTGTCAGATTTTTCAGCCAAAAGATTCTTCAACCATTCTTCTGCATGATCAAATGCTCCCTTGGAATCCCTTATCCATTTAAGAAGATGTTTTTGTACTGCAGAATGTCTGACTTTCATTCCATCGAGAAGCTTTCCAAATTTCTCTCCTTGCTCAAGAGATTCAGGGGCTAATTCTGTCGATTCCGTGTTTGGGTTGGTATACGCATGAAACATGCTTGTCGCCTGTTCCTTGTCAATGTATGTGAATTTGACAGTTTCATCCACTCGACCTTCACGAAGTAGCTCCGGAGAGAAATCATGAAGTTCTTGGAAGTAGTTGGTTGTCATGATAATGATATTCCCCTCAGGAGATATCAGACCATCAAGTATATTCAAAAAGGTTGACAGTGGAAATCCTTCATTCGATTCTGGTTTATACTCTCGAAACGTACTCGGCTTGATGTCTTCGAAAACAATCATCGACGACTCAGGAACACGCCGCAATATTATCTTTAGATCTTCCTCATTCTGTTTCTGCAGGTTGACCCAACACAGATTCAAACGATAACGATGAGCCAAACCCGTAATCAGACTTGTTTTTCCTGTGCCTGACTCTCCTTCTAGCAGATACACAAGTTTGTGCTTGGACCCCAGCTCTTCGAATAGCTTCTTGTCCTCATTTTCCTCCGAGTAGAAAGTGTCAAATTTGTGGATAATGCTCTTCTTCACATTCCTATCCATGAATATATACTTGAGGGGGCGACTATGGATTATGTTTGTTGGCGTCCAATAATCACCGCGAAAACGACGTGACCATACTTCTGATGGTTCGAAGATCCAAATATCTTTGTGCTTTAAGTTGAGTGCCGAATCACCAAGGGTGGACATGGCAATAGAATGGCAGACGAGTTCGTGTATTCCCTCTTTGGGAAAAGCCCCATAGCAATCGATGTTCATAATTTTTTGGCTTCCCTGCGATTGATTCTTAGATCCGGTGTCAGAGTTACTTGGAGCGCTTGACTCAGTGTAGGCCACTCGATAAATCCAAATTTTGTATCCAAACCAAAAGTAGCCGTTTCCGACATGGTAATCGATCTTTGGCTTCAGGTCCAACTTATCTCTGGCAGATAGCTTATCATCAAGTAATGACATCGTGATATTATAGGAGTTTAATGTACAGTTTTGGAGAAACCACACACAGACTGGTCTGAACAGGTCGTCTCCGTCCTCAATTCGACCTGTACAATATGGCGGGTAGGTATAAAGAATAGCAAAACATATGCCCAAGATAGCAGATATCATCACTGGATACTTCATTGGTACCCATCCTGAAATGAATTGATACAGAATTGTAACGATATCAAGATAGATATAAAATTTAGATTGAAATGTTCGAAGGAGAAAGGGAAGAGAAGATGTGAGAATCTGTAACGATTCGGAAGGGCTTTCATACATTGAACTAGACATGATTTAATGATGAAAATGAAGAGAACTCGAATTGGGTGATGGATATTTCAAGTGTCTATCGTGGGAGAGAATAGAATTAGTTTACTATGGATCGAAAACCGACAATTTGAAGAAAACGGGCAGCTGATAGAATATTTTTGAATCTAGTAATTCTACAGGAGGAACAATTAAATGGATCAGAATAAGGAAAATCACCCCTGAATACATGGCTGCATTATGGCCACCAGCCCCCGGACCCACAGTCATATTAAGCGACACTATCAACGCTCGAAATTGACATTGATGTAACCCATACATTTTCTTGCCTTGATTTTGATCTATTCTTATTCAAGTAATATCAATATATCAGTCTAATAATGACACAAACTTAGAACTAAATATGATAAGACTTCAAAGTTCAAGCAAGCATTTGGAAGACATTGGAGGTTGTGAGAATTTCCTTTGCATTTACACTAGAGTATAAGAAAACCCAAGCCCAAGGCCAAAAACTCATACTAAGGAATGATGCATATCGTAAAAAGATTATTGATCTTTCTTTGAATCACATGCCCCTCGTAACTCGCGACCCGTAACAACGTTCCAATTTTCGTTCTCGATCGGTTGCCAACATTTGGCCAAATACGCAAGCTTTTCTTCGCCAGGATACCAGCTATCCACATTTTCTGCCCAATCTACCATCCATTCCGTAATTTTTCTGCTCCATGTCCTACATTCCCATTTTTCTTTAACCTCAATCTCAGGTGATCGCAATGCATGACTCCACACTTGAGTAAGATTTGCCACGAGAGCACCACGCTCCTCGTGGCCTTTGAGATTTGTTTTCTTAAATTCTTTCCATTCACCAGCTACTGGATAGCAGACCCAGCCGTATAGACCTTTTTCGTAATTGCTGGATATGCCAAGATAATTCTCGAATAAGACAAATTCAACTTCGTTGTTTTCGTTTTTGGGTTTGTAGATCGTCTTCTTTTGTCCCTCTCCCACGGAGACGGAATCGAGCCAGCGAAACGGGTCTGGAGCGTTATATTTGAATACCCCATATTGCGACATATCTTTATCGAACCGTTAGCTAAATTAAAGAAGTTGAAAGCAAACTTACTTGTGAAAGTATCCTCGAGAATGTATTGACAAACAGTTTCCTTCGACAATGAGAAGATTGATGAATGTGATGGAAATAGTGTCTTGAATATAATTTGAAAAGATGAGAGCGGCTTCAGTCTCGTTTAACGACCGAATCATTTCCAAGTCCTGCTTAATTTTGGTCACCATACTCGGACACTGCGACCCGAGTCGAAGTGGGAATAATATCTATATATTACTTAGCCAAGTCTAAATCGAAAAAAAGCAAACAAAATGGGTAGACTACAACAAGTGTTATTTGGAGCGTTGGTGGTGTCGCTTATTATGACTAGGGGACAGGGGGGCAAATACTACAGTCAGGCAAAGTACCCTCATGCCCCTTCAAAATCATGTAATTACTTTCGTGTCCTAGAATTGAAAGGAAACTTGCGTTTTTTCTTGACTCCAAGTTGGTTGTTCAGTCTGGAAAATTATTGGTTGGTCCGTAGGTTTGACAAACCAGAATTTCAGTACCTTCAGAAAGAGATATCAGTTTTCGGCACCCCAGCACATACATGACGCTTGCATTGCAGAAGAAAAGTTGAATTCTCTAATATGTTGGGATCCTATCGTAGGCAATAAATCTTGCATAAAGCGATGTAACTCCAATTGATTGTAGTATGCGACAACAGCGCAATAATTAGTGCAATCACAAACACTCTCATTGATGTTTGATCCTGCCGCTGATTTCAAATCCTTATAGAAGGGATGTGTGATGCAGTGGCCTGTAGCTTGCTACGTGTTTATCTGACATAGGGTAAGCTACTTTCGGAATTCTTCTGGGACAATTGATAAAGTTGAAGGGGTGAACTCGGGTAATAAAAGCTCACAACCTTGATTCATGCAAGTAAACTATTTCGATAAACCACTATGGATAAGTGATGAAAGTTGTGAAGAGTATACTAAGTGCTCACATTGTTAGAATGAAGAATGCCTTGTGCGAACCTAGCTCAAAGCATGGACTACTTTTGTATAATGTTTGTAACGACGCCTGCTTGGTTGATATTTATGTGTGGAACTATAGAAAACAAACCTTGTGAGTTTTCTCACAAAATACGTACTACTCATTCGCATGTACCCCACTTCCACACTGCTTCAACTCATTGTGCGGCAGTAGTCATGAATGATTCATGGTGACACAGGTATAAAATCCCTTCGCGCAAACCATTCTTTTTTTCATCCACATCTAGTACCTCTCATTCAAACCTCATTCACAATTCTTCCATCATGAACACCAAAATCACTTTTCTTGGAGACAGAAATGTTGGAAAGACTTCAATGGCGTCACGTATCCTTCAACTGGATTATCTTGTGAGTGTATCCCTGCATAGCTATATCATAAGCTGTCTGTATCCTGACTTTAGAAAGTCAATTGGTTCTCACCCCTTATATGAGAACATTCAAGAAATTTCAACCATCGATTACCTTGATGAACTTCTGAAGAAAAGCCCTGATTGGGCCGAATGCTTGGTGATGATTTACAACATCGGTTCACCGAGCTCTTTCGATCTTGGAGCAAAGCTCTTTGCGTGTGCCTTGAGATATCGTAGTCCCCGAGTAGCAATAGTGGTTGCAAATGTGGATGATGCAAATGAAAGATCTGTGAATCGGGAGAAAATCGAGCAATTTATGAAAGGATACAAGGGCTTCGACTGGCACTTCCTCGAGACATCAATCAGAGACTTCCAGCAAGTCTTTCAACCTCCCATTCAAGCTTCATTTTTCTTTGATCATCACTATCCTTTCATGAGAGTGGTTCAAAGCGATGGTGAAGTGCTTGATGCTGAAGTCACAACACAACCGTCCCCGGATTTGGAAGTTATAAACGTCGAGACTTCCCTGTGCTGGCAAATTCTGCCAAAGCCAGTGGAACCATTCCATCCGCAATTGGTGAATATTTCTGCTGAAGTGCTTGCGGAAGAAGATGCGGTGAAACCTCCTACAGAACAATGGTGGTTAAGGGGGCTTGTAGAAACCTTTGTAAGGGAAAATGTTGATGCGAATTGGCATTATCCAGTGGGGAGTAGTAAAGACGAAAAAAGTCCGGAGGCCCCAACGATGAAAAAGGGAGTGGATGAGGATTTCGTAGGACCACTTCCTGCACCACATGCCTTTCAAATAATTTCCTATGACTATATCGAGCACCTAAGTGAAGCAAAGGGGCCTCGGTCGAAGATTTCTCTCGAGAGTACGGTGGAAGTTTCAACAGATATGAAGGAGTTGAAAAGTTGCGTGTTGAGCAATACCAAGTTGGACAGTGCGCAAGAGAGCTACCTGTCAGAGGATACAGGTTTAGAGAATACTGATGGGCATCCAAGAATTAAGCTTCGGTGGTTACGCGATCTGCTTTGTTGTTTGCAGTGACAAGGACTTGTCATGCATTTTGGTTTTCTTATTGTCTCGTTTTGCACTTTGTATATTCTAATTGGTTTGATGCGACTAGCCGAGAATTGATACTGGTATCACGATTGGATATAATCTGCTTTCGAATATCGATGAACTACTATTGAAGAATCGCTTATCTGTAAAAGTTCCCTAGCTCTCCACATGAACTTCCAAGTGTCCAGGGTTTCACCAATAGCAAAAGACGACCGCTTTCCACTGGCGCTGTAATCCTTTAGCCGTGTCACACGCATATATTGGTTTCATTCTGTTGGGCAGACTTCGTGAGGTGAATATGGGTTAAGGTATCTTGTCATTCTGTCTACCCCCTTCGAAGAAGGGGGCCGCTACTCTAAATATGTCCCCATCCTAGGTGAGATAATCACATGACCTAGCACCACGTGATAGTCACGTACTCCGAGTTCCAACACATTCATTGAAAGCAGGTAGTATACATTTATGCAAGTCATGAAGGTCTATCAACAAGAGTCCTATGAATTAACTTGGCGAGCTCAACGATTTCCGGATCTCACATATGATAAGAACAGTATCGCCTGCCACATGTTTTGCTGGCCGAGTCGTCGATAGAATCAATGTGGCCGAAAACGCTAAAAGCCGATGTTAGGCCGATAAGTGCCTTAAGGATAAGACACTTACTTTACATATGCTATCATAGCTTCCTAACCTTATAAAGGTTAGCCCTCTTCATAATGACAATAAAATCTTACAACTAAGAATTGTTTCACCGATTCTTTATCATGGTAGGGTGGAGGAGGCTGGTTATTATCAATGATAGGAGTGAAGCTATGTAAACCCCACTAACAACGCGAAGAAAGAGTAGGATTTGCAAACGGGGATGGGATAGTTCGAAGCTGAACGCCATTTCTAGACCCTATAATTATTTTTAGAAGATTTGTGACCAGATCACTAGTAAAAAAATTCTTACCCCCTTCACAATCAAAATGACTGACATAGCCTCTTCCGATTTTATATAGTATTCTCGCAAAGGTAAATGCCATCTCGACAAAAATTACACGCACCTGGCATTCACGTATCCACAAAGCGACCGAGCTGCAGACCAATCCCTAAGGGCTTAATTGCTTGGGCTCAACTCAGCCATTACGTTGACGTGGCGTGGAAGAAAGCTTACCTTTTCATCACATGACTCGGGGAAAAAATAAAGCGCCTGCGGATTATTGAAGATTGTAAAACTTAACCCCATCAACATTTCGACTTGCGCATAGTTCTACAGAGCCTCCCAGCTCTGCACAAATCATCAGAATGTCCATACTGAATCCATGTATCTCGAAAGGTCTCCGTAAAGAAGATGCTGACACTGCTGAAGCTGAGTTGTCAGCGGCAATTAATCGTTCACATTATGCCAAATCCAAGTTCCAAAACCCTTGGGTAGTCATTGAGCAGGGCCAGCAGAGCAGGAACGAGGCTATTCTGAAAGACTTTTTAGAGGTAAGCTGCATATTGTTACTTCTACGATCCTTTCTAACTATTTAGTAGATGGGGGACAAGGCACCGGTCGCAGATCTCCTTCGCATACCTGTAGAGCAAGTTGATAAGACGCACATAGTCAGCAAATCTACCTTGCTCTGCGTGAATACCATTCAGAAGCCCTTTCTTATACCACCAGTCGCTGGAACACCATTCAAAGCATTCACTTTCATTGCGCTAGGCGATTCGAGCTATTCTTCTGGGCTGCCTGGCTTCGGAAACCCACCGCAACAATTCGAGATGAATAGCGGGCAAGCGCTCCACGCCTCAGTCGATGCAGTCCAAGTGTTTAAGGGGGAACTTCCATCGCAAGGGGGGGGGTTTCTGTTTCTGATAATGTGGAAATGAGGAAATGATATGGATTGTTGTTTGGAAGCAAGGAATACGGATATGCCCATTCTGAATCCCAGTTATATTGACTTGGGTATGCGGATTCTATCAAATATCAGATTGGGTTTCCTTGAAACATAATAGCTTCGTACCTGGCTCTGCACTAAGTTGTGATGCTTGTTGTTCAGTTGATAGCAAGGGTATGCTAAACTCTCTTTGACATCCATCTAAAGCACTATTTACTATCCCGTTTTTTAATTGTTCGGATTCTTTTGGATGATTTTGTTGGATGGCTGGCTGATCGTCAAATGCGGAGTCTTGTGATATCATGGTGTTGTAGGGGTTCAGTTGCTCAGCTTCCGATGATTCTGGAAGTATAGATTGAACTTGCCCTCGACCTCCTGGCGATAGCTGGGGAGCTGGATGTAACTCATTGCGGGCGAGGATCAAACTCCCTTCGTGGGGAACTATTTGCTGCTCATGGGGAAAATTAGGGTATCTTGAAGAATACTCTTGTTGACCAGCATCTTCATGTGTGCAAACGGAAAGCAATGGCGAATGACTGGTGGAACGAATATTGATGGGATCATGTGTCGATATGGCTTGTTGGGAATCTGCATCCGATCGGTCAGAGTTATTCGGCCGTATTTCTTGCAAGATAGAGTCTGGAATGGTACTTGTAATTGCGATCTGGTTCATAGGCTCCCATGGAAGGCGGAAAAGGTTCTCCTTCGTGATTAGGAGACCTCGTCGAGCATAGTATCCAAGATCAAGAGCGTGGCATACCTCTACATAACTGTTCAACACCATCAGCTTTATTTACAATATATAATTGAGGGCTGTATACTCTTTATTGAGCACAGTACTGATGCAGAATGCAGGATGAAATCGGGGACACTGAAAATCGGTCGCCGGAACCTCCTCTTGACTGAGAATTTTCACGACGATGCCAACAACCTCGTGTCGCTTTCTTTCAGACAATTTTGAGCATTCAGTAAGAATACAATTCTTCTCTGTAAAAAGATCAGATAAATCCGTCCCTTTGATAGTATGAAAATCTTACCAGCGAGAGCTTCGTAAACTAAATCAGCCTTCTCGCCCCAAGCTTCTGTGAGTCCATTGACAATCATGTTTATTATATTAGCTGCACACCTCCATCTATGAACCGTCAAAAGATTTGTACCAACAAATGGCACTTTTCGTTCACTAGAGACTACCTGTCCCGCCCGACACAAATGAATGCAACATGCCAGAAATCTGTATTTCCATGCAGTCTTGTTCGCCGTGTCAATGAACTTGGAGGATTGTAGCCACAATTGACTTTCAAAATACTCAAAAGGATCTTTATACTGCTCGATACTAAAATCTTCGATGAATCGCGTGTTCACTCCACGATCCCCCTTCTGGCTCTTCAGGCCATGACGAATCTTTTTCACGATATTTTTTGATATTTTTTGACAGAGCATCTCCTCTGAAGCAACTGAACCTCTACCACAAACCCGCACATCGTTGCTGCTTTCAACATCGGCGATTTCTTGGCCAGAACTGCGTGTAGTGCCGCGTCTTCGATGCTTTCCTCTCTTATAGACATTCTCTTCTGTGATGCTGTCATCGATGTAGTGCTCCCGAGGTCGCTTCGGAGCAGGCGTCGCGGTAATTTCTGTTGCTGATATGTGAATGGAGACTATATTATCATTAATAGCCTTGGTTGCCGAATTGATGTAATTGAGGAGCTGTAGTTCTGTTACTTTAGCACAACTAAAGTTGGCGTCATGGTTGCCTGGTCTTTGTGTTTCTTTAGTCCAGCTAGATCGGTCAGAACTGTTCTTGAGAGTATATTAATGTGCATCCTACCTCTGCTGATCTGAAAAGTTCCACCATAAAGGTTGGTAGTATACATCATAGATGGTTTGCACTGTTTTCTCAACAAAGCTGTGTAGTGATCCATCTTCTTCATCTATGGAAGAACAGCACAAGGTATAGCGGTAGTGGCATCGATAAAATGTTTGTCCTGAAATATCCTGAATAACAAAAGGACACAAACTTATTTGAACGGCAGCCCAGTGGTCCTCAAGCTGAACGATGAGATGCACATAAGTCGGACATGTCTTCGACAGTGTACCAGGAATGGATTGTTGTGTTGAACTTGTCATTGCCATCTCTTGCTCTCTTAATGAACGATAATGAATAGTAGGTGTGCAAAGCTTCTGAAAAACAACTTCATCCATAATCTTTTAATGTTATTGAAATGTGAGAAGAGGTTGGTGGGTGAAAGATGAGTTAAAGTTAGTTTCTCTCGAGAGGAACAGGGTAGAGTACCAATTTTGAAAATTGGTACTGCCCCTGGTCTCAACAGGTGTCCCATCTCACCACCAAAAGTAACACCAATCGGCTTATTCTCACTTTTCAGCCAGATTGAAATAGCGCAACTTGTGCATCTGCTCACTTAGATAATCCATGTTCTATATTTCTCTTGCATCAAGCGCTAAATTAATTTTCGTTATGAGAATATCTTCCAAAAGGATTCAATTATTTATGAATGTCCTTGTAGTAATCTTTTCTATTTTTCTATTATGTTTTGCCGGGATATCACCTGCAATTACACATACCGGCTCCCCCCTTTCATATGCGGATATTAGAACTCGCATGACAAGCCGTGACCTTGTTGATCATTCACATTGTTCATATCCAGTGGATTGACCTTTCGTCGCTTCGCTCGTCCCCACTCCTATATCATTTTCTTTTGATTCAAGCTTGATGGCAAGCTTCCGTTCCCTCGGTGGATCTGGAGTGATCGGGTCGTGTTTCTATAATAAAAGAGGATCTATTTAATTATACAAGAGGAAGTTTGTGGAACGAGGTAATCGATGTAAGTACTTTATACACCCATAAGGAGGAGTAACACAAAAACACTTTCAAATCCTGCTGCAACCTCTTCAGTATGTCCAACAACTTTAGAGAAATCATATACTTGCTCGTTCTTGGGGTTCAAGACGTCGGAAAGACTTTAATGGTTAGCCGAATGGTCGGCGATCTTTCCATTGTAAGTTTCCATACATTAGGGTTTTTTCTAATTCTAAATACACCGAGTCTGGCTACGTAATTCTTTTCAGCTTCATCTATCAGAAGATAACCACACTAAACCTATGAAATATCCTGTCATGCCGGAGATAGGTAATTCGGTAAAGCTCGAGCTTATACTCCAAGAATCCTCGACCTCAGGAGAATTGAGCAAAATAATTGTTGGAAATAATAACTTCCCATCAAATGTCGTGTTATTGCGTTTCGAATACGACGTCAGAGAAGAGATGTGGAGCTGAGGAAAAGTCAACCGATAAGGAAGGTTTGAGCGCATCAAAAGAAACGAGCATTTGGGATACAGACGATGAAGAGGAATGGAGAGCTAATTGGAGCATTAATATTCAGTGGTCACAACGCGTTTTTTCTTTTGGTCTCGTTATCATCCCTACATCTTATATTCCCATGTAAATTATTTATTTTAGGATTATTACATTTTTGATATCTCCTTATTATCTATAGGACTTGAGATGCCGTTGTGAGTGACTTGTTAATTATGTATATATACTAATTGTTTGCCATTGCATTTGGTTTTCTTTCTTTTTACTTCAGTGAACTTTGATACTATCGATCATCAATCCCATTTCCAATCCTCAAAATGAATCCAATTCCATCAAACGAACAAGCATCACAAACGAGCACCCAAAAAAAGACCACAACAACTAATACAGAAATAAATACGAACGAGATGATAGCAAATACCATAAAGAGATTTACAACTGGTGTACCAATTGTTTACAAGGATTTTGAACCAACACCTGGACTCGAAACTTTTGAGAAGATCTCTAAAGTTATGTTTCCCAATGAAGGGCCATGCAAAAACGTGTCTGCTGGATGCCGTTTCAAGGCATCTAATGCTGGTAAAATCTGTCTCAATTGTTTGGTATGCTTCAATAAATCAAGTCATTTTCGCAAAAACTAATATTAGATTCAGGCGCTTGGCAAGAAGTAGCCTTATAATGTATAAAGTCAAGAAGATCACGATTTCTGGTTTAGGTATATAATCCCAGTCTACTACTTGCGTTTTTAGAAAAAGTCACTTACTGAAATCTTAGAGAACTATGATCGAGTTCAGTAGCTGAGTAACACGAATGGAACAAAAAGGATTTAAGGGGAATAACTTACATCTGCTTGGACCTCGAACTTTATGATTCTACATCGCGATGGGATATTTTCTTTGAGGAGCTAGTTCGGTTTATAGATGCCGGATATGCTGACCCTCGCAAAATTTGCATACCTCATATATAAGTAGTGATAAATCTGAACTTCATTCACATTTTTAGCTTAACACGGTGATTTTCTCCTTATTCATGATTACCCATAACCTGGCTCAGCTTCTCAAGAAACCCCGCTACTCTCTTCTAGTATCAAAGGCATCCTATTCGGGAATGTGTAGTTCTATTGTTTCTTTAAACACTCTTTAAATTTATGTATTATGGATAACATCGGCTTCTAAACTTACAATTCCCACCCTTCAGTTTTCTAAGCCGCTAAATTCATACAGTATGCTAATTTTGAAGAGTTCTTACCTCTAACGATCTACATCATCTGAACTTTGTTTAGTCTTTTGTCTTCAAATAGTCTTCACTTTACTTCCTATGTCCCTTTTCTTTCACCATATGTAATTAGACAATCTTCTAAGTCTTTCTAAATATTAATCCATGGCCTGATATATCTTCGTGCGAGAATCAACCCTCTCGGGTGTAGGAAATAGTATCCTCATGCACGCTAGCTAGGTACCAGGAACTTGATGCCATTCACTATAGTATAACATTCCCCACGATGCTCGGTATTTTTATCTTGTTCTGTGATCAAATAAAGGGAACCTTGGTGATGAAAATTCTATATAATAGTAGTTAGCTGACATTTATCTAAGTTCAAAAAGGGTACTACACTCTGCCTAACTCACTTTTATCTTCCAAATTACTTTTTGCAACATTCACGTTCATGTCTTCCTATCTGATCGGGTCTTTTAATGGGCTAAGGGGCGCCAGACCAATTTGCAATTGGATAAAGTTTTGCGATCAATCTGGAACCGACGAGGAGCTTCAATCTATCTGGAGTTATATAGATAAAGACCCGATAATGGAGAAGTGTCTACTTGAATCGCCATCTGGAAAAACTGTGTTAGTTATACTCTTTATTCCTGAAGAGATATCCTCATATACTAATGATCTCTATGTAGCTTTGTTCTGAAAGTCGGTTCCCACGACGCATCTCTCGAATCGAAAAACCCCCAGGACCCTTCTGAATTATATATAATCTTGATTGAGACATGGAATGGAAAAATCATAGGGCTCCGAGATGTTATGCAAGAGTTGAAAGCGATCGTTGAGCAATATGAGGTCCCCCAACTGGGCGGGATGCCGATGCTTTCGTATCCAAAATCATTGCAAAAACGTATGGAGGAGTCTCAACAGAGGTTTGGTAAGGGTATAATGGGTTCAAAGCGGAAGTTTACAGACATCAAACAAGAGGATGACTCGGAATGTCTGAAGAAGATTAAGTCAAATGCCTATTGTATGTTCTTGAATGAAAAAGAGGCAAGTGATGATAAATGTGATGAGGATGTGATCAAAAACTGGAGGTTGAATTGGAAAAAAAAGCGGGAGGAAAATCGAGAGAGAAAATATCGGTGTTGTGAATCTTGTATGGTCAAGATTGGTTCAGAGGGTATATGTGAAAGGTGTGAAAGGATTGAGAGGGAAAGGAAGCAAGTTTTGCATTGCATGGTTTGTTCTGCTTCGATAGTAGGCGGAGGTACATGTCAAGAGTGTCGTGATGACGCATTTGAAAACTGGAGAAATACAATCTTTTAAGGAAAAATGTAAATCGGAAGAGCAGTCAGTAACTTTTACAAATGGATATTCTTTAAAGAAACCCTAGAAAAAGTAAGCAAATTAAAAGCAAATTCAACTCAATTCAACTTATTCTTATAATTTAACTTCAATCCAACTATTATATCATATATTCGATTTGTCCCTAAGCCTAAATAAGACTAAGTCTTCCACTATTATTAGAATATTAATATTATTATCATATTCTAAGAGTTAGCCTCCAAGAGTTCTTTCCACGAGTGCATTACATCATTTGAGGAACAGCCATCATATTCAATGACATTTAGCGATATTAATAAATCGATCATGTGATGACGGAACGCCTTACTGAAAAGGCGTTCCTGAATATTCAGGATGGGCCATTTCTTATGAACTGCATATTTATAATGTCCCAAATAAAGCTCCCCTGTTTATAGTCGGGGTCTATGTAGGTAATTGAACCAATAAGTGTTGTTTACTATCAAGTCTTTGGTGTGTTTTTCGTTCATGAATGAGTGCAAGGTTCTCATTCTATATCCTGGCGTTTCTTGGTTGATATACTTGACTTTGAGTCCACACAATTGATTAGAAATCACTTTAACTACTAAAGTCTAAATTTAATCTAATTAATTTAGTATTACTTTTTTCATACGTACTTGACAAAATTATTAAATTATTGGTAATCGGGACGAAGCGTAGTCTTCGTCATATACTGATTTTACCACCACAGGGTGCATAAATGGTCCACAGATCATTCGATCACGTGTAATACCTAAGCGGTTGTTAGCACTAAATCATTTTCGCTTAGAATCCCAGGCGCTTTGTGAAACGGAGTTGTCGCAGGGACCTATATATATTGTTTTCTCAGCTCACTTTCTACTAAACCATTTTCATTCATTGTCCCAGGCGTTTTTACAAATAATGGTTAGTAAAGGATCATGATGCATGCATGCTTTCATCACTCGACTGCACTTATCTAATCATTTAAATGTCCCAGATGCTTTCCATATGGAGCTTAGCAGGACCACAATAATTATTGTTTGCATAGTTCCTATCAATAAATTGACTTGATTGCTCCTGGTCATAGGCAGTCTACCGGCAGGTTCTCCCATCAACAACTTCAGTTCCTGTTTCTGCATACCCAGCACCTTGGAGTATTTTATATCCGGTTCTATATGCTTGTCTGCAATGCAGAGGGCATTTTTGTTTGTGGTGCATCGTGGGTATCGACCTTGATCTAATTTGTTATTTCGTATCTAATGTCATTTTCTGGATAGTGGTATCATGTTGTTGCATTCAAAAGGCCGACGTTTCATGTCTCCATATCCCAACATGCAATGACAGAGGTTCAGATTGTGTCCGGTGAAGAAATGAATTCGATCAATATAAAATGATAGATGACTCCCCAAATCAAATTTGGCTCAGAAACTAAATACTTCATTTACTTTCTGCATTTTCCTCCCCTTATCATCATTGTACATAGCTGAATATGGACGTCGGATCGTCAATCGAAATATCTGAGGACGAGAGGTCGACCGAAACCTCGAGCAATACCAGTCATGCAAAAATCATTGCATTTGCGTGTTTCAAGGTGAAGTCAATCAAAGTTTTATTCAAAGTCACAACTATTGATGGATGTATCTTAGTGCGCAGGGAATAATATCTTCCATCATCTCAAACCAGAGAAGTGCAGGTATTGCAAGCATAATTGTCGCAAGTATAAGGGCGGAGACGGCGTGTGTCATGGGTGCAAATGGGTTTATGGTTATGATGGGTAAATGACATTGATGATGGAGGGTGAGAAGTGAAGATGGATGGCAGGATGGGACGGGCAGGTGGAACAGCAGATAGAATTGCTTGGCTGCAGCCTGCAGGTTTGCGAGGGGTATGATGATTGCATACAATCAATATACTTTACATTTATCTGGCATCCCAGAGTGTGTCAGGAATAGTAAATGGCGAGGATATACAAATGATCATCATTATCATCATCCTTGTTTTTTTTTCTATTTTCCACTCCTCATTGATCCCAATCTGAGACTGTCCCCCTACACTTCTGTCTCCACTGTAAAAGTTCTTTGGAAAATAGTGATGAATCAATAATACACGCGTTAACCATTTCTTCCAACTCTGCGATAGCTATTTCCATGTTCTCAAATCTCCGACCAGTCCATATCTCCACAAACTTTGTACATGCTTCAGAATGAACCTGGATCCTTTGAAAATGTGGGATATCGCGGTGGCAAAGCTTTAGAATAAAGCTGAATAGCGTGTCAGCAGATGAATGTAGTCTTATTTAAATGAGGGATGAGACTGACAAGTATTCCCCAGAGGATGATGCTACTATTTGAGTCTTGTTTCGATTCAGATCAGTATCCGGAATACACTGGCATATATCCCGAAACTCTTGGTTGCTCTTAATTCCCTCACTCGTAACATCATTCGTATTGTAAACTTGGATTCCTCTGTATTCGGGTTGGTTGGTAGGGTGTCTTATTCCCTTATAACATCCGACAGCGTAAAAAGGCATAAATATGGAGCTCTGTAAATCCTTTGACGGTTCCAAGATAAATTTCGGAGAACCTGCAATCAATATCGTTGCAAATTGGATATATGATTCTGAAAATATACCTCGAGTAGTTGCACGGGCCAGTTGAAGAGTCGTCACTAGGAAAGTTGAAAAGATAGCTTTTTATATAATGATAACCCTGCGTAAGAATCCCCTCATCGAAAAGGAGTTTATGGGCACAGTAAAATTACAAGGGTTTCAGAAGTGCATAGTAAAGTAGGAGAATTCCCGAATCAATGCTTGGCTTTGGAGAGCGCTGTACTTCATGTAGGTGACATCTCTGGGGTTTGAGTTCAATCGCTTGCATGTATACCGCACCTCTTGGAATCCTTATGCACCTCTTAGACCCCTGGTCAATCATCCATGCTCATACTGTATGCGATTTCCGAATATTCCTCGGATATTCGCAAGATCCACGCTCTGGTTGACTATAAACCTGTGAGACCGCTTATTTTCTGGTGCATGGCCTAATCTAATCTCAATCCTGCCACGCACCACATCATATACACTCTAATTTTCTTTTTCGGCGTCCTTCTGGCCTCAACGACGTGCAGAAATTATTATGATTGGACGCAGGATTGATGTGATCATGGAACAAATGTTTGCAGAAGAAATTCAAACTTCGCAAGGGCAAGGCCTAAAGACAGCGATGTTCAAACAAGTATTTAACAAAGCAAGCATTTGCTTTTAGGCAACGTTCGTTCATCATGTAATACAATAAGTTATTCTCAGCCAAAACAAGATATAGAAGTCATTCATCAGAGCCTCACTTCTTTCGATTCTCTCACCGAAGCAACTAATCTTGTTTAAGAAATCAGATTGCAAACTTAAAGACTTGATTTCACATTCTTTTTGGTTTCATTTACACTCTAAAATCGAGGTCTTGATCAATCTTCGTTAGCACAATCAAGTCTTGATTTCCAGCAACTATATTGCAGATATGAGTGATCTTGATCTTGATCTTGATCTTGAAGGTCTATGGATTCAGTGTGAAAGACCGAACGATCAAAAGACTCAATCATGTACATGCACATATTGCTCAGACCAAAGAACTCACTATTCAAAAGACGACTTGCGGTTACATATCGAAGAACGACATGGCGGTAATATCACCTCTCATGTCCATGGATTCCAGCAACATCCAGAAGCCCTTGAGCCCCAATTAGTACTCATGAGGTCAGTTTATAATCTTGAAAACCATTCTATAATCCAGGGATTCAAAACTAACAGAGGTTTGTTTCAAGATCTATAGATGACTCGCACCATTACGAGGTGGTAGTTGAATCAATAGTGCCTTCACAAGAAGTACAATTTCCAAACTACATTGCTACGAACAACAAAGAAACCCTTACAGATCGATTCTCCACAATGGCAGACGCGGGCGATGACGTCTCAACGATTTTATCTGCTTCGTTTCGAGAAGTTTCCGTTTCAACTCTTCCTGCGAAAGAAAAAGCGCGACTATTTACTCAAAATGAAAAGCAGCACTACCAACACCACCCGAATCAAGAATGCTATCATGATAAGGCCAATATCCAGCCTGCCAAATCATCCAAGCAATCTGAACGCAACAAATCCGACATTATGCTTCAATTCAAAACAAGGCACATCTCTCAAAAGCAACTTATAGTTGAGGCCCGAGGCTTATATGCAGGACTTCAAATGGTGGCAGCCAAGTGTATCGAAGTTGACGAAAAGCTAGCTATACTGCAGGGCGATTCTCCTGTACCGGAACCGTTGAATGACAAACAATGGAACGCCTTGAACGAATTGCATCACACTTTGATTTACGCATTTTATGATTTATTTCAAGTCCTTCAACATCCATCTGCGAGTCTTGCTCTGCAAACACTACCATCAAAACATTTTTTGCCTGGTCGAATGTGGCGACATGCCATTCATTCCTTCCTAGAAGTACTCAGAGCTCGATTGCCTACCTCCCACGATAATATGATTGCATTCATGAATTCTACATATTCGATGCTAGGAATATTCTATGAGACTGTACCGGCTTTCCAAGATGTTTGGATTGAGTGCTTGGGCGATTTAGGAAGATTCAGAACGGCTGTTGCAGTTGACAATACGGAAGACAAACAGATATGGAACAGTGTCGCACGTTATTGGTATTCAAAGGCTTCCGACAGAGCCCCAGCGACTGGTAGATTATATCATCACCTTGCCATTCTAACATATCCAAACTCGGACCCTCTATCGGGACTATATTACTATGCAAAATCTTTGTGTGTTGCAACGCCCTTCACTCCCACAAAAGAATCGCTAGTTAAATTCTTCCATCAGGTTAAGAGCAAGCAAGTCCAGCTACCTTCTTTCAATACGACTTTCGTTCTAGCTCATAGTTATATATTCACTTATACAAACATGGAGCAATTTGAGCGTACAGTTGAAAAATTCCTTAGCCTTCTTGATAGCCATATCGGCCAGGTCACAAGGAAGTTTATGGAGGAGGGCTATCATATTTCGATCTCAAATATCATTGCAGCTATTGGCTTCGGTTCTGGAGATAATCCTGTTACGAAGTTGATGATGCATTCTTCGACTCATAATACTTCAGAGGACTACATGGGAGGTACGCAGAATGATTTATCCCAGCCTACAACGGCATTCCGATATGCTGAATATCTGAATAACTCCGTGCTTGAGATTGTTTTGAAACGCATTGGCGATCTTAATGTACTTCCTTTCGTTCATGTTACCCTGGTTTATTTGCATCATATATCTCAATTTGACAATGCAACAGCTCTCTTAGCACTGGGCTTTCCTTGGCAATTGTTAAATATCATGTTGAATACATTGTTGTGTTCTTATGGAACGCTCGAGTGTATTGAGCACAATGGATTTCCATCGTTAAAGAAGAACGAGAATGATTATGTTCGCCCCTTTCCAGAAGATTATGCTATGAGGGGTTTATCGTGGGCCGAAGGTTTATATCCGGAGGAATATTTTCTGGACGAGAACGTTGACGAGGAAGAAAAATGTCAAGAACTGCCGTCAATGCTAAAGCAACGTCAAGAACGTATACTTTGGCTTGCTTGCCGTGTTGCTGCTCGGGTTAGTCCATGGCTTATATTCAACAGTTCGAAGTCCGAGTTTACCACAGAAGCCAGATCTGCCGACTTACAATCCGAGAGAACATGCTGAATGGTTTCCACTTCTACAAGGAAAAAAGGATATACTTTGCAGGACTGAAGGATATTAGATTGTCTAAATGTAGCCTGATATTGAAGGAGACACGTCATCGGCCAATATCAGGGCAGCAAATGTACCTTCTGACTGAGAAAGTTCAATTTTCAATGAGTGATATGGAAAATCATGGATAGAACTGGGTAGATAGAGGATTACTTGTTTCAATTATTTTGTTTTTCTCCAAGTAAAAGCCTATTTCATCATTTCAGGTTATAATTTTGCCGCATAGTGACCTGTTTTTTGTGATCTTCAATCTCGCTACTACAGACCCAAGTCCTTGATTTTTGAATGACCATAAAGTCTCAAGCGTTCATCGTGTGACTTGAATTATATCAACAGCCTCCAATAAATTTTACCTCTTGGCGAGAGACTGAGGTCGTAGTGAGTTTGAAGTGGCATCAAATGAGGAGGATCTTAAAAGTACTCCTCAGCTGCTTGCTTGCAGGTGCCAGCCCAATTGATACATGGCTTACGCTTCCAACCTTATAAATTAATATATCATCAAAATTTACATGGATCAACTCAGTTAGTACTATAAAGGGAAAATGAAGTTCAATAATCATCCCATTTTTTCTTTCATTGTGGAACAAGAAATTAGTGAATCGAAGTCTTCGACTCGAAGAAACTTAGACTAAAATTCGAAAATGAATTATTGCGTCCCCAGGGGTAGTCAGGATATTATTTTTTGAAGGATCTGGATGCAACAAATTCAAAGCCATTAATCTACCTTTCTGCATCAAGAATAGGAAACCCTCCCAGAATTTCTAGATTTCTCCAAATAGATTCGCGAATTCGTTCAGCCAGTCGATTTCAGAAGATACGAGAATGTCCGAAAAAGTGTTGCTTCGATCCTGAGAAATCACAGATCCTTGTCGACTTTGTCCATTTATTCGAGAGACCGAAACTTGCGCGCCCATGCACATACTTCATAATGATCCTTGTGAAAAGGCCATAAATTTGCCCAGCTGTTATCATCGGAAGATTTCCAAACCTCGCATAATGTGAGTTGAATTGGCAGAAGAATCTAGGGTGATTGAACAGGTGTCGTACATTGTCGTTAGTTGATCGGTGGTTTTCATCCCCCTTTCCAATTGAAAGAGACTTGGCTGGTACAAAACGGTTATGGACATGCCGGATAAGTCTACAGTAATTTAAAATGCGCATATAGGATACTAGGGTTGAGCTCAGAACGGCTGAAGAAGTATGTGCCTTATACTCATACCAATTATAGGTATCTCATTAAGTATGTGTTAAAGCTTGAAGAGTGGTCTCTCTCTCCCTTCCTTATTCTCGTTCATTTCCCCAGAATTTAGATACCTTTAAATCCTACAAAATGAGTCAGATGAATGAGCAATATCTCGAATATACACAAAGACAACCACTACTCCAAGTACCAAAAAAAATCCTACCATCACAGCCAATGTACATCTTCAATAAAGCGAATTTTGATCAAATTGGAGTGAATATTGTTGATCGTCAAAAGAGGACATTTGAGGAGACCAGACGCAGAACCAGTGTAGCTGGGAATCAGAATATAAACCCACTCATAACAATAGGGCAACAATCGGGCAACCATATAATCTTGAATGGGGAACATCATGGCATCTCGAAAACCTCATTCCGATGCGAACTTTGCAGCTCGACATTTACTGCTTTTAGCAGCTTAAAGAGACATAATGAAACTTCCAAATACCATCTAGGTGTTCTTGCTCGACGATCGAAACTCTCTAGCATAAACTATCAGCCTTCGATAGCCAATTTTATTGGAACGTCTATTAAGTCTATTGAGACTACGAAATCTCCTACTTTTACTTCTTATCAAACAATACCTTCTTCTCAAGAATTGGAAAGCCATACTCTCAGTTACCATGTTCTACCGATTAAATTTAACCACCCTCTTGAGGATACAGAAGTTCTTGCTGGAGGCTTCCTTGGAATTGGAAGGGCACGGATCAGAACAACACTCTTTCCTCGAGACGACTATGAATTATTCATGTATCAATATAATCAAAATGTTAGTGTGGTAACTCCAATTCCCTTTTGTATGCTTTACTAACTCAAAGACTCACAGATCCATCCGAACCCGAATCTGCAACCCGAATTGCAGGTCAATAATGATCTCAATTTCTCAATTCCACAAGTTCAATCATTCCAAGCATTCTCTCATCCTCTATATTTCGATCCCATAGGTCTCGGTACCTACATTCCAAATGGAGAAGATAGCAAATTCCAAGATGCCGGTCGGTCAGAGTCCACAGAGACTTTGACGTACAACATCAATCAATTTGAAGCTCATAGTGTAGAAGCTTATTATACTAATAATAAAGAAGCGAGGACTACATCCAATACTCACAAAAATGAAGAGTATCTCGAATGCAATCTTGGAAAATGCCAAAAAACGTTCAAGAAGCCCAAGCTCTTACGCGCTCATCGAAAGTTCTGTCAGACCATCGGAAAACCTCATAAATGCTCTTATCCAGGTTGTCCAAGGGCTTACAAACGTCCTGCCGACCTCAAAGCACACGAAACCTCAAAGCACACGGAAAGACGAGCCATATGAAAGTATTTTGATTACACACTCCGTCTCCTAATGCCAGCAATCAAACCACCTTTTGAATTTTCTGATCTCAATATAAGCAGATAAGCTCGATCTATCATCCGCCACCAGCCTGCTGCGTTAGGTGAAAATTCGATATTCAGCTTATAATGTCTATTTATTTCGACACATGATTCAAAGGCTCGATGAACAATGATGTGTTACATCGTTAAGGAATTGATGGAACTTTTCCATATTGAAATGATACAAAGTTTGGTTTCAATTATTTTTTTTATTAATTGCTTTTTTATATTTTCACATAATTATGATAAATCAGCAACAATATTTCAAAGATGTGACTTTTGTTTAACCTCGCTCGACGACGATACCACTTGTCTAAACATGATCTTCGAAGGAGCCGGGCTTCCGCTTCTGATACCTTCCTCATATTTTTGTACATATTAAACTGTGTATTCTATTCGTGCCACTTTTTGTGACGACAACAGGTTCAAGGCATTATAGAAAAGAATCAGTTATCATAACTAGAGAATAACAAACTACTGTACAAAGAGTGAACCTGTAAGAGGCTTTTATAGGTCTCCCGAGGGGACCAAGAGCGAAGCGAGATTTCACCTGCCAGGTGGGGTAAATGGATGACTAATCTAGGCCTGAGGCCAGATCGTCACACTTTTCCCACCTTAGCTCCGAGCTTCTTACAACAACCTGATAATTACGCGAATACGCTTCATAAGTTGAGAAAGTACACGGAAACACACGAGCAAAGCGTTTGCGCTTCTACTTCATATCGAAATAAGGTGTTCAGACAAAACGGCTGGAAATATTGTTTGTGCGATGCCAGAAATACCGCTGGAGGCGCTGCTACATGCACTTGTGGATATTCTTATTGCTTTAAGTGTAGAGTTTAAAAAAGAGAATACTCAGTCTGAGGGGACCAAGTTGAAAGGGTGTGAAATGGACAGTGAAACCGAGTATAGTGGTTTTTACTTTTGATTTTTATGGGGTATAGGCGTGCATATTTATGGATGTGTGTGTGAGTGTTTCTTCAATCGCTATATATTAGTTGGGTAGTTGTTGGGATGGTAGGGGAGGGGAGAGAAGAGGAAGTGGGAATGTGGATTTGGATTAGAGTGGAGGGTGGAGGGTGAATGATAGAGGGACTAAATAGTGGATTCAAGGGATGAAGACGGAGAAAGGAGGAGGGGGAGGGGGAGGGGGAAGAAGAGGAAGAAGAAGGAAGAGGAGAGAACTCAGATACATAATATATTTTTATATTTTTTGACTTTTAACTCTGCCTTTTGACATGTGTAATGCTCTGCTTTTCTTGTGGGATACAGTCAAGTAAGGATTAATTTGACATTCTCGTAATAGTATACTAACTGAAAAGAAGAAAGAAGAAAGAAGAAAGGAAGAAAGAAAAAAATCTTTCAGGCACTTCTTTTTTGAGCACAGAGAAAGGGGTGTGGTGAGAGGAAAGTGATATTTAGCTAGGTAAGTTCAGTACCCCTCTTTTGGGCCACCTCATAAATCTCACCGCTCTAACCAACCGCCTCTCTTCAATCTTTAATAATTCAACAACTACTGAATCAATTGATTCAAAATTTTGATATATTATCAATTATATCATAGGAGATGGTTGTACCGAAGATGATATTGCTATGTCACTTAGTGCTATAACAGGAGGTATAACTATTTGAAAAGCTGGTTTGAATTATAGGATATTTTGTACTACTCTTCAAAACTATATAAAAGGTTACCTTTCGTATTAAAGCAGTGCTCAAAATATGCGAAAGATAATCCCGATATAGGAGAAAGCATTAATAGAATGGATATAAGTTCAAGAGGCTTTGGGCATTAGTACTACACATCGGCAGATACAAGAAATTAGCGAAACCCTTTTTGAGGTGAAAGGAAGTGAATCTATATTTGGAAAACGATAGATGCACAATTTTCTACTTAGAAATCCTGAAATTCGAACCAAAAGACAAATCAGAATCGATAATCAATATATTTCAAATACTATTACTGAAATTATTAGTAAGTTCTTCAAAAATTTGAATTTGCTAATTATTATTCACATTAAATCGGAAAACAAATGGAATCTGGATAAAGCTGGTATTATAAAAGGCTAGAGCTTAAATAGTATGGTACTTAGAAATACTGAGGGATACTTTATTCAAAAGAAGTAGCTTAGTATAAGAAGTTGGACCTCTTTTATTGAATGTATCTTTGCTATAGGAAAAGTACCATTATTTCTTATTATATATAAGGATAAAAGTATTCAATAATAATAATTCTCTACTGAACTTGATATATATAAGGATTGGAAATTCTATGCTACAGAAAATAAGTGGATTATTAATGAAATAGATCTAGTATAGCTAAAAGAGATCTTTATTCCTCAAATCGTCTCCTTTGACCCAAAAGAGGCTAGATTGCTTATTTTAGACAGACATAGAAGCCACAAAACTACTCAATTCATACTTAAATACTTTAAGAACAATATACACCTCTTATTCCTTCCTCCACATACGTCACATATACTACAACCTCTTGATTTCTCGATATTCTCTTCTCTAAAACGCGAATACTGGCATGAGCTCAATAAATTAGGTTCATTATCTGATTCTGTTGGGCAGACTTCGTAAGGTGTATTAAACATATGATATATGGGTTAAGGTTAGATTATCATTCTGTCTACCCCCTTCGAAGAAAGGGGTGGCTACTCTATATGTGTCACTATCCTAGGTGAGATAATCACATGACATAATGTCACGTGATGTTCACGTATTCCGAGTTCCAACAATAGTGATGGGATTCAAGTACACATATGGTGTTCTTGAAAACATCGATAATATATCTTCTATCCTTGCTCAATGATAAATTGTCTCATAGACTCAATGATTATCCTAAATATCCAAATGGGACATCATTCTAGAGGCCAGCATATTCATAATCAAGACCCGCGCATTCAAACTGGGATGGGGTCATTTTTGAGGTTAGTCGGGATAGAATATCCAAATTTTTAACCAGATATTAAATTCTCGCCCTAGACCTTCGGCTATCATGCCAGGGGCTGGGGATGGAAGACTCAATACGCCGACCAAAGGTTTGAGTTGATTGAAATTCGTCCTATCTAGTAGACCTATAAGAATATATATAGTTGCGAGACTCCTCTCTGCTCTGATTCTGTACTCCTCAACTCTTTTCCACCAAAACCTAACATTATCCTTATAACTATTATGTCTGAGACTTTTTCGATTATATCTGCAATTATTCTATTCCTATCTATCACTTGCTTTGTACTGGCTCTCAACAAATACAGAATAATAAGTAAAAGGTCTGTGAGCTTCCATCCTCGGGATTGGGGAGATCTTTGGCGATTAATGTTCTTGTGGACTATGATTATTTCTCTCAACATCTCAATAATTGTTGCGGTAAATATCTCAAATGAGAAGCTTGTTTCAATTCTTTGTCCTTTACTCAACAAAGTTATTATACTTCTTCAAGTAGGTATATTTATATTAGAATATGATTTCTCATGATGCTAATATTGGTTTTTAGGTGTATGCCATCAATCAATCAAGTATTTTCATAGTTTTCAAAAGAGAATTGTGGTACAGAAGATTTTTCAACACCTTTTTTGTATGTTCCACACTTGGGTATGTCATACTCGCGGTACTAGATTTAAGTCTTTGGTCATTTCCAAGCGAATATCTTTTCTTGGCAGTCATCAAATTCTTGCTATTGCTCCAAGCCTCTTGCAACAAAAATTCTGGCAAACAGAAGAAACTTCAGCACGATGTTACAGTAGACTTGACTCTTGATGTTATAACGAATGTCATATCATGTGGTGGTAGTGCATCTATCGTTGGGTATTTCGATCTGCGAAATGGCTCAAGCAAAGTAAGACAAGCATGACACGTTGAAGAAAAGCTGGTCGGATGCTAAATATGATCATAGATTTATATGTTGCTAGCTGGTCTGTCATTCTTTCGAGCCATACTAAGTGAGAGTTGGAGATTGTGGGAAGGAAAAAATCAAGGTAGACATGAAATCGCAATTCGACTAGTGCATTCAAATTTCACCCGTACAAAAATTTCTGAGGACCAGTTTTCGAAAACTGAAGAGGCTCTCTGCATCGGAAGGATACAACAACCACTTCCAACCCTTGACATACACAGTCATCAAATATGGAGATAGAAAGCAAAACAGAGTCAATGTAAAGGATATAACAAAAATGATTGCTAGTTAACATACGCTACGCTAGGTGACGAGGACGTTTTCTTGAAGTCAAAGATGTGAAATCCACTCTTTTTCTCTTAACGTGGTCCACAGTACCAAACGGGCTATCCAAGTGCTGTGCAGTAACAAGTGACTCAATCGAAAATGGTGACCCGCTGATACTGCATGGTTGAGAGGATCCCTCCTTTAGCTGAATAGTGAAGGAGGTGCGTTTATCAAAGACCTCAATACTCACGGCTTTACTAAAGTTTCCATTTTGGTCCTTGGACGTCTCATCTTCCGTGCAACATTTGACAGGGTGCCCTTGAACAAGAAACACTGCTGAAGATTTTTTCAGCTGTTCCAAGAGAGCTTTAAATGCAGGAACATGTGCTCTGAGTCTACAAATAATGCGCCCGTGGCAAACGTACCTCCCGCGCTCCTTTCTAGGTACATCATTCAACTCGAAGAGAAAAAGCTCCGCGATTACGCATCTAGCTAGATGATCTAGTTCTTTCGATTCGCATATCGTAGATCGAGCGTGTTCTTTTACCTCTTGTATCCTGGTGGTATCGTCTAATTCTGGCTCAGGGTGATCAAACTCGATATCGAATCGGAAATACTGTTCTCGAGACCCTCTGCTACGAAGACTTCGATGCTTATGGGGAATAGTGCTTCCGAATGAAAGCTTGAAGGCACGTACAAGGCGTGGAATAAAGCCATCTTTGATGAGCCCACGACTGGGACCCATGTATGGTACATTATCTACGCGAGCTGCACCGGTGCCTAATGACACCACGAGACTTGGCTCTAGTGAGTTTGGAAATAGAGCCGAGACCTCTTGTAATGCAATATTGCCAGGATCGTTTTGCCTGACCCCGCCGTCTTGAAAAGTTCCTATACCCGGTATGCTCATTGGCTTAAAGTACCTATCAACTTTATGAGTATGTTAAGGAGAACGACAATCATGTCAAAGAAGTATCTAACCACGGAGCTGCCGACCCACATCTTGCTCTATCATTTCGTTAGCTTTTATCAAGAGACAAGGGATTGCTACACACATTTTCCAAAGGGGTATTTGGCCCAAACCGCATTTCGGTCGCAGTGCGTGATATCCTAGAATTGAGTCAAGGCTCTCTCTAGTCATTAATTTTGAGAAGTAAAACTTACCACACTTCTCAGATCTGGTTCCAATTGCATTATAATTTGTGAATATACAAGTAGAAGTATCTTGAATTGTAGTCACAGGAATTCCAATACGCGTGCCTGTTGCTGTTGCGTTCGAACAATCGAGGATAGATCTCTCTCTACCGAATTCTTCTTGCAATATGGCTTCAAGATGCTCAGCCGAGTAGCATCCATCAGCAAAGTACGAGATCAAGAAGGATGCCAAAACTGAGAATCCAGGAATCCCTGGAATGAATGCGGGAATCTTGGAGATTAACCTTGGTTGGAAGGTAAACTTTGCAAAATGCTCAGCCCTTTCTATGCACTTCTCAATGGACCATCCCATAACGCAAAGTTTGAGTGCGACGATTGCACCTGAAGAAGTTAGCCTCAAAGTCTTAGATATAACAACGAGGATTATATAGGTGATCACCGATACTTGTACCAAATACCATGTCAAAATTTTCTTGAACTGGATACGGCAAGCCGATTCGCTCCTGTAGAACCTGTAAATATTGAAGGCTTGCCACGCCACGGATACCACCACCATCGAATGTCAATACACGGATACCAGCTGTTGGGGGAATGGTCTTGATTACAACTCCGGATGTACTCAATCCACAGAAGAGGCAGCTTTCAACCTCAAAGATCCAGGGGTCAAGGAGACTCAGTCTCCCAAATGTACGGACACAGTTTTCACAGATAACATGACCACATGGCAAGCCATACTGAGGTGTTCTTCGTATACAGACAACACATGTATCATCTGAACGAATAGTAAGACAGTTCAAGAACAATCTTCTTAGAATCTGGCGATGAGACTCAACTGACATATTGATTGCAGAGCGCTGTAACCCTTTAAAGAGATTATGCAGTAGCTCTTGTATTATTCTTATAAATCCCGATGGTAATAGAAGGCTTGGGGAGTTTCTATGATCCATCCATTCACAATATGCTTGATAGCATACATCTTGGTAAAGAATACGAAACACTTCAGAGGGATCGAAAACTATATAAGGTCAGTAATACGAAATTGAAGATTGTGTGGAAACCAACGATGCATGTCAGGAGGGTAATGATCTAAAAGAATACTGGAGGCGATGAGGGGGGCAGCCAGCTCCTGCAACTGCTTATGATCTTTAATCAGCGATAAAAAATTTACCAAATGATCCTTGAGTTCAGGGGCGACTGGGTTGTTAATTCGTGATTCTCGGATAAAGTCAAAGGGAACGCTGCATCCTGATCCAAAACGTGCTCCGGCTTGGTTCAAGAAAGCAAGAAAATGCTGTCCCGAAAACAACATATTGCATTTGATTCTTGCTAGTCGAACTTCGTCCGAGATATTCATCAGAAACTCTTTCAGCCGTCGATGTCGAGCTTCGGGAAGAACAGAGCTTTGAGGTAGTGAGGTAAAAATGCGAATCTTTCCAAAATGGACATAGGGATCCTTCCCTGTCTCATTGTGTAATAGCTCAAAAAATTCTTCTAGGATGCGAAATTCAAGAGCTGGTGACTCAACCACGATAACAATATGAGCATGGGTGGCTGTTGGCAATGTTGAAGGTTGTGGATTCTCCAACCAAGATGCTAAACGCTGAGCAATCGAGTGTAACCCTCCAAAATCAGAAGCAAAAAAACAGAATATATCAGTAAATGGTGACAAGATTTTCAGATGTAGATCATCTGCAGTTTTAAGCATGAGAGAATTTCCACTGGCAACGCCATTTCTTGGTCTTGGCAGCACGGTTGTAGTGACGTCATGGCAATCACCCCGCAGTAGCCGAGGCGTCGTTCGCCCACCGATTGAAAAATCGCTGTCTGCAAGAAGTATAGGTCTATCACTAAATGAGCTAGACGGATCAATATGAAGATGGATCTCCCCATTGATTCGTTTACTTGTGCATTTAATTTTAGGAGCTGATGCCAAGTCTTGAAGGGCAAGAGTCTTGTCTTTGTTGCCAATGAAGACGAATAGAGTGGGTACCTGAACTTGCATATAAGGGAGACTGTGAAGTAGAGTTTTAGCTCTGTCAGATTCCGTAAATGTTAACTCGTCATTACGAGATGATAGAGAAAGCCAACGACTATGATTACAATGTCTCATAATCGATATGCTAATGATATAGAACAGAAAATAATGAGATGAAATGAATAAGTAAATCAATAATAAATGAGTGACGAGAAGAAATGAATGATTGGATGATCGAGTAAGTGAATAATTGAGCAATCGATTGAATGAGATGAGAGGTAGATAAATCAAGAATGATAAATATATAAATATACAAATAAATGAAATATCATCATAGAATCTAAGATACGATAAATTGTAATGTCACAATTTAGACATCGCCCTATCTAAGGATAATAATTTTTTAGACCTTCCTAAATTGGACAACAAATTATTTCGTTTCAAAAGATATACATCTTGCATATTTCTATTATCATGAAATTCAGCAACTACCTATCTGGCGTAAGCAAAGTTTCAATTACATCTCGAAGCCCATAATGGAGCATTTTTGTTCTATCTGTCATCGACCAAGATCATGGAGGTATCATCTACAACAATATCATTCACAATATTCAACTACCGCTGAAATCTGTTCTCGATGCGTGAAAAAGAAATTACCGAAACCAAAGTCTATTCAACAGGAAACAGACTTCCCATCTTCACAAACCATGCGACCATCCTCACGGATAATTTATGAAGTCCATCACTATTATCACTACCATGATTGTGATCAGAAGAAAGTTACAGATGAAGGATCAGTACCATGTGCCGAGTTGCACAGTGAAAGCCCTTCGTCAGATCGACAAGACTTTGAACAACCATCCCCAGAAGTGTTCTTCAATATTAAACCGATCAACCAAAGAAGCTACCTAGGAAGATAATTCACATCGAGGATATGATTGTGTATCAAAAGATTGATTACAGGAATTTACAGATGGATGGGTCTTTCATCAATTTAACTTTCCTTAAAAAAAAGATTACTGTATGAATGTTGATTATATTCAACATAGTGAATGGCTTCAATTCATTAGCTACTATACTACAAGCCCTAAGCGAAAGCGAAAGAGACTAGCTCTTTCAGTAGGTCTATATAAGGCCTACTACTTCCTGTACATAGCTAGCTCTTCAGACAGAATACAACATAGACAATTAGGACCTACGATTACGTGGGTGCTACGTCTTCCGTATCCTTCTCAAATCAACAATTACGATGTACATTATCAAGAATTTTCACTTTTATATATTAAACAATTAACTTCTGTCCCTATGTAGAGAATAGAGGTGAGAGCGCGACCAGATTCTTGCCTTTGTAGATGAGCAAATATAACAGAGGCGGGGGTCTCTTCCGTTGATTGACGTATGAGGTTTGAGAAGATCATACGGGATGCCGTTGCCAGATGACGGGCAAGTTTCATCCTGACCCATCTGATACCACGTTGCCAAAATCCTTGATTGTCGCTTCAGTAAATGTTTCAAATGGCCCATTGTATCTCTACCTCACCTTGTAGCCATATCATCTAGTCTTGATATCGGCATAGAATTGTTGTTGACGGCGGCCGTTACATTTGGGCCCCCAGAAAACTTTATAGCTTATTTGTCAAATGTTTCAGAGGAAGGCCAGGTACTTCATGTTTTGTTCTTACCTGATAATTCCATTGCCACATTCAAGCCTGGAAGTGCGGATACAAATCCTGAATGGTGAGAATCCTAATCTGAAACCACAAATCCATTGAATCCCAATTCTGTTTTCAGTAACCCCTTCAGTGTCTTACTGTTTTGACAGCCGTAGATATTATTGATCTGATTGTAAGAACACATAATGCTGCTAGTACCAGCGTGTACGGCATCTAGAAGAGCATTAGAAAAGATTGACATGTGAATAAGATTAACTTCCCTACAGATAAAGCTCGTGTATGGTCTTATTATCAATGTTTGAAGAAATTGATTCGATATTCTGACTGTGCATAGAGGTGACAGGGTTTCAGTTAGTCTCCTGTCCATAACTGATGAAGTAATACAAATTCAAGAGGTCAGATTTGTCGTGTATTAGAAAGACGCATGATGTAAAAGCCTACCTTGGTACTAGCTATAACCCCTTGCGCTTGTATTACATAAACTATCTCGGAAGCCAATGAACCACAAAGATATGGATCATTTGAGAACCCTCGGGGAAAAACTAGCTTTTTAAGTGATGAGATGACTGAAATACTGAGTTTGCCTTCCCAATTTCTGCCTCCCTGAGCCACGCGTCCAAGTGGCCCGACGACTGTTCATATTAGGCGAGTGACTTATTTCGGGCTATTAAAAAAGTCACATACCTGGACCGAGTACAACGTTGATACCAAGTGCGCTAAACTCACCAGCGTTTAATGCTTTTCAAAATCAATTACATAGTTACTAATCATCATGCGATGATGAATAATAATAATAAACAATGAAGTTTTCAATGGAAATCCCAGTATCATCATGAACTTAATACAAGGTCGGGGAAAAGATCCGCTACACCATGAGTCCATGCATATTTGACTCGAGCTGCAGTCCATCTACTACAATGCAATTCCATCAATGCAGAAATTCTCTCCCAACATTCTTCATAATCCGTCTGCCTCATGTATGGGTCTAAAATTGACTCTCCTAAACGTTCGCACTTGTGTACAATATCTGCTTGAACCCGCATCTTTAAGATGACTCATCTAAGTAAATATTAGTTATTTTTATACAAGTTGAATACAAGAATACTGACCTCCTTTAGGGCTCTACTGTAGTATGAGTACCAACATGAGATGTTACTCTTCCTAATACCTTTCTTGGCAAATTCATCTATTATGAAGTTCCAGGTTTTGTTTTCCCTCTTCCAATGCATCAATTCAATTTTCAAGTAAAATTTCTCTCTCCAGTGAATAAATGGGGCATTATTTTCGAAAGGCGAATGTGAAGGTGAAGATCTCACTATATCAGATGTAGGTAGATTTATTGACGATGTCATGTCGAATGAAAGAAGAGGTGGTGAAGATGATATGTCAAATAGAGGCAGAGATAATAAAAATGTTGAATCAGGCGAAGGAAGAAAAGATGTTGTATGGTTGTAAAAAGCCCCCTGAATCAGTTCTTGTTGAAGGGCCATGTATTGCGGGATGAAATAAGAGGGATCGTATTGAGCTTGTGAGGGATAGATGAATTCTGAAGGAAAGTATGGGTATACTTCATCCATCATCTGAATATAAATCAAAGAGTTTTCGTTTCCCTGATTGATATTCGAGTATGTGAAAGCGACGATGAGAAGTCTTGAGTCCAGATAGGAATACTTTGTACTTATAACCCTTTCTAGTATGAAACAAATTGTACTCTGATCAAAAGCATATATATGATCCAAAACCGTTCATAATACATCGACATATAAAAACTCTAACTGATTCGTTGTGTGTGTCCATAGAACTCTATGTCAAGTCGCAGATGAAGATGAAAATCCTAGAAAGTTGAGATCTTGTACATTCAACAACTCAAGTGAGTGATATGATAGAAGATCGAAGTTTTGGAACACATTGTCTACAGGTGCTTTCAAATTCCCTGTCTCCACCACCATCGTACAATGATGATTGTATCCTGAGATTAATCACGCTATTCAATATGATTAAAAATGAGGTTGTGTGCCATACTTCGTAAGGATAATAATTTTGTCATGTCATGACAAGGGTTTGCTTGCACCCGGAATTACTTCCGGCGACATAGAGGCAGTAACCTTTAGAAAAGTGAGGAGTATACTTATTGCATCTTTCCGGTCCGGGTACATCCAAGCTCAATGGAGATACTACGCTTGAATTGGTTTACGAGATCGGCAAGATTTCATGGCTGACGGCCTCAATTTGTAATCACACGTCTGTGTGTTTTTTGATCTTGCGCCCAAAACGAGATGTCGTAGGGGTAATTTCGGGGTACCAATGTTTTACGGTAAGGGCTTATTCAAATTAGGAGTTAAGTGTCCCGATGCTCTGGAACCGAGACAGGGTTATGGGACGCTGATTGAAATGCGGAGACAGCGGTGGGCCCCGTGCCGTGGGAGAGTGTCTTTTCCCTGTCATCGGATTCTCCGGAGATAGCGCAAAGAGTTTCTTGACCAGACTTAGGATTATGAAGACGAGAAATCATCCGCCTCGATTATTTGAAGGCAACGGATAATGACTCGAACTGCCGAACCCAACATAAAGTCTTACGAAATAAATTGAGAAGATAACAATCCGAAATAATGCTACTGCAGTAGAACTTGGCTACATCGGACTGGGATATACCGAAATACTGAAAATACTGGAATGATTTCCTGATTTGACTACTTTTCATGTGGGAGTACCGGATTTTTGCTTAAACCCGGAGTACAGGACACTTTTTTGCGAATCCGGTATAAGTTTTGGTGGTAGATTTGGCTGCACAAGCTTGATTGGCTGTTATCACATGATATTTTTTTATTAAAAATATTGGGGTTTGGAGCTAAAATCGAATATCAATATTGATTGGGACGCTTGAATCACTATTTTTAACACCGGATTTTATTGGCCCAATCTTTTATTCCGGTATAACCAAATTCTACTGTAATGGAATCATGTAAGAGTTCTGGCCACGGCTGACCGCCCACCCCCGCGACAATTGTGACAGAATCCTTGCAAAAATAAGGGTTTCTCAAGATTATGGCTTGGTAGAGATCTAGAAAAGTGAGAAAAACAGGGATTTTAGGTGAAAAGGCGTTGAATGTGCGGTAAGCCGTGGCGGGAACTCTTACAAGGCTCAAAACCATAATTCTATGTGAGAGATAAGATAAGAAATGTGGCCGAGCGCGCCAAACTGTTATTATGCAAGGTTCTAAAACGTGGTATTGCTAATGTCAAAACGAAGAATAGTGGATTTCAAAATCAGCCTCTCTGATTCTAGGTGATTCTTATTTTGGCTTCTCTTAAATAATCACTTTGTTTACATGAGTTCTAGTATTTTAATGAAATCAATCCATGTATAGCTATGGTAGAAAGAAATGATTAAGCTAGAGGTGTCAAATAAGAATGCCCAAAGTAAGAGAAGTCAAAACAGAATCTTTCGATCAAGGTGGCTGGAAGGTGATGACAGTTTTACCCGCGGCTCATAACCTTGGGCCGCATCTAATTGCAACAATATATCAATCATCTTATAGTAAAAAGAAGATGTTAGGGTTAGTATTATGAGTTACACCCATGTGAACGTACGTGAATGACTTCGATAGAATGACCACTGTACCATACACCTGAGCGAACGCGAAAGAGACTAGCTCTTTAGGCAAAATAAATATTGATAACTGGGGCTTCCAAATCGTAGTTACTACGTCATCTGTATTCTTCTCAACTACACGAGCGATTTTAAGAGTTGAGATTGATATCCATATTCAAGTTAAGTCACTAGTATTCTATACAATATTGATAATTTGACATGCTTAACTTAAATAAGTTATTTACTTAAGATATTCAAAATTTATTTCAAAAATATATACAATATGGTGATTCTGATTAATCGAAAGCTAAAGGCACTCCCGAGCGTGCTCTCCCACAGCTTCGCTACCTTGTTTCAGGCTCTGTATACACTGTACACACGATGTTACATAAGGTGTAGATTAACGAGGAGATGAACTGTCAATCACATGATTATAATTTGATTAGCCGAGAATTTTTAAGCTTTTTGGTGGGGTAGCTTTTTTCGATAACTTTTTGATAGCCAATAGGCGATAGCCATTGATTTTAACGATCGGGGTAAGAAAAGACATTGGGAGTGTCATGCACCAAGCCATTTTCAGGGTGACGATTGAGATTTTACTAATGACTATCTAACTAAAATGAGTACAAATGCATCGAAGAACGATCTAACGGATAGATATCGAAAAGATTTTTTTGTTGAAAAAAATTAAGATCTAAAGAATGAAAGGATAAGAAATTAAGAAAATAAGCTAGTTGAAAGTTGAATTTCCCATCTTCATATCCTGAAACTGCTGTTCCATTTTCAACATTGCCTCTGCTACCGCCTGACCAATGGCTTGATTTACTGTTTCCATTATGATTCGATTTCTTTCCTCATCCTTTTGCTGTAATTCTTCCACTTTATTGACTAAGGCTTGAACCTGTGTTGATTCTGGATCCGGTGGTTGCAAATCATGGCTCCGTCCCTTTTTTCTATATCTCTTAATAGTATTATAATCTTCTTCTTCAGATTCAACTTCTGAGTCATCTTGTCGACTACGAATGAGCTTTTGAGCCGGTTTCCAGTCCAAAGATTTTGGCCAGGGTGGCTGTTTGACATCCTTATCATACTGGTCGTAGTAAAGTTGAATTGTTTGATCCGCCATCTTTTTCCCTACGATTGTTCGAAGTGTTGTTCGTGTCAAAAAGTATTCTTTTTCGCCAGACTCGTCTTTGAATTTTCCTCGAACATATGTTGGAGGAAGCTTTTTGAAACTTAATGTTTCAGATTCTCGGGCAGTAACCCCCGTAATACCCTGAAATTTTCTCTTCCATTGTCCCTTCTCCCGCTTAAGAATCTCCAACACAGATACTTGCTCCTCTTCCGGAATTTCAGAGATATATATTTGAGCAGCGTCAAATCCTACATCAACTTCATTGCGAAGCTCGATGTCGAATACAGATTGGTTGTTCGAGTTCTGCAATTCTACCTCTACGAAAAATTGGCAGTCTATGATCGTTGGTGAATCATCGTAGATACCGTAGGCTATCCTGGGGAGCTTGCCAACAATCTTTTCGCCAGCTAAAGTGTACCCGGCAGTTAAAGGTCTCACGTCCTGCATTTCCGAATCTTGATTCTCTGACTCTGCATCTTCTTGGTCATTTTCCGGCTCCTTCGTTCCAGATTTCCCTGATCCTTTGTTGTCATGCTTCGCCTTTTCGCCTTTGTTGCCTTGATTTTCATTCTTGCTACCTCGGAACCTCATAAAATTCCATTCGAGAGGAAATCCCTCAGATTTGTTAACTTTTTTGATCGCTGAGCTATAATAAACAATCCAACGAAGCGCCAAGCGATCTTTGTTGTCTTTTTTCCAAGCTTGAATATATTGCTCCGCATTTGCACGATTGAAAAGATGAGCTCTCGTTATGTCAAATGTGTGAATATTTTTTGCTGCATTGATCGACTCATTATGAGCTCTGATTTCTTCGTTGTACCCTTTTTGTTTGGCGTGGATCTTTCTGAACTCCTCGGATTCTGTCCAGGTAACGGATTTCTTCCCGGGGGGGTTAGGATTGAACACTTGTCCTTTTTTCAGTACTTCCTCAACCCATGGTGTTGCTTTGGCGTATATATTTTGAATGAAATCATCTGGTAACGATGATTTATCACCATCATTCATGTCTTCTTCTTCATCACCTGAATCTGAATCTAAATCTGAATCATCGTCCCAAGCATTCTTAAAAAAATCTGGGTTCTTCTTGCTGCTATTTGATTTCTTAGGTTTAGGAATGTCGAATTTACCAAACTGATCAAATTTTGCCCTCTTTTCCGTGTCTGATAATATTTCACTGGCTTCATTAATCACTTTTAAATTGATTAGCTTCTCTACTTTACTCGACTCCGTATTAGAACTTACATCCTTGAGCCTTAGTAGCTTTTTTTCGATAGTCCTTATGAACCTTGTCCGGATGTACAAGCAGACTGCTTCCTCTGAGACTCTTGAGGATTTTGCTCACAGTATCATTCTTTTTAGACTGTGCTATTCCATATAGATCACCAGGAACTAGGTCGAGAATTCTTTTGATTTCTAATCGTTGCTTCTTGGATATCTTCTCATTTTCTGGGGAATCGGGCTTTGGAGGATCAGGTTCTGGTGAATTGAGTTTTGGTCCATTGGACTTTTGCCGATTGGGCTTCGTTGGATTAGAGCTTGATGGAGGCGGTGTAGCTTTCTGAGATACTTTTGCTTGTGACTGGCTCTTAGGTAATTCTAATTGAGACTCTTCCACTGGCGAAACTGGCGAAACTGGTGAAACGTCTTCATTCACGTTGAGATATGACACCTCCCCTGACTCGCCCGACACATAGTTATCTTCCTCATCTTCACTGATATCGTTCTTTGATGTTGCTTCTATCTCGGACATATCTTCAACTTTTTCAGTCCAAATATTCTTGTGAGCTTTCTGGCAGGTCATAATGAAGAAGATTATATATTGCATCTATTTGTCTGATATAAAGTTCATCTCCTAATTAGGAATTCTTTAAATATAGAAATTAACTAAAACTCAAATTCTTAAATAGTATTATAGTGATCGCGTCATCTTTCAAAATATAGTAGTAATACGAATTCCACTATGACCACTATGACACAAGATATTGGTCTTTTCATTCAATGGATACCGCATTAAACCGTCGACGGAGACCAGGTGCCTTCACTGTATTTCACGAATACACTTCAATCGGAACTTCAACAGAGACTATTTCAGTGCCTACAATGATTGGGACTTCGTTGATGATTGATCACAATCCTTCCCCAGTGGCTTCAGTCGCAAATGTCACTCGGTTATCAAACTCACCCACCTCATTGTATTGGTCTGAGCCAACAATGACTTTAGTGTTACTAATTATTGGTGTTTGGCATATGGGCGCTCGCTTCTTTTAGAACCTGTTACGTAATCGCTCTCAGGTTTTACTTTATTAGTCGCTTTGAATGGAGAGTCAAATATTGAAGGAATTTGGAACTCATAATACTTGAGTCTAGATTTGCTACCTAAGCAGCTTCTCCTTCTTCTGATAAACTTCCAAGCTTATTGTGAAACTTTTCTCCCCTAAGTTTAGACATCTCTCTGGAATGATAGAAAGGATGTAACATGTGATTTTGTTGAGGTAACTTAGATTCAACGATATGTTCCAAGCTTGTGGTAGGATTGATGGCAATTCCAGGGACTGCAGTGGAACATTTATGATTTATGGACTCATATTGCTCATTCTTTTGATGAATCATTGGAGGCGGATCTTCGAATTTACTCTCAATTTTAAAATTTCCAACAGGAGGAACAATATCTTGAAGTTCTTGGAAGGCGGTGGGCTTATGTTTAGACTCATCTTTGGGTCGTGAGCATTTGAAGATACAACACAAGTGGAAACGAGGCATTGTATTGATATAGTTCACATGAAATAGTAGTAGAAACTGGTAGATATTATGGAAGATCTTTATAATGATTATGAAGGGGCGAGTAGGTATTTCAGTTGAGTCATCATGAAGAAGTTATGGGTACCGAATTAAGATTCGTCACTTTTTGAAAAATACAATTTAAGACATAAGATATCATCAACCAAAACTAACAAGAAGAATGTAGAAAACAATCCCCCCACCCTTTTCAAAAACTCAAACGAAGACAAATTCCAAAATAAGAAATAGAGCCTAAGTAACAGCAACGTTCCAATTTGGTGCCCGAATCAAAATGACAAATTCACTGATTGGCGACATCATTGCCACTGTGCGACGACATTGAGGGAGAATATTGCGCTTTATGTGCGTGAATCTTTGCTCGTCTCCTTGTTGAATCTCATATTGAACGGCTGGTATAGCATCTCTAAGCCATATTTGCAACAGTTTTGGGCTAACAGCTGATGGATGGCTTGCAAAGCGAACAAACCAGGTAAAGAACTCTTGAATCTTGACATTCGGCCCAAAAGGAGCATTATGTAAAGGCACACTGAATCTGCCGTCTATCTTCTGAACACGAACAACAATGACCGGATCACCGGGAAGCTGGTAGCGGCTGAGAGAATTGCCAGTATCTATTTGACCAAGTGGGGGAAGTTTACTGGGTGGGAATTCAATCGGTGGTTGAAGAGGCGGAAGTCGAATACCCCGCTCTATAGCTTCAGAGGGTATGGATCTTGATGAATGAGACAGTGGTTCAACCAAAAGTGGTTTGGTAGATCTCGCTTTAGACTTGAGCTGTTGCTCCTTTCTGTAAGATCGAATTTGACTTTGTGACTTCGTATTTAATGACCCAGCATCCGAGGAAGAGAACAATTCTCTCTCATCTTCCTGGTAGAATTCGAATAACGCTTCCTTGTTTGAGAAAGGGTAGCTTCGTCGGGAGTTGGCGAGACCAACCAAATTTTCAGGAACGACGAGTATTCTGTATTTCTGAAGATTTCCATTGCAATAATTATAAGTCTTAAGAAAGTCAAAGAAAGTATCTTGCTTCAATCTAGTAGATTCTCCATCAGATACACCTATGTCCACTGGCACGGAGGAGGGATTCAAAAAAGAGTCCATGAAGTGAAATCTTAACCTTTGAGGGTTGTTGAATCCAAATCTTTGACTGTACCATATATTAAAGTTGCAATCATCAAGCAATGGCTGAGCAGGCATCATAACCCACATATCACGTTCCAGAGATAGGATGGTGGCAATGGATCGGAAACGTTGTAACATTGTATTGATCGCTTCTTCTTGGAGGGATAAAGTGAGCTTCCGCTCTACCTCAATGGTCACTGGAATCTTATGAGATTTTTTAGGCGATGTCGATGCTTTGTTTTCCAGGGCAAGTTTTGGAGAGGTACGAAGTGATGAATCGTTCTCCGGATCCAGAGTCATTTGTGAAGGTGGCGTTTGAGGCAATGCGGGGTAAATTATGGGTGTCTCGAACTCTTCCGGCATGATCGTTGCATTTGAAGGAAGAGGAGCTTCATCTTTTGAGGAATTATCGTTATGGGATTGAGTGTACAGTAGCTCGTCATCGAGAGTTGAATCATTGATAGTCGGATCATCTTCGCCACTGGGAGTCAAGAGAATTGTTCTTTGCCCAGCCACTAGATCTGGTACGATTCGAAGATTAACATGGTTTGCTTGAGTGTCTGGTGAGACACGTTGATCTACGCCTAAAAATTTGTAAGTATTTCTGGAAGAAAATTCAACATTCATTCCACGATTTACATACAAATCCAGTCCTCTCCCACATCTTGACGATCAGATGTATCGACCATGATAGTATCAGCAACTGTAATTTCGTGCCTAGACTTCTTTTTGATGCCGTCTATAGAGTCGGGAGTCTGGGAATTTCTCTAGTGAGTATTAGATCGTCTAGAAAGTAGTATAGTTCCCCAAATAGGATAGACTAACCCTTGTAAGATGGTCTTCTATTTGTTCCAATTTAGCGTTCCCCTCTGCTGATTCAATGTAGCACTCCTCCTGTGCTCGCTGCCAGCAATATTTAAACAAAGATGACTTATGGAAAGTATCTTGGGTCTTTGTTATAAATCCTTCAGCATGCCAGGTCATCACTAGTTCTTTCATTAAACGATGGCACCGTTTTCTCACATAACCTACAACCCATGACTTTCTATCACATGTAGAGTTAGAAAGAAGGAAGTTTGCAACATCAGATACTGTTGAGCTCTTATTGATTTTTCGAATCCTGGGTGGAACTTGATATTGATCATAGGTATGCATGTACCATGAGATACACTTGATGACCTCTCCGTGCCATTTGAGACGCTAAAACAGCTGTTAAAAAGATTCTCTCTCTGAAGCTGAAACGGAAAATGTAGATACCTTAGACAAGTCGAGATGTATTTTGCCAATATTTTTCCCATACTGTGTAATGGGTTGAAAAGATGAGATGTATGATGTGAATTTATCAGCATCGCCGTCTATACCTTTCGCTTTTTCCATTGCAATAATCGAGTTCATTACAGTAATTAGAATATATAAGCAATGCACTTATTAGAAGGAATGGAAGTGGGAGAGAGCACGCTTAAATGTATTTCATATCGTTATATCTACAACGAAATTCGATGCCATAATAAGAGATTTACTAAATTGCACTTTGGATTCATTATCCATGATTAAAGGTACATCTTTCTATCGAGCCGTGTATATTACCTTGCCCAAATACCTTCCAACTTTTGAATTTCTCAAGGATTAAAAAGACGCCAACATTCGTATACAAATGGTGGGGTTCTGTCATCATTTCCTTTTCTTTTGCAATATCTACTTCAGGAAAGCCCAATTTAGGCCGATGATCATCATCCGAATCAATAAGTCAGCAACAAGTAAACAACATGCATCCTCCTGGAAACCCACGTCCCTGCTCAAGCGTCTACAGTCAAGACGAAGATCCGTTCGGGGACAACTTCTCATTAGAAGATCTCGCTCGAAGGGTTGATGAATCTACAAAAGTCTCGGAATCTAATACCCTTGTTCAACTAGGGATAGAGAACCAAATATTGTCCCAACATGTTGCATACTACCAAAGAGAATGGGATGCTCTGATAGACTTACTAGAAGAGTTGATAGACGCAGTATTACTCATCACAAGCACTTTGAAGAATTTCAATCACAAGAGGGAGGAAGCTGAAACTGCTTGGTTGGCATTTTGGGGTATCAAAGAGGAAGCATCATGTATTAACTGGATATAAAAAAAGACCACGAAACAAAATAAGCCTCAAGTATCATAAGCTGATAACAATATCAAAACTGCTAACTAAGAGGGGCCATAAAATTCAAACTTTGAAATACAGCCTTCACTTCTGCTATCAGCGATTCAAACTTTGTCCTCATTGCATCCATTTCATCCCGAAATTTCTCTCTCTCTTCGTGATCGATCTTCGAGATCTCGACTCGTTCTTCGATTATTTGACTGAGCTGTTTAAGTCGATCGGGGTAATTGTCCAAAAAAAGGAGAATTTGCGCCTTGTCCTCTATAAACGTTTTTGTATCCTCCTTGTATCTTAATTCCAGCCATTAGTCTTTTAGGATACAGATTTGATAAACAAGAACATTGCTTACTGGGCTTTGAGACTTGAAATCTCCAATTCCATGGCTCTTCTGGCTCGATTTTCGAGGGTTTGCCTATTCATCATGTACTTGTAAAGGCTCAAAACCTGACTCGCCATGTCATCATCGCCAGTTCGACTTGCAAGACGCTGTAAGATCTCTTTGGCGTCTGCTTCCTGGTCGGCAGCATCCTGATTCTGGTTGGTAGCGTTCTGGCTTTGGTTGGCAGCATTATCCTTTGGAAAAGATTGTACACTCTGTTGATTATTCGTTTCCTGGCTCTGATTGCCATTGGTTTGATCAACACTTTGATCACTGTTATTTGAGAAAGGCTGTGAAAGTTGCTCATTTTCAACATTCCGATTGGAAAAGGGTTGAGCATCCTGATGACTGCCGATGTCCTGTTTCTGATTACTAGTGACCTGATTGATGCCCTGATTATTATGGTTTGAAAAAGGTTGCGCACCGTGATGATTGACAGTTTCCCGATTACTAGTGATTTCATTTGGATTCGGAAAGGGCTGTGAGGTGTGGTGATTCAGATTTTGAAAATACTGCGAGGTGTGGTGATTACCAGCTTGATTACCGTTCTGGTTATCAAAATTCGGGCTTTGAAAATGCCGGGGAATATAATGATTCTGATTTTGAAAGGGTTGTGAATTGTGGTGATTCGAATTTTGAAAATTTCGCGAAGACTGGTGATTGCCAGTATTTTGAGAAAGGAACCGTGAGGCCTGCACACCGCTCATCTCTTGACTGCCACCAATATTGTTGGCGTGATATAATTCCGCGTTTTCGCAACTCGCCTGCGGTTTGGTGCTCGTTTTCAGCGGATTTATGGACAAAGCATTGTTGATACGATTAGTTTGTCGAGGCGTCAAAGCACGTGATTCGTGAGGTGGGGTATTATATGATGACGATGGATATGTGGGATAAAGCAAATTAGTGTGCTCGGGGATTTGGTACGGATACAGGTTGGGATTTTGGAAATGTGTGTAGTAATTTTGTGACATTGGTGGAAGTATTTGAGGAGGGATATGTGTTGCATTAGTTAAGTAATTAATTGCATGATTCTGATTAGCTGACATATTATCGAGGCTCTGGTTGATATTGTTGTTTTTGTTTGTGATGTATCTGGGCAAAGCGAGTAATGAAAATTTGAATGTCTGTATGATGTGAGAGAGTGTGTAAGGCCTCACAAAGTGTACAAGTGATTGTATTGATGCTACTTATTGCCTCCTTATCTTGTAAGTTGACAAAGTTTTCCAAGTGATAACCCCGGTCAATCACTACAAACCTTGACCAATCATACCAAGTTACTCGTATTTCTCCTACGAACCATGGCGGAAAAAGGTGCCTATGGCGTTTAAGAAGACATACATGTTCAAGGTTCAAATGCTACGCAACTCCCGAGAATCTGGGGAGATCCCAGTAACATGGCCAGGATAAAAAGACAAGGGTTCAGGGATTCTTCTATTGTACTTTCCAAAAGAAACGATTGCTTTTTTGGATTAGGATCGAATATTTATAAAATAACTATGCAAAATGTGGAACCTAGATAGAAGTTACGAATGATCTAAATTATGGATAACGATACTATTGAAAGAGTAAGTAGAAGGAATTAAATCTTGGATGATAATTTGTACTAACCCTCTTATAGAGAGTATATCTCAGTTCCGAAAGTCATTTCGCCCTTTTCAAGCATGATTTAGATATCCACAAATCATACAAGGAGCAAATCAAGACCGCTCATGAGCGAATTCAATATCTGGAATCAGAATTTCGAGGCCAGGAGTCGCGTCTTCGCGATCATGACTCGCTACACAAGCGCTTGTATGAAAGTGAGAAAATTCGAACACTCGAGACATCCGCGAGGATTCGTCTACAGCGCCACCTCAGAGTCGAGCAAACAAACTCTTCGGAACTTTCTGAAAGAGCGAAAACCCTACAGGAACAGTTGGTGAAGATGGAAGGGGAATTTACGAGTTTGCAAGCCCGGTTTTTAGATGCTACATTTGCCATAGCAACATGCAATCAAATGCTGCAAAATGAGACCAATGAGCTGCAGCATCAAGTTATGTATGACAAGGAAGAGATATTACACAATCAACGCATTATCCGTTCTTTGGCTACTAAGATAGCGCTATATGATAGTGATGCTGAACGAGATATTAACTTTGTAAGATTTACAAGTGGAACAAAAGCAGACTTAACAATTTCGAGAATTTAGCTATAAAATGGGAATATCTTTACTGTCAGCGGATAATTTCATCCAAAGTTAGCATAAAGATAAGACATTAGTCAAAATAAGATTCTGTTAAATAGTCTCTTATATCTAGGATATAAGATAAGCTGAACGCCTCAAATCCTTATAGTATGATTTTACACTCAAAGCAAAAAATAATGCAAAGAACCAATAGACCTAGTCGCGAAAATCCTTCGGATAAACCCTCACCTCCGATGCCTATTGACATTCAGATAGGACTCCAAAGAGGGTCAACGGCCGCATTAGAAATGACCCCCGAGCGTCTACAAGCCACCAAGCAAGGTCCATCTTTGAGTACAACCGAAAGGATTGAGGAGTTAACGAAAGAAAACGGTTTGTTGAGATTGGAAATACGGTACTATCAGCGGATGAGAAACGCAATGCAAGAACTGATCGACGATACAAAATTTGTAACTGAAAGATTGAATGGTACAGTCAAACGATTTACCAAAGTTCAGAGAGAAGCCGAGAATGATTGGCACAGTGCACATAGCTAGCCTGACCCATGTTGTATCCGTTGGGAGGCGTAGTCCAGACACTTCACGATGGTATCACATTTAAAAAATTACTGTTGGTTAAGAGGCGCAGTGCAGATATTTCACGACGGTATCACATCAAAGAAATTACTGTTGGTTAAGAGGCGCAGTGCAGACACCTTGCGATGATGTTGCATCACATCTAGGGAATTGGCATTAATGCATATACAGATACTTTCCAATGATATCACGGTTAGAAAGAAATGACAAGGAATGATTGTTGTGATACATAGATTCATATTTGACAGGGTAGCGCAAATGCAGATATTTCCCGATAGATATGGCAACATCGCCTGATCTTGTGAAGCGATGCCGAGTGACACTGATCAGTTGGTTGGGAGGCGCAATGTAGATACCCCCAGATGATATCACCAACAAAGCCATTGAAAACTACTTGGCACCTACTCGCAAGTAAGTATGATTCTCCGGTCGGTTCCTCATGTACATCTTTCCAGGGATCAAACGAGTTCCCAAATCTAATATAAGAATTTACTAATTAAGACATTGCAAAATATTTTTCGGAAATTTACAACCGAGAGGTGATTGAGACTTGGTATCACATACTAATATGTTCAAGTCTGAGATAAGGCTCAAAGTAAAAAAGACAATATCTCCTATCCTTTTTTTTGGATGAAAGTTTCTGTTACAATTTTGCATTCAGCATTCTACCTATCATCTTTAAAAAATGTCTGATCCAGAAATCGAGCTTCAACAGATCAAGGAATCTCAAGATCGTACGCGAGCTCGATTGTCAGCTCGGAAAAGACAATATGGATTATTGAAAAAAGCAGAGCAATTTCGAAGAGTTGCTAATATAGAAGTGGCTATCATTTTATATGACCCTACCTTTGGAGAGTATTGTATATATAGATCAAAGGACGATGACTCTTGGCCACCGTCGATGAAAAGCATAGTATGTGATAACCGTACAATATCTTAGTTTATGGGCTGACTGAATATAGCGAGAGTGTAACCCCGTAGATTATTTGCCCAGTGATTTTGAATCAGCAGAACGCATGTCATATTCGATCACCGAGAATCGAACTACCGGAAAAAGACGCCGAAAGCTTCCCGACATCTGCCTAAAACGCAAGAAACCAAAACACAAGAACACGATGTCAGAAAAAGAACTAAGCTCATCACCACAGCAATGTGAGGATATCAGCGGGCCACAAGATATTTTTTCCCGTGCCCTAGCTTCTCCAAATACCGAGACTAGGTTATCTAGTGTTATCAGCACACTACCTCCATTTCATGATAAGCAATCAAATAGTCCGTCAGGATTACCCACGAAAATCCGGAACAACCTCGATAAAGAAACTTCTCCATCTTCATACCTTCCTTACACATCAATATCACCCTCAAGAATGATTACACCGATCACGTCGGAAGATACGTTCCCCCAATCTCTTCATACTCCACCATCAAACTCATCACCTATACCTCCAACGTCCACACTGCCCTTCGAAACAATTACAAAAGTCTTTTCAGAGGTCACATATCCTAAAGATCCATCTTTGAGCCCATCGCTCACTCCTACCATGCTATCATCCACAGTATCATCGAACCCGCAAGCTTCAAACACACCACCCATGCCTTCTACAACATCATCATGTCCATCAACTATTCTATCACCAATTTCTTTGGTGTCGTTGCATATGCCGCCAAAACTGACCCCTTCCACTACGATAATCACATCTCCATCAAATGTATCATGTAACCCTCCCACTACGTCATCCGTGTCAATCTCAAATTCACTATGCGTCCCCTCCACTTCCAACTCATCGTCCATTTCATTTGATATACAACCCATCTCGCCACCACTCTCATCCTTCCGTCGATCATTACTCCCTGACTTCGTAAAGGAAAACTTGTCAAAACCTGGAACTGCTTTTCAGATTTTCCAGAATTTGAGACATCGATAAACTACGACTTCTAAAACCCCGCGATTATAACGTCGAGAAAATTTCAAAGTGGGGGGGGGGGGGGCTGTTCGTTTGTGGGGCTCGAGTAGGGGTCGTATTTTTCTAGTTTAGAACACACTATTTGACTACAAATTGCTATCTTTCGAAATTGACATGAATGATGTATTTGATGAACCGTTACAGCACAAGTATAAAAATCCATTCGAGATAAGTTATTGTTTCATAATAGAGAATCGCAATGCTATTTCCTTCTTGCGGAGCATCTGAAATGAAAGCGAAAACCACTTAGAGTAGAAAACTTTGATTCCTACCTGAGGTCATTAAATATTACAGTGGCTTACATACTTCAATTGTTCTAGGCGATATCTATCTGATTCTCACGTGCACTATATCACTAACACCAAAAACAAAAAGAGTTTTGGTACCTCGAATCTGATGGAAATTGAATGAACACTTGAAGGGGTTTAATTTAGGGGCGGGCTCTATGCCTTGCCTAAAGCTGTAGTTAGATCTCCTGTTACATTTATGTCCGTTCAAAGAATCATTATTGCTGCAAGTAGTCGCGATTGAAAAATAAATGATTGTCTATTTAGGTGTCTTCTTATTTCACACACCTCCTTTTCATTCAATCTTTTGCCAAACTAAGGGGCGCGGTCATACCATAAGAATGATATGAATAAAGAGAAGGGCTGAATATTATCACTTTCCCAATCATTAAACTGATACTGTACGATCAAATGAGCCGTTTCTTATATTCTTTATAGATATCATTTCCTGAATTCAAGATGTCTACATGCTTTCATTACTTCTCGAGATTATCGGCCGAAATTCGTGAAATGATATGGACTGAAGCTCTGATTCAGGATCGTCTCATTGTGTTTGACTTCAAACCAAGACTCAGAATGTGGTTACGTCTGACACCAGAGCCAGCTCTTTTTTACGTCAATCGAGAATCAAGATATTATGCTTCCAAATACTACAAACAATTCTTGTGCCGTCCACAAAATACGGCATCGAAGACACAAACCACACATTTGAACCCTGATAGGGATATTTGCTATTTTCTTACTCCGACTGGAATATCACCAGTCAACGAAAAAATGTTCAATACAATGTGTACATTTCTAGATGATAACTGCATTCCTTATTGTGCTGGAGTTCGACCAAGACGATGGGCCTTCGATGTAAAGGTCCTCATATCACGCGGAGCGTCAACTGAATACCGTAACAAGATGTTTCGATGGATGGGATGTGTGATGAAACGGATGTCATGGTGCCATGTGGTATTAGGAGACGCACAAGTCGATGAATTCTGTATCGTGGTTACTGATGATGATATCAGTAATACCATACGCAAGTCTGATCTACATCGTGTAAATTTATCACGGAGTTTCACCCAAGAATTAAAGCCGAGAGTAGAGGCAGCAAAAGATGAGTTTCAAGCCGAGATTTTGAAGATATGTCAAGATATGGAAGTGTATCCCAACACAAACGGCTACTCTCAACCACCTCGTGTTTCATTTTGCAACATTGAATTTTCATAATCATAGGACTTTATTTATTTATTCTTTAATCAAAAACTGTTTCTATAAAAAACTACACCCTACAAAGAACTGAAGTAACCTTACATCTTTGAACCATCAAAATTGAACAATCTGAACGCTCAATCTACTATGCTCCTCTCAATTAATAACCCAAAAAGCCTCGAATGAAACTGTTCTTGAAAAGTATAAGTGAAATTAAAATCAGCGTAGGTTATCCTCACCCCTACCTCTGCACCCCATTTTTACTGCATCATACATGGATAATGTGCATCCTAAAATAATGCTTTGAACCCCCAGCAGACTTATCCCTACCCTACACTATCATGGATATTCCGGATTACCTACGCCACCTGACAATATTGTTTACAGGCCTAATTTATCCCTGTGTTTCCGAAACCCGATACTTTGGTAAACAATAATCTACATGATGCTGGGATTAAAAGCAACTTTCTGAGTAGTGGTCACAAAGTACGGAACACCGACGCCAAGCGCGGCATCACGAAAAATTGGATTATTCGACAATGGACCAGGCTATCATATAATCAGTCACACCCTTTCCGTATCATCTCTTTTCGCTATTTCATCGAATGTTGGCCAGAACCAGTACCTTGAACGACGCTTAAAGATCAGCAGGTTAAAAAATAATGACGTCAGACACGGCCTGCATTATGCAGGTACTATTTAGAAATTCAAGGATATTGAACTAGGGTGTTAATCGCGACACTATTTAAGAATGTAAGAAAGTACCGATAACTCGGATCAGAATATGCACCTCCCATCCTGGAGCAACCAGGAAGCTTGACGCCTTTCGGCACATGCTAGATTGAATTTTGGGCTTCATGGTATTTGCCAAAAGAAGGAATTTGACGAGATTCATTGTCTTGGCATTTTGGTCAGCTCTTACACAGATGAACGTCTTCAATCATGAAATCTCTATAAGGCATCGACGATATAGGAATCGGGTTCATTATTCGTGAGGTTCTAATCTAGCTAAAATTTCTTCTCTTAAAGGTTCTTTCCTATAAGTCTCTCCTTGAATAAGTCTCTCCTTGAATAAGTCTTTAATCATTTAAGGAATTTTCCTTTAGTTCAAAACTCGTATTTGGTTATTACTGCAGAGATTATTCTTGAAGTCAATAAAATTACAAAGGAATTAGCCCTAGTTTTCACGTAGACTGTCTTTTTGGAGGTCAATATTTTGACTCGATGCACGTGATTCATCTTGTTCTGACGTATCAAGTTTATGCTTCAAGTGAGTATACGTTTGAAATAATTACTTGCGATCTTCAAAGCATTCAATTCTAGATAACAAAACCACGAGAAGAAAGTCCTGGTCTGGTTATCGCGCGAAGTAACTTCTGCTATCCGCAGGAGGAATTCCGACAGTCATGTGATTTTAACATTTCAAGGAAAGAGTACAGCGCTTGGCGTCGTTGAGTATAAAATAGATGAGGCTCAAAACTTTAAAACATATACGATAAATTTCAAACTTCGAAAGTCAACCACCCGGATACTCAATGGTTTGATTTTACAGGCTCAAAAGATTTAAAATTAATATTGTTCACATCTTGTTGATTATACAGTGATGTAATTACTTCTCTGTATCTGACTAAAACCTTTTTATTCATTGATTATTATCGCCTTTAGCCTTAATACTTCCATAGCAAATCTAACACGTGGAGCTAACTTGCTGGGTGATTTAGCTTGTTGAAGAAATGGATGCTATTGATGTTAGTAATTTTACTTTGGACATCTCATAGGCTGTTATCACCTTTAGCATACTCTCGACTGTTCCCGATATACAATGGGAGAGGAATTGGAAAGCCTCGAGCGACCAACCATTATTAATTGCACCAACCATGTGGTATCGTGGAAGCATCATATCTTCTGCAATCTCGGCCAGGATTGGTAAATCCAAAAAGGCATGCAATAGATTCAAATTCTTCTCCTTTCTCTGATACACATACTGGTTGAAGTTCAGAGCTTGTAGAATGTTAGAATTGCTCCATGAAAAGTTTTACATGACTCACCAATCTTGATATCTCCATTTATCGATAGGCGTATATTTGACATTGAGATATCTTTACACGATACCCCCTGTCGAAGGAGGTATTCTGAGCCTCTAAGAACCTTTTTATAGTGAATATGACTGTTGTGTCAACTTCACGTGAGACTTTTCGTACCTCTTTTATGATGGTGGCAATTTCCCACTCATCGAAATGGAATATGTGAAAATCCAAGTCAACTAAGGGAAGTTCGGGATACTCCGACGCAACAAAAACTTTACTGTCGTAACAATAAACATCAAAAATCTTTGATATGGATGGATGTTGAATTTTGGACAATGCTCGAAGCAAAAGCTCAGTATTCTTTCCTTCGTAAACCCCGATATTCACTTTCAGGAAGTAGGTTCCATTGCGACAAGCTAAGATGGAACCTTCGTCTGTAGTAGGCATTATAGCCTCGTAATCTTTCCATGGATCACTGAGCCATACTCTTAGAAGATTTGTATATCTTCCGCCGAGAATGGAAGCAGACGAAGCCCTTGAAGGTAATATTGAATCGAGACATAAGTCAGTAAGCCTGCTATAAATCATTGCCGATGCTTTGTTGATAATATTCGTCATTTTGAAAGTTGATTGATAATAGCGATATCTTTTAGAGTGAATCGGCTTTCTATATAGTCATTTTCTCAAACTTCCTAAATAAGAATCATCAATTGGCGAAGCTCTGACCCTAATTTAGATTGTTATTTGGGGCATTGAAATAGTCGATGTTGAAAGAAAAAGACATCCTTTTATCTTCTTTGAATCCTCTTTTCGTTTTATTACGATTCCAACATGAAAACCATTGATGAGTCTCAGTGGTACGCAATAGTCATCGGTATAATTATATCGTATACTCTATTGTACTGCATACTCAAAATTATTGTTGAATTTTTCAATGATAACATTTTGTTCTATATTCGTAAACACCTTTTTTATCGCCGCTTTCACATATATCGAAGGGCTTCAAGTACAACATCATGGTTCCAATGTCTAATTATATGCCTCTTCGTATTGGCTAATGTTTTGAGCATCTTTCTCACAGCGAGCAATCGTAAAGATTTGATGCATCAAGCTGGCTTGCTCTCCACGATAAATCTGATCCCCCTTGGTCTCGGAGGTCATATGAATATCGTTGCGGATTCTTTTGGTTTGAACCCAGAGTCTTTTAACTGCATGCATCGCTGGATTGGCCGCGTAGCTGTTATCGAAGGCGTCTTTCATACAATACTAGGGATAGCCCTAGGAAATATTGTATGGCAGCACTCGAAACAGATCGCAGCAGTCATTGTAGGACTAGCAAGGCCTATTTTCACACAAACTGTACTAATGGGTTTACAGGCTGCCTCGTCGATGGTTTTAATAATACTATCGTCAATTTCCTTAATTCGCCGTTGCTTCTACGAGACATTCTTAAAAATACATCAAATTTTGGCGGCAATAATTATTGCTAGTGTTTGTATCCACTCTTCTGGTTCTTTAACCACTGCTCCGTTGGTATACCTTTTAGCAGCTGGTTGTACTTGGATATTTGTTCGCATAGTACAATTTGCAAATAGCATATATCGCAGTAAAATTATAGGTCAATCTTTCTCACGGGCTGTCATCTGGACAATACCTGGGGCATTACAAATTCATGTCAAGGTTGGTAGGCCATGGAGATATCACGCAGGGCAATATGTGTATCTCTGTATTCCTGGTGCTACCTACGGCTCCTGGATGCAGTCACATCCATATTTCGTTTCTTGGTGGTATAAAGATCAGCATGGCAATGACATTGTCGTGTTCATCCTTGAATGTAAAAAAGGATTTTCTTTGTCTCTCGCTGCACATTCAAGCGGCAATCTGATACTTAATGGAAATCGGATTGAGGAGCAATTTGTGATAGGGTTACGGAGTCTTGTAGAAGGCCCTTACGGATCTGTAACGCCACTTAGCGAGTATGGTACAGTCCTCTTGTTTGCAAATGGTATTGGTATTGCGGCTCAACTTCCATATATCAAGCAATTTCTTCAAGGTTACCATGATTGGGACGTGAAAGCAAGGAAGATAGCGCTATATTGGGAAGTGAAATCCGAAGGTAAGTTTGGTCCTACTTCCTCTGACCATTACTTAAAGCAACACATCAGGGCATCTAAAGTGGGTCGGAAATTGGATGACAGAGCTCCTGCGTGAAGATACTCAATACGTAAGTTGATTCGCACAAGGGATATGTGGTCGAATGACCAATGCTGATGAACTACCAGATATTAAAAATCTATATATATGTAACTGGAGATTTCACAACTCCTGGTGTTCAGTATGGAATGAGTGGGAAAGGTGGAGAGCATGGTCGGATTGACTTGGAGTATAAGATTCTAGATATTGATAACATTATCAAGACTGAGCTCAGTGTGAAGAGAGGTAGAAGTATGGTTCTAGGTAAGTCTCACGTCTTTCAGTACTATAAAAAGTCCTGACATCATTCCTAGTGTGCGTGAAACGTTCAATAGGGAAACAAATCCGTAAAGCCATTCGGGCCATGATCAATCGAGAAAGGCAAGATATTTATTTGAAAGAGCTTCCATTTTATCCTGTCTAGATTTTTAGACGCAACACAATTACATAATCCGTAGGAATGGCTTAGTTTAATCCTAGCTTAACTTTCAAGATCCTTTTTAATAAGAGCCTATTTAGTCAGTATATGGAAATCAAGAAGGAATTATAAATTTAAAAAAATGAAAAGTATTGTATTTCAACTTGGTGCCTTTGATTCTTAGATCATTATTCTTCTATAAAATGGATCGACGTAAGATTCAGCGACAAGCTGCCTCTTTGAATGATAAGCTATATTCAGAAAAGCAACTACATTATATTGGGCGGGTTAAGATCTTACTATCTAACTTGAGATTTACTACTACCAACGATCGGAGAAAGCAATTTCCTGATAAAAAAACTATCAAGAAGCTAGTTCAAAACTTCGCGTCGGAGGAGGAGAATCATGTCTTGGCACTGATATCGAAAGATGTGCTCCAAAATGCGCTCCGAAGATCAAACTTGACCGCAGAAAGTATTCGGAAAGCAGAGCCTCCACCAAAACTCATAATCGAAACACCTACACCATTAAAATGTCTCTATGGAAGAAACCGCTTGCAAGCTGCACACAGACTCCTTGAGTATGGAGAAGATTGGTTGATTGTTGATTTATACTCCGATGGTAAGCAAAGATCCATTAAGAAGGCCTGCATTTTGAGATCTGATAATTATGGTAAAGAATGCAGCCTCACACTTCAGAATCACTTTCAAGAAGGTTATTCAAATTCTACATATTTTTGTGACGGTGAGATACTTCGTCACATCCGTCTATATCAGGACACCCAGGATATCATCAACGAAAACAAATGGTGGGCTCGTTTGTCACAAGATAAGAAGAAGGATCTTAAACGTATTATCAACATTACAGCGTTCAGAGATATATTTGATGATTTGATGAACATCACTGGTTTATGGCCAGCTTTTCATATTGGAACTTTCAGACGATATTTAATCATAAATTGTCATGAGGTAAATTACTTGTATGGCCTAAGCCTATGTTTCTAACTCGAGATTCAGGAACTTTTAAACTATTTACAGAGAATTTACAAAGTATGGTCAATGATTGTAGGAGGTAATCAGTCACTTATGCGGCATATCGATCTTATGACAGTAGAGACGTTAGAGCTCAGAGCTCCAAAAACTTCAAGTGAAGATGCTAAGATAATTTTGGAAGCTATGGAGAAACGAAAGATATTTCGTTTTGTGGACGACCCGAAGCTGCGGAAGTCCATATCTTGCAACATCTTACAAGTCGACTACCTTGTTCCATCACTCCGGACCTTTTGCGAAGACACTAAGTACCTCGAACCATGTTCGAATGCAGTGAAGCTACTTGTGAGACTCGAGCACAAAGAAACCGTGGATAAGGCCCTTCGCAGAATATATAATCCTCCTGAAAGTACAGCCGGCATAGTTACCGTACAGGACAGTGAGAACAGCTTCACAGAGGTCGAGTCGAGCGACAGTATGCGATTTCATATTGCTAAGCTGCAAATTTTCTTGGCAGCTTTCCGAAATTTTAATAATATAGTCAACATCGCGTGCAGAAAGGACCTAGAAGAGGCAAAGCCGATGGTTGCCGTGCCTAATCTAATTGTCATCTATCAATTCGCAAAATTAGCATATAAATTGGGCTTTGATTCTGATCAAGTACAACGACTTTTGTCTATAGATCCCCGTATCGAAGAAATATACTCTTGCTTAGTTCGCCTCGATCCTAGCAAAGAGAAAAATGAAGAAGAACTTCGTTTACGAGCTCAAAACTACGCTACAATTTGGAACAAAGATAACGCAGTGAAAGATTCGAATATGAGCACAGTCAGCAATCATCCGTTACTGACTGATAGAGATCAAGATCAAACACTGGCCCAGAGATGTGGGAGACCATTTCAAAAGGCGCATATCCAAGATAAAGAGTTCCTGTTTTTACGTCATATTTATAGCTCTGACAAGACAACTGGTCGATATATTACGTCATTTTATGTAAAACAAGCAACTTTTATCGCATTCTTCGGGGATTTTAAAATAGATGATCTTCAAGAGCCTAATCCATTGACATCCAGGGATGAATATGACACGGGGGGAGCAGGAGCAGTTATCGATGAGTATATGAGGGCCGTTCCACAGGAATTTGATAATGAAGACTTGATGGATGTGGAAAACGATCCTTTGACGATACCAGCGCAGAACCATCATGTGTCTTCATTAGGAAACCGATCTAGTGATATTGAAATGGGAGGTGATAATGACAGTCAGGAAATTGCAAATTCTCATAATTCCGAGCCTGCGCCAATTAGCAATTTAGAAATGGTCTTTTTCCATGGCCCAAAAGGCGAGGAAGATCAGGTACCACTCGACCCACAGCGATTGCTAGAGTATATCAAAGCATTGCCAAACAATTCGCTCATTATCGAGAATCACGGTAGCCAATCGACCGTAGTACCAGCGCACTGTTATAATTTTCTAAAACAGACTGGCATTCGGAATATTCAATATAGCCCTATGATTCGTCCAACAAGCCTGACATGGACGGGACAGGGTTTAAACCCAGAAGAAGAGGAAGAATTGTAATGCTTATAGAGGCGAATATCTATTTAGACATACGCAATAGTTTCATGTATATCTTGATTGAAACACACGTAGATCAATCCTACATGATAGATAATTCCATTATATATCGAGTTTATTGATTTTTAGTGATCATTCTATAGGCTGTCGTACAGGATGTCGGATGATAAGCGAAGAACTATGTTCCCGCCAAGTGATCTAAAACTTCTCCATAACGCTTCCTCCCCAGCACGGGTAAGCAAGCCAGTGAGAGCATCTACGGATCTCATTCAAAAGATTGCAAACTTGTCAAATGCCGAAGTCGCAAACATAACATCGTCGAGCAGCAGGTCAACAGCTCAGGCAACCCGCGACATGAAAATGTCAAAACCGACTTCACGGCCCAGCGATCATGACAACAAGGGTAAAATGGCGGCACATCAATTAAAGAAAGATAATCCCTGGTCTTCATATCAAGGCTTAGTGTATACGGATGATAGAGGTAACTCTGTTGGCGCGTTTCATCTCCGCAAGAGTAATACTCTACGCAGTATTGTGCGAGTTAGCCCCTCGCTGGATGAATCGTGGGTCCACGAGCTACTCAAAATTGAGCATAAGCATATTGTACGTTTGTGGGAAGTATTCCAATTTGATAAAGACAGCTTCTTGGTTTATGAGATGATGGACATGTCCTTACAGGCTTTGGTGGCATGTCAATTGGCTTTCAGAGAACCTCAAGTGGCGAGAGTATGCGCAAAGGTTGAATAGATTAACCTTGATGAGTAAACAAAAGCTGACTAATTTCATAGATCCTTCAAGCCATTCGTTATCTTTCGGATAAGCATCTTTTTCATAATCATATCAATACTTCTAATATTCTAGTCTCTAGGAATGGCGAGATAAAACTCAGTTGGTAACCCTAACCTCCACTTCAATGATTAATTACTAATATTTTTACTTAGGTCAAATTCATATATGTTCACGAGAAACTGAGGACAGTGAATTTGCGAACTCTTTTGATTTATGGTCGCTTGGTCAAGTAATGTTGGAAATGATGGAGCCAGATTCAGCAATACTTCCTACCTATAAGCCCGGTGATACTTTAAAGCTTACGTTATCAAACGACTGGTCACCACAAGCTAATGATTTTCTCCGGAACACGTCATCAGTATCTGTCATCAATCTTCCGAGCTTTATCACTGATCTTTCAAAACATGTATTTCTTAGAAAAATAGACGCTGATGATAGTGCTTTAGATGTTAATGTTTGGCTTGGGCATCTAACTGGAATGAGAATATGGTCACCTATAGCTGATGATTAGTCGGAGTCTTTTCTCGGCCAATAACTAAAAAGCACTGAGATCGCGTGGCGGGGCCATAGATTGATTCATCTTTAACGAGTTAAAAGATCGGGGAGGCTGGGGCTTTTAACTTTACGGGAGAAGATCAGTTCTCTACACCGTTTAATTTATCGTCATTCAATTAGTGTTTTACCCCGTGTCATTTTATTATCATATCCGGATACCATCAAAAACACTCTTCATAAAGATATTATTAAGTAGATTCGAAAGCATTAATCTATGTTGCAACATAACCGCTGGGTCATCAAGTAAACTACAATTTTCATGATTAGTCTATTCAAAATTGATCATTTCATTGGAGACTGATCTGAATCATTTAATCAGTCTCTAAATTTTAGACCAATCTTTAGAAATACAATAAGATTACACATCGTTTAGAGAATAATCTCTTTTGAGAGATTATTCTCATCTAAAGTATTAGTCTATTCAAAATTGATATACATCGTTTAAAGAATAATCTCTTTTTAGAGATTATTCTCATTTAAAGTATTAGTCTATTTAAAATCTATTATTTCATTGAAGACTAATCCGAATTATATAATCAGTCTCTAAATGTTAGATCAACCTCTAGAAATACAATAAGATTATACATCATTTAAAGAATAATCTTTTTCGAGAGATTATTCTCATCTAAAGTATTAATCCATTTAAAATCTGTTATTTCATTTGAGACTAATCTGAATTATATAATCAGTCTCTAAATTTTAGACCAATCTCTAGAAATACAATAAGATTATATATTGTTTAGAGAATAATCTCTTTCGAGAGATCATTCTCATCTAAGAATTTTAGACCAATCTTTAGAAATACAATAAGATTATACATTGTTTAGAGAATAATCTATTTCGAGAGATCATTCTCATCTAAAAAATTTAGACCAATCTTTAGAAATACGATAAGATTATACATCGTTTAGAGAATAATCTCTTCTAACGATCGAAAGCATATCTTTAAATCATTACTAAAGACTAGTCCGTTAAAATTAATCATAGTAGACAATAGGATTAATTAGACATTTACTAAATAAACAGAAATGCTTATTAGATACAATTCTGAACTCACTAGTGTAGTCACGCAGATGTCTAAGTCTTGTCATACCTAGACCCCTTGTCTAGGTATGACAAATAGATAGTCACGTGATCGACCCCTACATCGGTTTTCGTTGCAAAATAAGACCTTTCTTCCTTAGTATAGTTCTGTTGTCTGACTATTGATCTTTGAGACTATTCCCATGCTGCTCCTTGTGATACGCGTGACAAATCTTATATTATCCACCCTCTTATCTCCTTCTCTCTTATTTCTTGCTTTCTAAAGATATAAATATCTGGATTGTATATACGAAGCCAGGCTTATAATTTCAATTACAGGCATTATTATGTTGAAATTATTTCATCCTCTAAAGCAGCTTCATTTAAAAATGCCTCCCCCTATACACAATCAAAGACAACGACGAAACGCAATTTCCGGTAATGATGAACTAGTAAGACTTCGTGAAGAGATGTTTCGTTTAGATGCGCCTCACGGGGAAGATGCTCGTGATCCTCGACACGAATACGGAGAAACCAGTTATATCAATATGCTGCTTCAACTTGATAATATACCTCAGATTTACAGCATCTTAGCCAGTTTCTTTACGTGGATTCTACTCGCTGGATATATAGTATTACCAGCTACGTTTACGTCACTACAGAGTTCTCGCATTCCAACATCGGAGATAAGTAAAGCTGGAAAGTTGATTTTAAAGACATATCAAAATCTTCCACTGTTGTGGATAGCGGCTATTCTCTGTGCTATTGGGGCATCTGGTATGGGGTGGTTATGGTGGATGTGGAAAATGAATTATATATGGATTTTGAATCGAATTATTTTGTAAGTACCCATTTATCGTATAACAATTTTAACATTAATCAGAGAATTAGACCAGGCTTCCTTCATTCTATCACAGGACTTCTCACTACAATAATAAACATCTATACCGCTCGAAGTGGAGATTGGTCTGTAACTGCTATCATTACTGCTAGTGTAACAGGCTTTTGCACAGTATTCTTATTGGTACAATTATTATTCTACAACTTCTGGTTACTTCAAAAGATTAAGAAAGAGCATAAAAGGCAGATTAGTCAGATTGAACTAAATAGGCATCATAATATTGGGAGTGCTCTATGATCAGGAATCTACAACTCGATAATAGGTATAGATACTTTTAGTTACTCCCTAATTATTGAAACATTGCATATCTTCTTATATATAAATTGACCATCTATAACTAGCTATATATTCGTTTTTTTTCTTCTTTAAAAGATATTGTTTCATTACTCGTATCAAGATTGAGTGCCCAATATACTAGAATACTTTATTGTCTATATTGGACTGAGTACTGCTATGTCGGTCGTATCTTCGATTGTAACTTCTTCTTTATCCTGTCCTATATCTCCCCAATCGGAATCTTTAGTCACAGTAACTCCTCATCAGCAGTTTGCGAGTTCTATAGGGGTCCTAGGATGCATGATTGATACCAATCGTGTTGCATATTGGCCGTCACCACCTGATTGCGGCGATACTTTGTGTATCAAAGTAACCTACAATAATCGTTCAGTGAACCTCCTGCATATCGATCACTCTGGCGGTGCTTATGATATCTCCTACGATGCATGGAATTATCTTTATGTAGGGGAGCCTGCTACTCAAAATCCTCAACAAGGTGGAGGGATTTCTGCAAAATATACCATTTTACCTATGTCGGAATGTGCAAATATTATAACATCTCCAGACAAAAGGCTTCCTCTGTCCGCAGCTAATTCTATGAACTATGTTTCAAGTTGCCTATCACAATCTAACTCATGGACTGCGAGTAACTCTGGATTGTGGAATATTGCGACATCAGCTTGCACATTCGGGGTTAAAGAGGAATGTGTATTAAATCTCGCAACCTCAAATCAACCTGTATGTCCTCATCAATTAGGGCTACAAATACCCTTGAGAACATTACCTGTTTTTGATATTGAATATGGAACAGGTAATAAGGTCTTAGCTGTTTAATGAAGCAAACATATGAGGCGAGGAAAATGATTCCTAATTAATGCATGAAAGCTTTCTTATTTAGGTACAAAGTTTAGTAATCGAGTTTCATTCTTTAAAATGACTAGTTCTTGGATTCTAAAATAGTATCTGCCGCTACTTATTCATTCATTTTCCGCTATAAATAAGGAAATATTTAACCTTGAAGCTCTTCTTACCAACAATTGAGCCCATTCGCAAAAATGATCAAAATATTATCAAATACAACAAAACGACGAAGTGAGAGATTGAGAAGACGAAAGACAACTCTTTTCAAGAAGGCATTTGATCTAGGTAGAGATTATGATGTGGATGTTGCGGTTATTATACGTCAACATGGAAGATATTATACATTTAGATCTATGGATAACTTATCATGGCCACCATCAATGAATGAAATTGTAAGTGATTATCTGTAAGAGTAATCATTTATTCCGGATACTGAATTAATAGGAAACTTCATATCCGCTTCCAAAAAATATGCTGCCACGAGATATTCAGAACAAGACATTCAACAGCGGAAGACACATTTCATGATGTAAGTATTAAAAAAGGAATAGCGTTGTCAAATGCAAATAGGACTGAAAACTATTCAGGCTGAAATTATAATGGTCTCGCAATTATTGGTTGAAAGACAGGGAAGCCAAATATTTGTTAGGCTTAATCTTTTGTTTGAAAAGGAAAAAGTGACAGCATCTTGTCTTGAGGACTTCATTATACTACAATAACAATACATACAATCTCTAAGACACGAAGAGAGAATGATTAAACAATTTTAAAGCTCAACCTTAATTACTCGTGGTGTTGCACTTAAGAAAATATATGGGACTTTCATTCCAATGAATTCTCTACACTTGGGGCATTGAAATTTATCTGAGCCTGGCTGGGATTCAAGGTATTTCTCCATGCATTCTATGCAGAACCAATGCCCTAAGTAACATTAGCCACATAAAATGCAATATAACTTTGCTTCATATTCAATTCTTACCACAATTCAAACGTGGCTTTTCAATACCAAAAAGTGTTGCTAATGCTTGAAAACATATTTCGCATTCGAGTCCCCATGTCCTGTACGCTGTTTGCGATTGCATGACGAAATGATCTTTCCTCCAACAAAAGACACCTGCCACTTCATTCAGGCCTGTACGCGAGTTGCGTATATTCCCTTCGTACACACACGAAGGTGATAAAACACAGACGCCACAGAGCATCTATTGGTAATTACAATTAATCTCAACCACTTTTAAAGACCTGAAGTGATTACTCACACAACCGCAAATACCTAAAGCATACATATGACATTCGATGCCATCACCATCCCCTAAGACTCGAGAACAGCCTACGCAGCATACAACGTCTGTTGTCAAATCGATAACCTCGATATATTGACAGTGAGTAGATGGCGGAGTTGCGCTTGGTATGCTCATTGTCAAATCAATAATCTCAATATTTCGACAGTGAGTAGATGGCGGAGTTGCGCTATGCTTGTTTCTCGTCAAATCATGACTCTTTGCGGACCAACTTGAAATGATTATCGAATGAAGATTTTTGATCATGAAGGATTGAAAAGTGACTTGACTATTTCATAATTTTTCTCACATCCTCGCTTGATTGAACCTATCGAATGCCCTGGTCATTTGTCTTGGTAGTCTTAATTCGTTTCTATCCCGTTTAGTTCATATCTTATTTAAGCATAACACAACCATCACGATATGATATTATTTAAATATTAAAACAATTGCGAATGCCTCATTCGTTGTGGCATTAAACTTCGTGATCATGAAGTTATATATTACTCATTATCTATTTCTTTTCAAGCTTTATTTCTATACAGCGTCCTCATTAGACAATACGAGTGACAACTATAGAAGTGTTGGTTATTATGTCAATTGGTTGAGTCCTTCAATTCAAATCTGTATTCTATTATTAAACTTCTTATAGGGCAATTTATGGAAGACAGTTCTTCCCGCAAGAGCTACCTGTGGCAAATCTCACGCATATATTATATGCATTCGCGAATATTAACCCAGAATCCGGGGCTGTGTAAGCTAACAATCTTTTATTATTATTATTATTATTATTGACATTCTTCTAGATACTTGTCGGATCTTTGGGCAGACATAAATGCTCCGCTATTGGGTGATTCCTTAAATAGCTCAGACACTAACTTATACGGCTGTCTACAACAGATGTACATACTGAAAAAGCAAAACAGAAACCTTAAAGTTCTACTGTCCATAGGTGGATCTACATACTCTTCAAACTTCCCTCTTGCAATATCTACTATTTCTAAGAGAACGACATTTGCCTCCTCTGTTGTTTCTCTAGTTGGAAACTTAGGTCTGGATGGTGTCGACATTGATTGGGAATATCCTGCAGATGATATACAAGCAAACAATTTCGTATCTTTACTTCAAACAGTCAGAGATGCTCTCGATAAGTTTAGCAATCTTTCAAAAAGTCCCTACCACTTTTTACTCACAGTTGCTGGTCCTGCTTATCCTAATGTATTTTGGAAGTTATCGGAAATGGACCAGTATGTAGACTTCTGGAATTTTATGGGATTTGACTATTCTGGCTCTTGGAGTTCTGTTACAGCACACCAATCGAATCTATCTCCGTCTGGCAATGGATCAACACCATTTAATACGGAAGCAGGGGTTAGTTATTATATCTCTCACGGAGTTGCATCAGATAAGATTGTTTTGGGAATGCCTATATACGGAAGATCATTCGAGGAGACTGAGGGCTTTAACAGTGATTTCCAAGGTGTCGGACAAGGCACTTGGTCTCAAGGGGTCTATGATTACAAGGCACTGCCTCTCTCAGGAGCTACAGAGATTTACGATGAGACAATTGGTGCAAGTTACAGCTGGGATTCCTCTAAGCTGGAAATCGTTACTTATGATAATCCTGCGGTTGCTGCTCAAAAAGGTAAATGGATCCAATCCATGAACCTCGGTGGCGCAATGTGGTGGGAGACTAGTGCGGATGGAAAAGACTCCAGGAGCTTGATTGGGATTATGATTGAAACATTTGACGGTCACATACAGAATATCACAAACACGCTGTCATTTCCAAATTCCTCTTACCTGAACATTAGAAATGGCATGCCAGATTATTCAAAGCTACCGATACAGATCGAGACTTCGATCACAACTCATCGTTGGAGTAGCAGTGCAGCGGTATCGTTGGGCACATCTCCGACTTCGGATTGTTCTTCAGAAATCACCAATTTTTCATCAAAGACCATATTAGATAGCACTGCTCTACTCCCCGAGACAACGATCTCCAGCACGGTCCTAGGAAGTACTGCTCCCTGTTCAAGCAGTTCTTTCGCCAACACAGCCCCTTCATCTGCAATAATATCTTCTGTTTTGAGCCTTTCTTCGGAAACTCCCTTAGAGACCTCATTGGATAGCACGGCTTTACTTCCCGAGACAACGATTTCCAATACGATCCTAGGAAGCACTGCTCCCTGTTCAAGCAGTTCTTTCACTAGCACAGCCCCTTCATCTGCAGTAACATCTTCTTTTTCGAGCTGCTATTCAGAATTTGTGACGAACACAGCCCCATCCATCGGATTTACGGCTCCTTCATCCGGCGGTCAGGCACCATTCTCCAATCATTCACACACTCACACAGCGGGTTTTCAAAGTTTGTCTTCCACAAGTAGTTGTTCATTTGCCAGCAGTTGCTCCATTATCACTACCACCTACTCCTTTTCAACTTCAACAACTATCACTTCGGCTACAACAACTAGCGTGTCGTTTCCTATCTCTATACACTCCGTGATAATTTGCACATGTCAGAACCGTTATTTTGGAGTCAAATATGCCACCGCTGGCGCAACTACAACAACTCTTTGTGGAAATTTCGACGCAATTCCCACTGGCTTCACATTAATTTCTCCAGAGAATTCATATGTTCAGCTTACTACAGCAACTACAGATTTTCGGATTACAATAACAACAACAACGACCCTTCCGACTAGAACAACTACCATACCAATATCAACCCGGGAGATTATCGTTACAACAGTAACGTCAACAGCTGCCAAGCGGAGCTCTGGGTGTAGTAAAAAGCTATCCTGCACTCCAAATAGCACTGCTATTGAAGCGGCTAATTACTCGCCTACTGGTTCACTTTGTGCGTTGGATATAAACAACGACTTAGTATGTATCGAAAATTCTGTATGTCTATCCAGTCCGTCTTGTACTGCTAATGACGATTGCGCTCATGGGGAGATATGTGTATCTGTTTGTTGTCAGCGTGCTTGTTATATGGATGACTCCACATGTATGTCGCAACATTGTGCAAAGTTGGGAGCTGGATGCTTGGATTCGAGCTGAATATGGATGGGTCGATAGCGATCTTCGGGAGAGAATAAGAAAGAGGATGTAGTATTCAGACTGGCTAGCTTTAGTAGATAGGATAAATTTTGGTATGAATATGTCGCATGTATGCCGGTCTAGAACGTGACAACAAACGGATGCAGGGCGTTAACCATCAGCTGATCGTCAAGATTAGCCGAGTAGGTATAATAAGGGCCACTCATCCTCATCATCTTCATTTCAACCTTTGTTCTTTATTTGCATTCTTCACAAAGTTTCACTTGATCGAAAAATATCGAAATGGTGTCAAGCAGTTGTTATATGCCAGATTCAATTGATTGGGACGACTGGATTGAGTTGGATGATTTGTCTTCCCCTGTAAACACTAAAATACTGGAAAGCGACGTCGACGACTCTCATTCAAATCCTGAAGCCTTGAGTATGGAAGAGGGCTACTCTCAAGTCAGTTCTACCATGAACCAGGCCCAATCAGACCTCACAACTTCGACGACAGCATCTCAGGCTATTCAATCCATCACCAGCATGCCTCAAACAGATTTTGAATCTTTAACTACAGCAACCCCAAAGAAAGATGTTTCTATGAAGAAAGACCAGATTCAGGTGTGTCAAAATCATCACTGAAATTTTAAGTGTGAGTAAACTACTGATCAAATTAATAAAGAAATTACAGAAATTGCGAAATGACTTACAGAAAGGGTTGTTGATCCAAAGGAATGATGTAGAAGAGAATATGATGGACGAAATGCTTTTCTCCCTATCCACCTTCGCGAATCTGTGCAAACCAACAATTTCCATTCCTGATACGAGAATTTCAGAACTACTTGCAAAGGTTTACAATCTCAGAAACCATATCCATAAGCATCATATACCATTCCAAGAACGAGTGAAGATTATCCTCGATAATCTTTTTAAGATCCTGGAGTCTGATGAGAATATCAAAGAATCAAAATTGAAGCTCGAAGAATCACAACACTTTGTGGTCGACATAAATGATCCAAAGGATACTTATGCAACTGAGGTACACCTTTCAAAGGCTTTGGTGAAGGGGTTTGCAAAAAGTAATGAACTGGTATGTTTAGATATCCTATCATGATGGAACAAACATTGACAGGTTATTAGAGTCCAGTATTACCACAGAAGCTAGTCGTGGATTTGACCGAATCAGATGATGAAGAATCTGAGACATCATCTCAGGCAAAAGCCCAACATCTGAGGCCATCCAAGCTAAAGAAACGTAAGCGTTCAGATCATTTGGAAGCCAGTCCCAGTAAGTTGTATTCATTCAATTTATTACATGGTAATGATAATTTCTGAGAGCTGATTTATCTTTAAATGTGACAGTATCTTTACAGCGCACGAAACGGAAGCGGATATTTAAAAATTACTTACCGCAAGAAAATGCATGGATGGCGAAGACATTAAATTGGATCGATGAGAAAGTCAACGAGAATATTGGGGAAACGATCATAATAAAGAGATCTGACTTGTTGGAGTTAAAGAGTGAGGTGGAGGCTTGGCGTATGGAGGATTTGAATGTTACGGAAAGATTGTCTGGATGATTTCTTTTTATTACATGTATGTTATCAAGATAGTTTGAAATATGTGTTTTCTTAAAATATCTTCTGTCAGACGACAAACTTGGCCTAAGTTACAAAAAACGATGATGAATACAGGAATTCCGCCATTTTTAAATTGTAGTAGCAATGTATAATTTTGATTGATGGAAGTGAGTAACGAGAGAGTCAGTATCTAGAAGGGGAGAACTATTAAATCGCTCCGTGCCCTCCTCATTATTCCCTTGTGTTTGCCGATCTTACCCAAAGCTTGGACCCCTATAGATTTCGGTTCAATGTACGGCCCCCCCTAAACCCTTTGCTCAAATCAATGCAAACGCCTAGCTGCCCGAATTTACAAATTCAGTTGATTGAAATGGTTCAAGTAATGCTGCAGGGAACCAAATCTTAATTCGGTGCCTATTTCAGATTGAACTCAAGTAAGCTTCTTTCGAAAAAGTAAAGATTATGGATAGAATGATTGGTGACTGAATCAAAATTTCGAAACTAGGATGACTGTGCTACTTTGGTGTTGACTTAATTAGTACTTCCTAATTTTTAAAGAGAAAAAAGACTACCAACCCACTTCAAATGAACTAGTTTTATATATGAGATAAATCAGATTGTGACTTGACAAGATTACACGATATCTACTTAAATATCTGAAGAATGACCACGCTTACTTCTATCCCTGGTTCGGACAGTATATTGCCACAGCGCAAAATGAACTAATTCATTACCGTGTAATTACAGGATGAATCTTCCAATGAAGAGGATATGTCAGATTTAGAAAGTAGTGATCTACTCCCAAGAGAAAAACTCTCTCCTATTTCGAATCGAGAATATTTTTGTACTTTGTTTGTGCAAGTTCAGAAACAACTTCAAGTTTCCGAGAAAAGACGTGCTGGTTTATTGAAGAAGGAAAGCGGACTAATAGATAAAAAACGGCGTTACATCATTCTCAGTCAAAAAACAGTAACATCAATCCGTAATATACGCTCATCCAGAGGGAATTCAAATCAAACAAAAGGTGGTGAATGAATTGGTTCTAAGCGCTCAATACCTATCACAAAGAAATCACGACCAAGTTCCAACAAGCCTCTCACGAAAATCATCCCAACAAGGCCTTACGGTTGGCATAGAAACTCGAACCGGTCAAGAGAAGATGTTTCTCCTGAACCACCAAGAAAAACGATCCTACAATCATTATAGCATCGCCCTGTGCACAGCTCATCTCACTAGCCTCTTTCTCGAAACAGGTAATTGTGATTTGGAAGCATGCATAGATAGATGCATCTGCGGAATATGGTCAAGATAAGTGGAATCAGAAAATGAAAATCTTACATGCAGGATACATCACAATGCAATCCATCTAATTTGACCCTTTGAAAACTTCCATTGGAATGGATACATCTCTCTAATTTTTATTACCCATCTCATCATCTTGATCCCAGCTACTTTACTACTCTACCTTTCTCAATCGCTCCAAGGTCACCTAAATCTGCGCTGTATGTGTTCGTGATTTCGATGGGTATGACATCCTTGGTCCCCTAGCGCTCTAAGTCCATGGCAATCACCTTCAAGCCTGCAATCGTAGTTTTCAGTCCAATATTATGCTTGCTAGTTCAGATATATATATTAATAGTCGCATGAGTCGAGTCTTAGGCACCTGGCCACTGTAATATAACCCCCCTTTCTTATTTTTCTTTCAGCTTCACCACTGGGATATACAGAAAGGGGTTGTATACGAAGATGGTAAATGTAACTTTCTGCTCAGGTGAAAGACAGGGGAGGGGTTTCGTGAATCGCGCAAAGGGCCCCTAAAAATTGAAATTACTAATATTCAAACATCTTCATACTCATGCAAGGGGAACTTCTTCTTATATATAAATCTTGTTTTCTTATATCTATTATATTCCTTAGAACTGTAGACTTGCTTCTCCATCCCTCATCCTACTAATTAAATATGTCTCTATCAAAAGCCTTTGCGGACATCATTTTTAATATTTTAGAAGGGAACTCTTCGATTGATGTTGAGAACTCTGAGGTGTGTATGTCTCCAGTATCAATCTCGCGTTAACTTAGTTGGATGACAGATACTCTGCAATGCCATCAAAGAATTTCTTGGTAGACGCACAACAGAGGAGTGTTGGAAGCTCATTCCAGATGCTCACCAAGCTACTCTCCTTGAAAGCTTGGGGCTCGTGAAATCACGAACAAATTCTGCAACGAGACGGATTCATTCCACACTAAGGCAAGAGATTGCTGAGTGTGTGAAACTCTCTGATAAATACATCATGGACCACTTTGAAAGCCTCAACCCAGAAATTTCTAAAGATTTACATCGATTTGTTGCAGCCATTCGAGGTTTCCAATTTACTATAATGATGTCCGACAACTACTATCCTACACCGTGGTCTTTGGATCCTAATATATTTGGCGACCCTACATCTAGAATGTCGAGATTCTCTCGATTACATGAAGGTACGAAGAAACTGAAAGCCGGTTCTTGGGCATGGCGTCTCGCATTATTGTGTTTCAATCATGAAGTTGAATATAACTTCTCAGCAATGCTTCTCCATGAGGAAACTGACACCAGAAATTTCGAGGGCATCATCTATGAAAAAATTGCCGAATCATTTAATATGTCTACAAAATACTTCAAAAGAAGACGGAACACTGCTGTATTTTACACAAAACTTCTTGTGCAAGCAGGTCCAGGCTCTATTCTTATGATAGGAGAGAACTCGAATCATTTGTGAGTTGGCATCCATATATAGAAAGTTTATTAACTTACATTTCATATTCCAGGTGGCAAGAATCAATAACGTTAGATGAGATTGATAAGATCGTTAATTTCATAAAAGACCAACTTCCCAAATGCTATCATCGTATCAAATCCTTTGATCAGACGGCAGCTGAGATGATAGTGTCCGGGCTTTGTGCTTATGGTTGGACTCTTGCCGAACTTCGACAAACTCAAAGCTCATTACTCTCGGAGCTTCGAAAACACATCGACTTCGAAAAGTGCGAAGATAACAGCTTGAGGGAAATGAGGCATACTGATGCTACCAGCGTGGTTCATCGAAATAATGAGAACGCAGAATCTACGCCGGAACCAAGAGCCAAAAGACGAAGAGAAGATATGATCAGCGTGGTTCACCAAAATAATAAGCGCGCAGAGCCTGAGCCGGAACCTATGGCCAAACGACAAAAAGGGACTGTGAAGAAGAATATGGCTTGTGATTATTGCCACAGGTGCGAAGAGCTACAATTGTATCGTGGAAGTTTCTAACATGTATATTTTTAAGGAAAAAAACAAAGTGTGACGAAAACCGGCCTTGCAATTCCTGCCTCTGTGCAGGCTTACCATGTGAATACGTAAGATATCATCTCAATCGTCCTAGAAAAGCATGTGCCTGCCGACTATGCACGGAAACACTGGTAGTTTTACCCGAACAGAAAAGTTCAATCATTTGCAACAGAGAAGCTATGTATACAGACGTGTGTAACGATTCTACGAGTCAGGGCTCGTCGGATTACTCAATTACTCCGATTGGAAATGAATCCACAGATTCAGACCCAGGGAAGAGCACAAGGCAAACATATTCGCACCTCGGAGCTGCTGTTGCCCTGTGGTGGCAGATTCCGTAGGTGACGAAGTATTCATTTTGTCACTGTAAGGGAATATTCAATACTTTAATACTATATTGAATAAAGCGTTTTTACTATATTAATGTGATTAAACTTTTGTACTATATATGACGAAAGTTTTTTATTCATTGGGGTCTTAGTGAAATTTCGAAAAATTTCTTGATTTTCGAAAGTTCCACTCTTTTTAAATCGAATTCGAATAAGAAAATAAGAATTCAATTTAAAAAGGATATAGGCTAGAATCATTGTGATCTCTTGTTAATATGATACATTCTGTATGGTATGGTACAGTGGTAAAGCTTGTGATTGAAGAATAACTCAGAAGTGATATGGATCCACTCCCCTTTAAGCTTTCGGCTAATGCCTCTAGCTTACTCTCTGGCTCTTGCGCTTGCTCCCCTTAATCTCTCTGATCCTCTCTTAGCCTCTACCCTAGCCCTTACGCTTATACCCCCCGTCCCCTCTCTTATAAACTCTAATTTCGAATCCAAAAGCTCTAAGGGAACTCCTCTTGGGCTCGAATTTTCACTTTTTCTATTAAAATTCAATATAAAACGGGTCGCATTTTGTGCCGATATTATTCGTCACTAACGAATTGATCGTTTTGTCAATGACGAAAAAAGTATTAATATCGTCATATACACAATAGAAATTACTATGGGGATTTATATTGAATTTCTCTTCGTCCGGAAGATTAACTTTGCCACCACAGGGTTGATCAACAAATAGGTAGACGCTTTTTTTGATACATCTTCCAAACAACTGGTTCCAGACATTTTGATACTAATCATGATATATCTATAGTATTGGATCATGATTTTGAACCATCATCGTCGATAATACAACTATCTTCTCCTCAGAACACAAGGTTCTGGAACGAATATGGCACAAGTAAGATACCATTATATTAAACATGATTAGTGTAATCATCAGTACAATACTAATATAGGACAGATTGGGAGCCTGAAGGCCCCCAAGAACATATCACAAACGCTGCTGCTGTTCCGATGATTATTCAGAACCAAAATAATCTAAGCATGTTCGCTATGCCTTCTGCCGCACCAGCCATCGATCCGTGGATGTACGCTATCCAACTTGGTTTACCAAACCAGCCCGAACCACCCGCCGAACTATTTTATATGCCAAACAGCAATCCATGAATATCTACTGTGGGCTGGTTAGCAATCCGAGTTTATTATATCTGTTTGTACCAGCTCCATCAGCATGCTTACTGAATTCCTCTGGATTATATGATGCATACCTCATTCACAATATTGATTCCGTGAATTATTGTGCAGAGATTGCAAAGCAAGTGAAGCCTGGTTCTATGGATGCATCTTTGGTTAAATAAATGCATGTACCAATAGTCAGGTCTTGTTTTTCAATAGTGGGTTTGTTGAATGTAATGGCAGTAGGAATCAAGAAGACTGTACTTGGTACAGGTAAAGTTGAGGGTTTATTATATCGAAGAGCCAAAAACTTTTTGTCATTTCTATTGAGCTATATTCGGAGGTTTATTTTAGTCTATTTGTATGGAAATGTAACAAAAGGATAATGCATACCTTCGTTGATACTCCGGACTTGCAGCTGAAACTTTGCACAACACTATCGAAGCCACTTAAGTCAACTATAGTATCTGAGTTCTCCCTTAAAGGTGCAGCGTCCAGCGATCTCATACACTCTGTGACAGAATCAATTTCTTCTTTGCTTAGTTCAACTCGTTAAGGGCATCAACCACAATGACTATGTTGGAAAGCTTCTGAGAATCGGTTTGTATCTTCTTTAACGGCTGCAAGACAAGTGCGTCGAATTGTTGCTTCAAAGCCTTCCCAGAGATTCCTGGATCAGATTTGATCGCATCCTGAACATGTGGTGCTAAGGAAGGTAATTTTTGGACAAGTTGAATAACAATCGTTGCAAAAAACAATCCTGTGTGACCACGGTCGCCTTTACCCCTCTTGAAGAAGAAACTAGCGCCGAGATCTCCCTTATCGGCAAAGTTTTGGGCCACGGTGCGGGAGATTGTAGATTTGCCAGTGCCCGCCATACCATTGAGCCAGAATACGCATTCGCTGCTTTGATTTCTAGCCCAGTTATATATGTGCCAAAGGAGTTCTGATCGTGTGCCTTGGTAGCATCGGGCATTGTACTCTTCGTCGTGGGAGTCAAACGCAGCGTTGTTGACAGATCGCAGTGTATCAAGTACAATTTTTTTGATGGATGTTAAGAATTTGTATCCTATAAATATTATCGTCAACTTTTGCTATTTGTAATACGAATGCAATCACATACTCTTGGTCGACTTGGAGGTTGAAAGACATGTTGGCCTTGCAATTTTCGAGTTTCTTTATAAGATTATCCACCTCTTTGCTATTGAAAGGCCATTTCAAAGCGCGTTTCCCAAAGCGACTCATTAACTTGTCTGTTCCTCGAAGCTCAAGCTTTGCCTCCAGCTGGGCGAGCTGCTTCTGGCAGTCCTCCACTCCCTTACGCAAGCCCTGCGGATCTTGAAGTCTCACACCATTTAGACCTTCGCATATTGAACAGACTCTCTCAAGTATTGCTTTTAATCCTTGGGCCTTTCTTTGAAGGCGTCCGATATCGTCTCGAGCATTCTTGACATTCGTATAGTACTCAGAGCACCGTGAGGCAACCTTTACAGATAAATCAATAACTGCGATAACACTAGAGACAATTCCGAGAGCCTCTGCTATTATTATTGCAACAAAGCAAACGATGAGAGTGTGTAATAGACATCTTTGTTCGTAAGGCTGAGGTTCGAGTTGGGACGAGGTTGCATACGTGGCTGAGGACTAAGGTCAAATCTCTATACAGTAGTACTCCATCGCAAAATCCACTTTTTGTTGTAGAACTCCACCAATCGCTTGTCTTTTGGGTCCCGTGTTGAAGAGGCAGTGCAAACTTTCTTTCCATGCCACGTCAAACACTGTCTTTCCATTACCATCTCTATTTCCATCAACATCTCTATCCCTTCATTTACGTTTCCATTACCATTTCTAATTTCCATTTCCATTTCCATTTCCATTTCTATTTCTATATCCCTCTGTCCCTCCATTTCCATTTCTATTTCTATATCCCTCTGTCCCTCCATTTCCATCGCTATATCTATATTATCCATCTCCATCGTACAACATCACAACTATACAAGCACTATCTTTCTATCGCCATCGCACAAAATCTATCACGAATCAACATCGCTCTTATATTGTTTACAGTATCTGCTGCTTAGAACAACTCTGACAGCGGTTATGTCCTTCAGTAGTCTCTACTGCTTAGAACAACCCTGACAGCGGTTACGTCCTTCAGTATCTGCTGTTTAGAACAATCCCGGCGGCAATTACATTCTTCAGTACCTCCTCTTTTGATCACTTCTGTATCTCATTTTGTCCGAAGAGTCAAGGCTGCTCTTTAGCCTGGGTGGGTGGGAATCACATATAATGTGTGGGCTAGCATTGTTTTAAATGCAATTATTCTTTATGTATATTCTATTGCTAATTATAATTACAGGAGTAAACTATGTCGGTTCTGATCAAGAAACTTCAGCTGGAAAAGCTCCTTGACGAGAGGGTATTTATAAAATGGGTGGATGAATCAAGCACAACCTTTACATTAGGTTCTTGCTTATATATCAATAAGCAGATACCCAGTTTTTTCATGGCTATATATCGTGATATGGAAGAACAGATTCATATTCATTTCAAGCTTCAGGTATTTGTCAAGCTTGCTGGCAAGAAAAAACAAATCGATATACTATTAGTTGTTCCTCCAGATGCTGATTTTGCAAATGCCTCTACACCCTGTCCAATATCGAGTGTCGATTTATCTCATGATGCTTCTGCTCTTCACGAAGCCGGTCTAACCAATACACAAAATGTTTTCCTTATACGATTTAATCTTACTACGAAGGGATTTGTCGTTACGAAGAACAAGGCTACAACGATTAGACCTCACAGTACGACTACAAATATGTTGATTCGTAGCCTTGAGTCTCTATCCAATGCTACAATCTTCAATGTATATATCAGGCCAAGTACTTATGCGAAAGTACATCTGGAGAAACTTGGTATACATTTTAGCAATCCTACAACCCATATACGCAAAACCGACTTAAGGGAAATGTACATTCAACAAGGGGCCATCTTACTAGAATGGAACAAATTCGTATATCAGGAGCTACACCCAGTGCAAGTTCCCCGATCACCGCCCCTGTATGCTCAGTCATCTCCGAAAGTACAAGTTCCTCGATCACCACCCCTGTATGCTCAGCCATCTCCGAAAGCACAAGTTCCTCGATCACCGCCCCTGTATGCTCAGCCATCTCCGAAAGCGCAGATTTCTCAGTCATCACTTATTATTTTCGAAGAAGCGATTGAAGAAACACCAGCTCGATCTCCAATTAGTTCCAACTCTATATCGGTACATGGCATTTTCTCTGGCTGTGAAGAGTCATCAGAGTCGTCAGATAGCGAAGTGAACTTGGACGATATTGAAAGGGATAACGGAATAGACTTCGAGATAAATTCGGATGAGGAAGAGCTTGCCAACTTGAATTGTCCAGAACTAAATCAACAATTCGACTACGATGCAAAAGTATCACAGATGCTTAACTCGAAGTTGGAGAAATGGATAGAAACAGTACTACCAATCAACCTCAAGCTCCACTATCATACACGTTTAACTATCAAGTTATCAATTCTTGGTAATTGTATTCATACATCAAATATGAAGATGTTTGATATTACTTTACTTTGGTGTTCTACACTGTTCTTTTACGATCCACTCGATTCCGATTCTGATAATACTCTCGGGTTATGGGAAAAGAAAAACTCATGGCTTATTCGAGATATGGCTGAAATGATTCAATGGGCTGATGAAATACGCCATAGTACTGAGATAAATTCGTCAGTATTGGAGCATCTTATGAAGCTAGGTCATGCTGCTCGTACTGTTGCTCTGGACTCTAGATATGATAGAGGTGTCTATGTTAAACAGAAAAGTGTTTTCATGACTTATATATTGAGGGAGTTTCGCAAACCAGGTAGTATAGGGAACAATAAGCCTATTTCTCGAAAAGGCTTGGAAATTGATAGTAATGCGCCAAAGCGAGTAAAAATGTAGTTTAGTTATGTTGCGGATCATAAGACGTGAGGACCTCAGGCTCAGATACTCAAGGGGGTAACATGAGAACCTCAGGCAACCAGTCAACTCAAATAGTAATCACAATCATTACTTATCGATACTACCTTATTATCGCGATCTCCTGCTTGACTGCTTCAATTCTAAACATACCTAGTCATTTGATTACTTCCACGTGATCAAAGAATTGACGATATAACAAGAATGTATTTCCTTCGTATATAGAGCTTTGTGCTCAACTTCAATTACAACTTGTTTACCTATTATTGTCTACAATCGATCAATTCCCTGTGTGATTGTCTTCAACAATAAATCTATGATAGTATTGTAAGTTGTTGCGACCGTTAGTGTTGGTACGCTCGGTGGTGTACGCGAGGGGTTATATGATCACATGAGTTCTATACGCCTGGTTCGACGTTTATACAGGGAACAGGACTACACTACAAAAGGTACAGTCCAGTTCTGGTTGTATAAATCGTCTTATATTCTTCTAAATTTTAGTTACGGCTCCCTACCTATATATTACCTTTCGTACGATGTCAGCTGATCATCCGGCTCGTACGGAGCTGGAGAGTATCACTACAGCTGCTGTAAACACATTTATCTGTGTCGGTGATGGCGGAGATGCAGCGGCCAATAAGCTCCGGCTCCCGATAGTTATGAGTATTTAGATAGCTGTACTACTTTTCGTCCGTGTGTCGCGGTTATTTTAAATGCCAACCTTATCAAAAGTTGAGCGACCTGATAAATCAGGCTACACAACCCCTCAAAAATACCTGTTGAACCTTGATGCCTTGTATTTTAGATTACCAGAATGCGGGGTATTCGATGTCGGCAAAGGCCTGTAAAAGATTTTAGATAAGTAGCGACGACGATATTGATTGATAATACAGGAGACAAACGGAAGGTTCTAAATAGCCCTAAGAGGCCTATATATACAGGTCCTCTATCATTGTAAATGAACAATCAGTTGAAATCAATATAGTGAAGTTAATACAAGACCTGAGTCACCACTTGTACATATCGTCAATATATATCCTCCCTTACAAGAAAGTCCATTATCAGAGATCTCACTTTCAAGAAAAGCATCCTGCACATTGAATCTGACAATGTTATTTATGTAGGCCCTATTGAAGACTCCGGTGAATAGGTCATGTCTCATGACCTGATTACGAACAGCGCTTTGGTTAATGAGCTGGAAACGCTGTGTTTTAAGCTGCCTGGCTAGGGGCCAAGACACAGCAGAGCTTGCAAGATACGGTTGGCCTTGTTATGCAGAAGAGATCTGTCAAGGTAACGCAAAACGGTACACAAACAGCGGAGCGTAACATATAATAACAGCGACAGTGACACTATCTATATGGCTCGAAAGGACGGATGTGTGTGTCGGTCTACAATAGGGTACTATAGGGCAGAAGGCATGGTGGAGATACCGGATAGCCTTAAAGAGCAAACAGGGTAGGAAGTATGAGAAGCTCTGTTTTGACCTAGGGCAGAGCTCTTTGAACTTTTTAAGAACGACACTTGATAAGGGAAAGTGCGTTAGGGAAGTCGTGAGCGCTACTTGTATTGTATTATATATCCTGGTTTAACTTACGTATAACCAATTCTATTCTCCATTACGACTACACAACAAATTTCGAAGGAAACTTCTTCCTCGAAATACGACCTTTTCGCGATCGATATACATCTTAGTTATTGAACCAAATTGATTGCAATTGCCCCTAAGTGATTCTGACCATATTAGATTCATACAAAATCGCGGTACCTCGAGTCGAATCGATTAACGTTTTGATGCACTTCCTGTGAAGAGCAAATGGCAATGAATCAATTAGTTGTAAGAAATTCGAGAAACTTTTCATTAGAGTTTTCCGGATATGAAAAACTCTGTTTTTATATCTTCAGGAAAGCATCAGGACTATAGCGTTCTTCTATAGCTCCAACACTTCCGAATTGGATATATCTACGCCTATAGGTTATAGGCATCCTAAACTCCTCGTCGCCTCCGTAACACTCCCCCGTAATTTCTGGTTTTGGAGCCTTAGGCTAAGTAGCCAAAACTGACCTGCATTCGAATTAGTAATAGCATTTCATTAAATTAATTGCTGTGCACATAGATACTGTATGTAGTCTTACAAATATACAAAATGCTTCCGATGTGATCGTAATCTTATCGGTTACACAGGGCTGATGGCTCGTAAGCTCGCTCAAGTGCGGGGTAATGCATCTATCTCTTGGGAACGTGCACATAAATGTCGCTTCTATTTCATTTACAATCTCATCATTCTTATAAAGAAAAATATTCAAGGAATCTTTTGATACATTACAATATCATCGATTGATCAATCACCTGTCATTTTTCAGCAGAATAATTTTATGCTCAGAAAAGATTATCAAGCCGTCGATCATGCCTGCTACGGCGACCGCGAAATCATTTAGTTGCCTCAATTGTAGCCTCCAGTTCACCAAGAAAAAGTTAGCCTTCGAGCATAATTGGAAGGAGCACCCAAAATGTATGCAATATAAAGAAAGATATCTTGGTCTGGCAGAATTACAAAATCATCGACAAATTACAGAACACTGCTATTGTTGCGAGTATAATATTTATTTCCCAAATCTTAGAAAGCACCTCACGTATGCACGAAGTACCATACATACGACTCCATATTACTGCTGTGATTGCGATCGAGAGTATACCAACTAGGAAACCTTGAGCTACCATTGCTGCGAATACGATGAAGCGTTTCGAGAGCAAAAGTTCTTGCAGAAACATCTCTCTGGGAAGAAGTATAATTACAAAGTCGAAGTTCTAATGTCGAAGAGCTCTTACAATCTCCCACACAAGTGCAACAAGTACAATGAAACATTCCATCTCAAAAAACAATTAGGAAAGTATATATCAAGCCATTGTACCATTCCTTGCCCAACCAATGGAAAATACAACAAGAAGTTCACGATGCCATCTGCCCTCCTGAATTATCTTGAAAGCGGTTGTTGTAGATCGGGAATGACTCGAGCCAAGATGCACCTACTCATTTCCATTTACAATCCTAATCGTTATATTACATCAATTGAGGTAATCAAATCGATTTACTCTTCTGAACATATATCTGCTAAGTACTACTTCCTCCAATCCCAAAGCATTTGATTGAAGCTAATAATCAAAGTCAAACTTCACATCTCACAGATTTGGTCAAGCCTTCATCCGAAAATCCATTTGAAAACCAATTCACACCACTTCCTCTAGTTTCTGATGACAATGATAGCTTTAACAAGTGGTCCGCTATTGGCTGCGGACCATTAACACCTACTACTAACGATAGCGACTGGTCAATCATCAGTGAAGCTATCTTAACTCCTACCCATAGTAATAATGCCAGTGAATGGTTGTTCATGAGCAAAGATCATATATCGTCGAGTGCGTTTCCGGTTGATACAAATCGTGATGCTAGTTCACATTTAAGCACCATTTCTCAAGAACAACATTGTCAACTCTATGGGCCCAACCGAAAATCATTCCGCAGTGTAAGAGCCTACCAAGCGCATGTAAATTCAGCAGCTCATGCTCCAAAGATCTTCCATTGCCCCTTGTCACTCATTCCAAAGGTCAAAGCACTAGATCTATCAAAAACTAGGAGTTTCTCAACTTTAGATGGATTGACTCAACATCTAAAGAGTGGGAAGTGTAAAGGCAGGTTTGAGATATATTGTAAAGCGATTACCTTTGTAGAGGAGCAGTTGAAGCTTCTCGGATTTAGTGGTTTTAAGCTATTACCGAATTAAAATGTTATTACTGTTGGTGAAATCTTAATTTTATTTTGAATGTTACAATTTTACAACAAAATTGCACTGGTCTAACTTAAGTTTCAGACCACTCGTAATATTAATCGTGATGCATAACTGCCGTATTACTTAGTTGACTTATGCTATGTGGCTCGTTTGTGAATCTTATGCATATATACACGCGTTATTGATTCGATTGAACAGCCTTTGCGACACGAATCGATGCTTGTATAATGTAGTGGGTTAGAAGGGTCGGCAATTGTTCTTAAAAACGTTGATTATTCGTAATTGTCGGGACAGGATTAGAGAGCCATTCTTCTCGACTCATAGTAAAAGTACGGTATGATCAGGGAACGGAAGAGGGAAGAAGCCAAATCGGAGGCTATACTAAGAGACGACAGAGGTCATATTCCAGGCAGCACAGAAGGATCTGACAGTATTAAAGAAATCACAACTTCTTTAGCCGAATGAAGAAGGTTGTATCAATTCTTAGAACCCTGTCTAATTCGATAGAAGTCTTCAGGTTTCTTCAAGCCACTCAATTTCCTTGAACTGATACGTGACATCGGACCTGCCCATAGCAAGAGTACTAAGATTAAAGCCGTAGGCGTAACACATACTCTTTTCCCACCTGCATACTCTAACTTATTGTCCAGCCTTATAAATCAAAGGAAATGAATTATTATCATATACGGTAAGTGAACTTGTAGCAATGAATACTTCGACCTTCTCATGAGGTTGTGGATGAACCCTCTTCGTAGTATTAATGAGAAATCGACCTCCTAAATTTGTTCGCGTGTTGAAACCGACGGCAATCGCCTCATTGATATATGCGTAAGCGATGATGGTGTCTTCAGGCATCATCAAGAGATGTGTCAAGTTCGGACCAGCATATCCAGAGTGCACCTGCATCGTCTCGGGCTTTAAGAGGAGCTTTGAAAAAACTGTGGTTGCCGCAGGCGCTGGCGTGCGAGTTGTCGAAAGAGAGTCGTCTTTGTTGCAAAGGGCTATGAGTTCAGTTATCATTCGTTCGATTTCTTCTGTCATTCCACTTGTTTCCCGAAGGGAAGTAATTTTCTGTGATGGAGATAGTTAGTTATTGAGGTTAGGGATAGCAAGGCTCTGTTTACAAACCGCGTGGAGAGTACGAATCTGCATCTTAACATCGATCGTAACCAGCTTAATATCTGGTTTCGTAGGACCAGACTTGGGATCTGACTCCATCTTGCGAAGGTTTTGTTAGAAAAACGCCACTTAGTCGTTTTGCGCGTTGGTTAATAGGCTTTGCTGACATAAGCCACACTATCGACAAGCGCAAGGAGCAGAAGCATTCACAGTGGAAGGACAAGTGGGCCAACCTCTCTCAGCTGTTCTGCATCAAAGCCTCAATACCCCTTGAGAGATATGCCAGAACTACCAAGTGGAAGGAAAACGGGTAAGTCCAGTACCCCACTTTCGGACCACCTCTAAGTATTTATCTAACAGTAGTTTATGGGTTTTCTTGGTGTGGGGAAATAAGGTGTGGTGCGTGCAACATAAACGTCGTTTATTGGTTAACCTCGACCCCATCAAACCCATACACACAAGGCCCAGAATCATTCCAAAAACGCCGAAATAACTTAGGAACCATGGCACAATCGATCCCCAAGAATTGGACCCTTTAATAGGGTTGAATGTTGGATTTCATGTATTGATTTGTTTGCAGTGCCAGTATGTGCAAAGGCCCGCATATTTATGTAGGCATTTGAGTGACCAACATAAGGTCCCGATTAAATTACGAAAGCAATTAGAGGAGTATATCAAAGGATATCCGTTTCAATACGATTATACTAATATACAGTTACCCAGTGAAAGTTCAGTCCCCTAGCTCATTATTCCCGTTTTAGATGGGTATAAATGTTAGGGTTGCTATTTCAAAACCCAGGGACGGGATACTGCCTGGCAGCATTGTAACAAGGTCCATAATTAGAAGAGGATGGCAGATGAGGAGATATTTGAATTAGTTAAATTACAATGTTGGTTTGGGGCAAAGAGAGGGAGGTTTTGGATTGTTCTTTCTCCAACTTGAGCATAGTGATTTTAGGTGATAGTGAGTTTCGGTGCAATCAGCTACTACACTATATTTAGCTTCAATATAATAAACTTTTGTTTTCTCCCTGTTCAACAGAGAAGTTGGGAGAAGTCTGTAATTATATACACTTTCTATGTACCACCTCGATTCCAGCATATTCTAACCCAATCATGTGGCAGTTTTATATGGAGAAAGGTAAGGAATTCTTTCAGTTGACGCGGCTTCGGGTCAATACATCATTAGAATCAAAGGTTTTGAAGCACGAAGAGAAAGATAGCAGTCCTCATTTCACTTCTAACTTAGTATTATATACGCCCTGTCCCCTGGATTTCACCCTTGATGATTGCAAAAATGATGTGGTTTTGAAATAACCCTCAGATCTAGAGGCTTATCACTTCGATCACTCCTGGAGCCCTTTACGGAAGTGTATTATGGATCTTCCCCCTAGAGAAACAGTACTTCTCCATCTTTAGTATCGTGTTTTTTGCTTCGGCTTCCATGGGAGGCGTTTTGTTTTAGCCTGCAATGTTCTGGCCGTACGGCGAGATTCACAATGTTGCAAGGCAATCACGTTTCTATAGATAAACCAACGCCCAGCATTTCGGAAATCATACGAAGATGGAGGTCCTTTGTGTGACGAGCCGATTTAACTGATCTGATTCGCTATTTGGAATCTACAAGTAAGGAAAGAAGGAGAAAGGTGAGTTCTTCCTCAGATATCCGTGCAGCGAATATTTAGAAAGAATGTCTCGTGATTAAAATAACATGTGACCCTAATCCATGACGAGTCGTCACATTTGGAACACCGGAACTAGGGGTTGCATAGCGTATCGTTTCCAATCCTAGTTCGTTTTACAAAAACTTGGAAAGACTACTCTTGATACTCGGCAAATACACTCAGAAAACTTAGTGGAGAAAAGTGAAGGTCGCCTAAGGAGCTCTGCTTGATGCCTTATCACCGACTCGTATCAGCTACAGCATCAATAAGTCCATAACAGTAAGGCTTCGACTTTGTCGATAGACCAACCACACACAGAATGCAGCCAGGAAGCTGATTGTTTAAAACATAACTAAATACATGACTACGCCCAAACCGCAAGATTCATGACTCGATCTATGTGCATTTTAACACTTTGGGTATAGCGAACAATAATTTTGACAACGAAAACAGGAATTGACACCGGCTTATATCATCCCAAACTAATTTCAAAGAGATAATCCATGTTGCCGTGCTGTATGATTAAGGAAATGCATAGCGCTGCCTAAAAATGCTGAACATTCTTGATAGGGACAGTGAAATCCTTCACCAGTAGTACGAGATTGAAGGTGCTGAGTTTTGATATGCCGACTAAGACTATCAATACGAAGGTATTTGTGCTCTCGTTTTTTTGGCCCTACTTCATTATCATTCCATCTGCAGAAGGCACAAAATAATTTAGAGACCTTAGAAAGTTGGTCAGGTCTTGTTGTTGCATCAAGAATTAGGGATATCGTAACAAGATTAGAATCTGTATCTTCTGATACGGTTTGGGAGTTGGTGATATGGTTTCGAGACCGTCCTTTGGACCTCGCTGCTTGATATTGGTGAGGGGATTCTTGGCGTTTGCAAAGTTGGATTAAGTTTTGAACAAGCTCGATCCGCTTTTGAATGATCTGATTTTCTGTTAGGCCTGTAAGTGGTTCGAAGAGCATCCTGGCGATGGTAGCTCGCTCCTCGAGCTCGTACTCAATTGTTGAAGGGGTAAGGATATCGGCAGGAAGAATTCCTTGCAGTTGTCGATCGACCTCGATAGTATGAACAGTCTTGTGAAACTCCTTGATAGTCTTATCCAATAATTGTTTGCTCTTTTGACTCCTCAAATTGTTGATTTCGGCTTGTATTTCTTGATGTTTTTCATACCATCTCGTTTTCGCAGCTGCTTTAATAGTGGAGTAACCACGTGCTTTGATGTTCTGAACAGACTCTTCACGCTTTTGAATAAGTTGAAGAATATCGGGATCTTGGCTAATCTCAAACTTCTGTATATCTGTCAAGTTTGAAGGGGCCCGCTCGTGACGAGATAGTCGGCCAACAGCTCGAATCAGATCTTCCCGTCGTGTGGATCCAAGGTAAATAGCTTGACAATCAGTATCAATGAATGCCGGCATGTAATATCGTTCATAAACATCTCCCCGGTGGCCCATGATCTGCCGGCGTTCTTCTGGTGTAACAGACTCTGTATCATTAATCAGCTAACATTCAACGAAAAGTCTCAATGTAGGGTGAGAGAGGTCAAGAGGATTTCATATTAGTAACCTACCATTCAATCTTTTCCCTGAAGCTCGTCGCAAATCATAGAATTCTAGTCTCTTCTCATACCCGCAGGTTCTACCAAGACGGATGAGATAGTGTCGATGTTTCGAATATTGTAAACACTTAGTCTTTGAAATGCGAATACCATTAGCAGTACTATCCACGTCCCGGAAGACAGGCCGCTCAGCCCATTTGTTGTCCCATTGCAAACGGATACGATCTGTATCAGGTGGTACAATCAAAGTATAAATATCCCCGAGAGATTTGAACTTGCTTTCAAATGCATTATCAGCAAGCGCTAAAGCTAACATAAAAGTTACTCCGCAACATGCTAAATCTTCAGCTTCATAAAATGCAAATATCTTCCTGTTTTAAATTAATGTATTGAAGATGCAAAGCTAAGAACTACTCACTGTTTCTTCTTCCCACCTGACCGTTTGATCCGCTTAAGGTTAAGCTTCATTACAACAATTGGTGGCTGGCCTTTGATCAAAGGAGGAAATAGTTGGAATTCGATATCTTCATATAAAAGCCCAACAAGAGCTTTTGGCCTAGTGGCAGTACAACCAGCAAGATTCAGAAAGGGGGACATTTGTACCCGGAGGCGTTCATGAGCATACACCTCAGTATCGCGAACCCAATGACCATTTTGAAGAGTGCATAAATCTTCGACAAAAAGTCCCGACTTTTCCTTTTCGGAATCGTCGAGTCCAAACTTAATAGTCAAGTTCTGCGGGATCCACTATTGTCAGATTAGTATAATCTACTAACTGGAAAAGATAAAGATAGACATATACATTACGAATATCATAAAGAATACCTTCATCCATATAACGTTCTGCTAGTCGTGCATATACCATACTAAGAACCTTCCAACATGTGATAATAGAAGACTCCTTTTTGATTCGTGAGTTCTTCACCCGCCAGAAGAGGTAAGCTTTGAAAATAGCCGCTTTGCAAGTTTTGATAGCCGTTGATGGTTCATCAATCTTCGAGACTTTACAAAACCTGTTGGGAGAATGTGAGCAATCATTCGTGAATCTATTACTAAAATGTATTCTTACTGCTCCCATCTTTCCAATTCTGCTTCCATCATAGCTTTAGTCTCATCACTAGGATTTGATAATGTAACCCCCTCTGCTTCGAACTCGTTCATCATCTGCTGATAATAACTAGCTTCAGCATCAGTACCAGATCCCTGATCAGACTGAGAGTTACAGCTTGAATCTTGATCGAAACCGGAATCAGAGACGGAACCAGACTCATCAACAGTAATGGAAGATGATCTTCGCCATGTATTTACTTTCTTCTTCCTTATAATCCGCGGTTCATGTATTCGTGATTGTTCTTTCTTGTTTTGCAAAACTAAGGTGGATGGTCCATATTTATCATGACGGAGGGCTCGACGTTGAGCATATCGTCGGGGAAGGGGGCAAGGCATATCGTGATTTTAGGTGACTCAATGGCTCTGCGACGAGACGTTAGCAGATTGCGATGGTAAAGGAGGCTAGCGAATAAGGCGGGTCTTTTACCTATAACAGAATACACAAGACCGTTGCAGTTTGTAGCACTTATAATATAATGGAGTTGTACCTGATGTTATCGATGCCTTCAAAAGTCGCTTTTGATTGATTTCTTATGATTTAAAAGCGACGATTCTTGGGCTTTGATAATGTATGTTCAATGATAAACAAAAGCAAGAACTGAACAATCCTAAAATGGAGTTTGTAGAGGAAAAGCTTGTAAAAGAAAAGAGAGAAGTTTGAAGAGTTGAAGAGTGAGATAGGGAAATGTAGAAGATGACCATAGGGGAATAGCTGGATTATATACCTTTTGACCACAAATTCAATGTGGCTATGACTTACATATGATTGCAAACAATCTTTGGGGATGCCTTCAGTTTTCCGGGGGGGAAGGTCGTGCCCAAGGAGAGGCAGAGTAGGTGAGCAGGTTGGTGTAGAGTTGGGAGTTGGGAGTTTGGGAATTGAACAAGTATGTCATCGCGGAGCATCCGTAAAGCAGCAAGAGCCTTAGCTTGTTAAATTTATGATGGCCTGAGGATAAGTGGTCAAGCGAGTGGAATGGCCGCGTAAAACAGCGGGAGCAAGATGCTGAAAACAGGGTGCAAATCACCAACATCTAGTTACTTGTAGATTTTAGATTATTAGATTCTTAATAGTTTCAATTAATTAATTCAATTATTGTTAAATAATATGGATTTGAAAGTGTAAATTGAAATGAAAATGGGCCACTCGATGATAAACTACGTTATATGTATATATAAGATAATAAAATCAGAATTCATAATAGAAAATAAGATTATATATTTTTATGGAAAAGTATATATCCTAAATTAAATGATTAAGGAATTTGTAATAGAATAATATAGATTGCCAGTATATGAGTATTAAGGAATTATAAGGATATTTATAAGAATACGGGAAATTAATTACTTTTTATAAATAAGAATAATAATTAAAAAAGTTGTTGGAAATTATAATATTTATATACAAAACAAATCGTTATAATATATACCATATGATTAGTTTTAAACCCCAGATATGCCTTCTCAATTATAAAAATCTATTATATAGAACTTTATAATTAAACTATTATTCTCAAAAGATTCTATTATAGGTATTGAATATAATGTAATATTTAATATAATAGATAGGCTAATGAAATTTATATATATAATACTATTCAAGAAAATATGGGATATTAAGTAATTAGTATATATGTTTTTTAGGGTTATAATAAATATATATAAAATATTAGATGAGATAATCTCGAATAGAGACAAGCTTTTTACCTCAAAATTCTGGACTATTTTATTAGCACTTATAGATATTAAAAGAAAGCTATTAATAGCCTTCCATTTATAGATAGATGGTCAAATAAAAAGAATTAATTAGATAATAAAAGTATATTTTAAATGCTATATAAATTATCAATAAGACAATTAAGTAGAACAATTATTTATAATATAATTTATATACAATATATTGGAAATAGAAATCATAAAAATTATATTAATACGAATTAATTTTGAATTTAATCCTTAAGCATATTAAACTCTAATATTATAAAAAAATAATACTAAATTAGTAATAATATAAGTCAAGCAATTGAAAGATTTGTAAGAGCAGTTTGTTCTTGATTTAAGATTTATATTATTCAGAACAATAATGTATTATAATACAAAATATAATATAAAATCTATATTTAAAAAGGAGAATAAAGTTTATTTACTATAAAGAAATATTGAGATTAAGAGATCAAGTAATAAATTTAATTATAGAAAACTAGAATCATTTAAGATTGATAAGGTAATAGGAATGATTAATTATTAATTGAAATTATTAGATATAATAAATATTCACTTGATATTCTATATATTCCTATTCGAATTAGTATTACCAGAAGCACCGAATATGTTATTTATAGAAATCGAATTAGTCAACCTTAATACCATATATAATATTAAAACAATACTAAATTGTAAATATGTTAGAGGCAAAATTAAATATTTAATTAAATAGTTGGATTATTTATATTTAGAAAACATATGGGAATATAAAAAGGATCTTAGCTATTCTGAGAAACTATAGAAATTCTATCTGAAGTATCCACATTTGCTAGTAAAGCTTTAAACTTAGTATCAAACAACAAAGGCAACAAAGAATCGAAGAAATCGAAGGAAGGGGAGCCATTAGAAACGGATGCAGTAGCATCTATCATTTCTTTGTTCATACACTCCTTTTCTAATTTTTCCTTTTCTTCTAGAGTATCAAGCTTATCCATAGAACTAAGATTAATGGTAATCATTTTCTTTTTCTATTTATTTAAGAATCACTATTATTTACATAACCAAAGGATTTTAGCTATAGTCTTCTCTTCTTTGTTGTGAAGGTACTAATGCTGATAATCAATGAACTCCTAGTTCAATATAGAGGGTATTTGATTTCGTTCTTTTATATCACAAGTTTTGCTCTATTTATAGCACTTAGTACAATGATTAATATTAGGATCAATTTTCATTTCAATACAATGCTTATTTGATTTTTTATAATGCGAATATATAACCATTTCGATTTCTAATTTTTCAATTCATTAACTAAGGGATATTTGTTCTATTCGTTTTTTAATATGCTCAATAGGCATATTGAAAAAAGAAGTAGTTAATCAATTATTAAAATATTAATGAAAAGGGCCCCGCTATATAGACATTTAGGATAAGTATTAGTTTAAAAAGGGGATAGTTGTTACGGGAGCTGCCTCTAGGGTCACGTGGAAGTGTCTAGAGATCTCTCGAGGTGGTTTAGACTAGACTTCAAGTAGGAATTCAATAAGGTTGTAACTGGTTGCAATTCTCGTAACTATAGTAATGAAACTAATGATTGTTCTTGAGCACGAAGCTCTACATGTAAGGAAACCCTTTCCCTTATATAGACCTTTGCACTCTGCGATCCCATCGATCCCACTCACTGAGAGTAGTGGGCGTAGTGGGATCCCACTGATCCCATTGATAATAATCGGTGGGACTGATGGGATGGTCCATCACGTGATACTAGTCCCGTGAGTCTTGTCGTCCTGTCTTATTTCCTGTCCTAGGGCTAATCCCTTGGGAGCTTACTAATCCTAGCAAGACCTCTCTTGCTTACTGTGTCCTGTATTGCTTATTCTTCTTAGGACCCTACTGTCCTAGGAACCATGTCCTATGATTCAGTGTATTCTATAACTAATACTATATACATGCCTGAGGCTTTCCTTGGGTGCCTAGTGTCCCCCGGTATACTGCAGCTGAATCACTGAGGCCTATAATACCATTATAGCCTATAAGTCAGTGATTCTACAGCCTGTTACTAATCCGTTGTAACAATAGTATTATGGAGGTATTTGTACTACAATATGGATTATAAAATAAATCTAAGACCTTAATATTAAAACCTATAAAAACAGTACTATAGAAATAATTGAATTAAAGAATAATTAAAGATAGTGGTAACCAAATTAATAAATAATAATTAAAAGATAGATGTTTATCTTTTATTAATATCTATTCTATAATAGGCACAGGAAGGATAATGATTATAGATTATCTAATAAACATAGATTAGATAAGCAGTAGTATTATATAGGTTATAAAGCAAATGTTATATAATAAATAAACAGGATAGACAAGCTATTTAGACTATCTATAAATAAATAGAATAGATAATCTATTTAGACTATTCAGACGAAAACAAAGGTCTATATAAGAGAATAAGTTTTATTATAATATAGAACTTTATACTCAAGAACAATTATTAGTTTTATTATTATAATTATAAGAATTATAATCAATTACAACCTTATTGAATTCCTACTTAAAATCTAGTCTAAACCACCTCAAGAGATTTCTAGTCACTTCCACGTGACCTAGAGGCAGCTCCCGTAACATACAGGTAAAATTTCTATTTATAATGAAAATTTGGAATATATAAGATAAAAAGCGAATTGTATTAGTTAAATCTCTTAAATCCTAAAATTAACCTAAACTAAAGATTCTCCTTCTCCTCCATTCTATAATCAAACTAAAAAAGGAGGAGGAGAAAAGAATGAATCAAATTGAAAGTTGCATATAAATAAGAAAAGGCCTTATTCACTAAAATAAAGCAATCGAAAGAGAGGATATTGAATTAATTCGATTAGATGAGGTATTTGTATTTAATTGAATTTGAAAGAATTGAGAGTGGAGGGGGTCCAATTATTGTATGAGAATGAATAGAAGTAGGTTATTCTTTTATTCCTTTGTAAAACTTGAAATATAAGTAATTAAATTCTTTTTGATGAGGGAATGGTGGTTTGAAGCTTGTAAGATTTTAATTTTAATGTATTCTTTTAAGAGTATAAATAAAGGTTGAATTTATATAGAATTTTTAAAGTTATTTCATTAAATAGCTATTTGTATTGTAATAGGCTCTTCAACTTTATAATCTTTTTCCTTTGCTTTTTTAACTTGAATAGATTAGATTTATTAGAAATAATAAATAGACTTTTTTTTTGATTTAATAATTATATAAAGAAGGGTGTTTTATATTATGGGGTGGAGAAGGAGGGCCTAATAAAAGGTTCCTAATGGGAGGGGGGCGGCGAAGCAGTTCTTTTTATACAAAGGGGGGAGAGTTTCGAATTCGAAAAGCATACTGAGCTCTAAACAGGATATAATGGATGCAAATTGAATTATCGATTTATCGAATTCTATAAATGTAATAGTTTAGTTTATAAATTAATCAATCCGTTCAATCCTAAAGAAATCAATTATAATTAGAAATCCTTTTTTAACATATTAATTAAAAAAGATAATATAAAGAATATAATATTCTAATCCTTTATACAAATTATTTATAAATATAATCTAATACAATCTTATTTGTTTTCTTAAAGAATATCTCATCA